AGCGGAGGTAATTCTGACAAATGACACCCTACATACGAATGACGATAAGAGTAGAAGCAGGCCCGCCACAAGGGGGTGATACTGGGTCCCTGGTACCGGGGCCCGTGTTACCTTTGAAAAACCACTGCGAATTCACATGCAACCCTTGTTTCGTAAGAAAAAGTGAAAAATTTACCCTAAAAATTTCGCAAAAGGTGAATAGATTTTCAGAAACACGCTAAGGCACTGTAGAATTCTTCTTAAATTTTCAAAGAAGTATACTTCTTGGAAAATTTCTATCTATTTTCAAGATTTTCAGTACAGAGGGATATTTTTAGTAACTGCGTTTCATTTTCTTCCGTCGTCAGATGCTAAGAGTCTCCAGTCGGGGCATCCTCGACTTCAATGGCTCATGGCTCAACTCCCTTGCCATAGACAGACGAAGGGGGAGTCCAGGGGGGCCTGGCCCTCATAGAACTGAAAATAGTATCATATGCCCCCCCCCCAAAAAATAAAAATTTTCCAGATGTTTTGAATGCAACAATTCGCGAGTATTTTAAGCTGAAAGAATAAAAAAAAACATAATTTTTCCGCAAAAATTGATGGAAAAACTCTTTAAGGAAGCTTCAAAATGCGTCCGATTAGTCTATACGACTAATTCTAAAATTTCTCGGAGGATGCCCCTCGGACCCCCCCCCCCCCCCNCCCCCCTCCGTGCTTGGGGCCCGGAACTTAAAACCGGTCCCAGGGCTCGAGATGGGATGTGGCGAGCCTGCATGAAGGCTATTTCCATTTAAATCTTCCGTCACATTCATACGGCGCAATGATACAATTATTTGAACTCTCCGGAATGTGTGAGGTATCACGCCGCATTTGAAGGCGTTTTTAAATCAGCCAAGTTCCGATACCCGGATTATCGTTTTGCATAGTTCATATTCTTTTGTTACATTCCGTGCCACTTGTTTATTTTTAATCCTCGTAGAAAAACCACCCATTTGTAAATACAATTCTAGCTGAAGTGCACTTCAGCTATGCATTCACCACTGCAAAAATTTCAGTGGAAATCGACAAGCCCAGCGTGCATGGTGGCTATCTCCATTTAAATCTTCCGTCACATTCTTACGGCGCAATGATACAACTATTCGAACTCTACGGAATGCGTGAGGTATCACGCCGCATTTGAAGGCGTTTTCAAAATAGCCAAGTTCCGTTATCGGAATAATCGTTTTGCATAGTTCATATTATTTTGTTTCCATTTCTAACCACTTGTTTGATTATAATCCTCCTATAAAAACCACCCATTTGCTAAATTCAATTCTAGCTGAGGCGCACTTAAGCGCATTCGCGACTGCATAAATGTTAACGGAAATCGAAAAGGCCAGCGTGCATGAAGGCAGGCCCGCCACAAGGGGGGGATACTGGGTCCCTGGTACCGGGGCCCAGGCTCCGGAGGGGGCCCGTGTTACCTTTGAAAAACCACTGCGAATTCACATGCAACCCTTGTTTCGTAAGAAAAAGTGAAAAATTTACCCTAAAAATTTCGCAAAAGGTGAATAGATTTTCAGAAACACGCTAAGGCACTGTAGAATTCTTCTTAAATTTTCAAAGAAGTATACTTCTTGGAAAATTTCTATCTATTTTCAAGATTTTCAGTACAGAGGGATATTTTTAGTAACTGCGTTTCATTTTCTTCCGTCGTCAGATGCTAAGAGTCTCCAGTCGGGGCATCCTCGACTTCAATGGCTCATGGCTCAACTCCCTTGCCATAGACAGACGAAGGGGGAGTCTAGGGGGGCCTGGCCCTCATAGAACTGAAAATAGTATCATATGCCCCCCCCCCAAAAAAAAAAAAAATATTTTCCAGATATTTTGAATGCAACAATTCGCAAGTATTTTGTGCTGAAAGTAGAAAAAAAAAAACATAATTATTCCGCAGAAATTGATGGCAAAATTCTTTATGGAAGCTTCACAATGCGTCCGATTAGTCGTATAAATTCTAAAATTTCTCGGGGGATGCCCCTCGGACCCCCCCCCCCTTCCCTCCGTGCTTGGGGCCCGGACCTTAAAACTGGTACCAGGGCTCGAGATGGGATGTGGCGGGCCTGAGTAGAAGTACATGTATTTCAGTTCACAGCATCGCAGATGTCTCTTCAAATTGTATTGTATTGAAGGAAAACTAATGAAAATCATTTCATCTAATCTTTGCTGAATTTCCCCCATCTAACATAGAATATTTCTGGAAACATATCAATGAAAAAATTTCATTAAGTAACTATTTTTTCTCTTGAAGAAATAGAACAAGGGATTTTGAACCGTCGCAATGTGGACACTAGAAAATGTGCATACTTAGCCACATAATTTCACCTTTAAATTTAACTTAAAAACTGATACTCTTAACGCCAATTCCCGAGGATCAAGTCCTAAAGTAGATATGAATTTTGAGATTAGCATCGGCTCGGTGGCAAAAATGTAGAAGACGTTATATATCGGGGTAAATTGCATTGAAATCGATTTAACTCAAGTGTACAATATGTTAATCTCTCAATTAGAGGTTACTTTTCTCCTGTCACATCAATCGCTTGCAGCGGAAATTTTGGGGAAAATCACGCACCTTGATAGCAATATTTTTGCTGCTACTTTATTTTTAAAAGAAAAATTAATCATAATAAGTATCATTGTCTGAAGTATGTATCTAAAATTTCTATTTCTCCTTTATTTTGTTTTACTGGTTCAGTTTATCTAACTCGATCATGTACCTACGCTGCTAATTGCAGATTCAACTTGCCATGCGCCTAAAAAGAGGACACAGCTGAACATGCACGCTCCGGCGGGCGTTTGAATATTTCAGGGGTTAACACCAAGTGATATTTGTTTTAGCGGAATCCGTGGCATAAAAATTCATCATCATTCGGGAGTTTGCCAGTTGACGCGAAGGTACGCGGGATGTCGGTGAGGCTTTTCTTCTGTTTGCTAGTTTTTCTGGCGGTGATCAACGGACTAAAATGGGGCGGAAGATCAGGCCGCAGCAGGAGACCTACTCGATTGAGGTTAGATAGTACAGTTTTTTCTGTCTATTTTATTTATTCGCGGCAGAATCATAGAAGTATCACATCATATTTTCAGACCTTATACGGGTGTTTAAATTTTTTTACTCATCATGGAACAGACACTATTCTGCCATGCTAAGGCAAAACGCCGTATGAACATTCAAGCGTTGCCCAATTTCTTTTGGTAAATCACGACTTCTCGGGAAAATTTGTAAATATTTTTCTTTCAATTTTTCACATAATTTTTTTCGCAATTTCACCTAAATTTTCTGAAAATTTCAAGTAAAATATTCATAGTTTTCCTCAAAAATGAAGATTTCATCGACGGAAGTTTGGCGACTCTCGAATGTTCGTACGGCGTTTTTCCTTAGCCACCATGAACCACTTTAATCAGATGAAAGAATATACGAAAATGGTTAGGAAGAGAAATACAAATTTAAAAAAGTTTATCGTTGCAATTTCCCCGCGATAATGGGTGATTTCACGATAACAGGAATAGTTAAAATGTGAAATACCTTAGAAATAAAAGTGCACCAATTTTAACAGGATTTCATTACCTCATTTTAAAGGTATTAAACTTCCTTTTTCCAGCTTTGGCACGCTCTATTTTGATTCAGTGCAAAGTTAAAGTGATTGATAAACAAGCCATTGAATCAGGTATCAGCGCTTCCCACGGGACTGCTGGAGGTCCACGCAAACATGGCGGCCCTGCCAAATTGTGTCGGTTACGTAACAGACACAGCGTAACCGACACTCAAAAATGTGAGATTAAAGATGATACAAAAGATGAAACTTGGCAATTCTTGAGTTATGAGGTGGAATTAATGCTGCCTTAAAAGTTTTCTAAACTTTGGAGACTTCCTTTTAGTTTAATACTATTAAATTGAGGTTTTTGCGTAGTGAGGAATTAGTGCTACACACGTAAAAATCACTGGTTTTCATAATAATTAAAGTTTTCATTGTAAAAAAAAGTGACTTATCAGTAATGGTTTTGTCAAGAAGACTTCAGCGAACAATTTGATGACAGTTTTGAAACTCCTGACTCCATCTGGCGAGATAAACACTGCACTTAATACAACTGCAAAAAGAGCCGTATGCAAAAACGACATTTTTCGCCCCCCCACTAAAACTTATTCAAACTTCGTCTATCAGTTACTAAAACTAAAGCGCTTCTTTCCCCAAATTTTCAGACCCCCAAAAAATTTTGGGGGGGCGCTAGGGGGGGTGGAAGTCAAAACCTGTGACCCTCGATATCTTTCGAACGAAACAAGATATTGAGGCCCGGTTTGGACGAAAAATCGTCTAAAATTGCATACTTTAAGATTCTAAAGGTCAAAATCCCAAAATTAAATTTTTAACTTAACTTATGTGCTTTTTTTCAGTTTTTGAGGAAAAACAATTTCTTTTAAACAGATTAAACTGAAATTTCACATTTTTTGATTTAAACCAAAACCAGTTTTTAAAATTGTTCGTCTTTTTCCGCATCCAACGAGTGGTCGTATAAGCTGGGGAACCGAACGGTTCCGGAGTTATGATCGATTGAAGTTTCCGCTCAACGCGCGCCGCCCGATTTTCGCGCGCAAAAAAGTCGGATTTGACTGTTATAAAATCAGATTTAATGTTCAAACTGAGCAAAATGCATTATTAAGGACTCTAGAGGGTCGCTGAGTCCAGAAAATACAGATACTTCCGAAAAATTCACGTTTTTAAAATTACAGCTCCGTAGCGCTACTTTAGAGGCCCACTGAGCGCCGACCGGCCGCTCAGTGGTCCTGTACGGAGCTGTAATTTTAAAAACGTGAATTTTTCGGAAGTATCTGTATTTTCTGGACTCAGCGACCCTCTAGAGTCCCTAATAATGCATTTTGCTCAGTTTGAACATTAAATCTGATTTTATAACAGTCAAATCCGACTTTTTTGCGCGCGAAAATCGGGCGGCGCGCGTTGAGCGGAAACTTCAATCGATCATAACTCCGGAACCGTTCGGTTCCCCAGCTTATACGACCACTCGTTGGATGCGGAAAAAGACGAACAATTTTAAAAACTGGTTTTGGTTTAAATCAAAAAATGTGAAATTTCAGTTTAATCTGTTTAAAAGAAATTGTTTTTCCTCAAAAACTGAAAAAAAGCACATAAGTTAAGTTAAAAATTTAATTTTGGGATTTTGACCTTTAGAATCTTAAAGTATGCAATTTTAGACGATTTTTCGTCCAAACCGGGCCTCAATATCTTGTTTCGTTCGAAAGATATCGAGGGTCACAGGTTTTGACTTCCACCCCCCCTAGCGCCCCCCCAAAATTTTTTGGGGGTCTGAAAATTTGGGGAAAGAAGCGCTTCAGTATTAGTAACTGATAGACGAAGTTTGAATAAGTTTTAGTGGGGGGCGAAAAATGTCGTTTTTGCATACGGCTCTTTGTTGCCAAATGTGGCGACACCTCTTTCTTATGACTTTTCTCGCTAAATAATAAACATTTCAGTTCAAACTGGCAATTTTCTTGAACACTAGAGTCTCTTTTCAGCAAATATTGCCAAAGAGTTCATGATCAGTACTGATTTGTTACCCCAAATAGCTCTTTCGCTTCAAAATCGGGGTTGGCGACGCGTAACAGACCGGACATTTTCGGCCTTTAAAGTCTCATATTATTAAATATAATAATAATTCATCATATTTTTTAGCATGGATAGGTTCAGGGACATCATTCCTATTGATTAATTAATTTGGTTTTCAATCGTTTTGCCCTATGTAGTTCAAAACCCACGGCGACACGACTATTCCTATTATCGTGAAATCACCCTAATAACAATTCCTGTCACGGGAGCCATGCACTGAAAAAAAAACTCCGGCCGTGGGAGCCGCAATTACGGGCTATATAGACATACCGTCTGTTCCGGGCTCAAAGGCCGAAAATTCCGGCTGCTGGAGGCGTAGCTTCGATTGCTCCGGGTTCAGAGGCCGAAGCTACGGCTCCAGCAGCGAATTTTCGGCCTTTGAGCCCGAAACGGACGGTATGTCTATATAGTCCGTAATTGCGGCTCCCACGGCCGGAGTTTTTTTTTCTGTGTGTACTTTTTCGAAAACTCGGACAGTGTTTAATTTTTTTTTTTTTTTTTTTTTTTTTTTTTGATAAAAGTATAATAAAGAAAACAGAATAAACGAAAATATCGCCCCAAAAAATTATCTTTGCTTTGCGCTTTTGACTCTCTGCCCGTTTTAAATGATAACAAAAGAGGGAAATGTGTATTTTATTTGCAACAATTCAGGACCTTGAACCGCGTAAAATTAATTTGGGGCTAATAAAAAGAAAGTAGAACGAACGAAAGTATCGAGTCGAAATTTTTTGTGATATTATTTGAGAACATTCCGGAAAATTCCCGGAAACTCTTCAGAAATACTGTGCGTAGTCTCTTAAAAAACGCTGAGATAAAATAAAACATGAGAAGTGCCATGTAACGTTGCCATTGGAGATGAAGACTTTTTTCCGCGCAAAAGCGTAACGAGATAAATAGTCGATGACGAGTAAGGCATATTGCGGCTAGTCGGATTGAAGGCGTGTCAATAAATAAAGCAATATAGTAAAAATGGGACCTCGCATCATTATAGTCTTGACTCTTTGCTGCCCGGTTTTTACAACCATTAAAGAGAGAATAATACAATTCACAAACTCAGACGATGTTGATTTTTTGGTGATTAGAAAAAATAGATCAGAACGAACGGAACTACTATCGCGACAATATTTTCTTTGATTTATTTGAAATCACCTAGAAAAGTTTGTGGAAACAATTCAGAAAAACTATGTGTAGTTTTTTAAAAATGTTAAAAAAAACCATGAAACGTGTGTCATGACGTTGCAATCAGAGATAAATACGCTTTCTTTGGAGTACACCCGTCGGCATTTGAATCCACTTCTCTTAAGTAACAAAAACATCGTTCTTCTACGATTTTTTACGTGAAGTTTTCTCTCGCATGGTTGACGACCGCGTAGCAATTACAGGCTCCAATTTTTAATGTACGTCGAGCCAATGAGTTCAAAAATGGCCTCTATTTTTCCCTATCACCTCTCAGTTTTCCGGAAATGCGACTTTATTCCCGGGAAAATGAGCAACTTTGACGTACATTTGCATGCACGCAATTTACTTTATAAATTGTCCTGGAACCGTCATAAAGTGATTTCTATGTTAAAGCTGCTGAATCCGAATCCAATCTCGGTTTTTTTGCATCACCCTCCAGTTTTCCGGTAAAGTCGATTTTTCCGGCCCTGAATTTGTGTACAAGCTTTCCCGGACTCAAAATGTGTGTGCATTGTAAAAATTCTCCGAATGTGTGATAGCATCGATCCATATTTTTTTTCAACTGCTAAATCCAAATATGATGTTAGATATTTCCTTTTACCTTCCACTTTCATGGAGAAGTCAATTTTCCTCGGAAAACGAGCTTTTTCGGTATTTTTGAGACGATTTTCCTGTTCGAAGGAGTTTTAGAAATTTCCGGAGATCATCTTTAGATCTCATATGATGTATTAAGAGCCCCTGAACTTAACGTAACTCATGATTTTATATATTAAAGAATGATATGAATTGGATCGAGTTTAACAGAAAGGAACACACACATCAGCTATTGCCAAGTTTAACTGGGCACTTAAATTTTTTACGAGAGAACGTTTGTCCGGATTTCTTTGAAAATTTTAAGGAATTTGCCTCGTGCCGTGGAGAATTTTCACTGAAATTTGCACGAAAATCCGCACAACCGTTAATTTTCATGTAAAAAATTAAATTTCCCGCTTAAATTTGGCAATAGCTGATGTGGCTTGGTTCCTTTCTGTTTAACGCGGTCCAATTCTGCCGTGATAGCGAAGAGAGCCGTAAGTGCAAAAATGAAGTTTTGAGAAAACGGGCTCAGAAGCTTCTGACAAGAACATTTTATTGAAAGAAGCCTCCGTTCTTTGTCAAATTGCCACTAATCGTCCGGAAGACTCCTAGAAATCGTATGGATGATTAAAGATCGACTGATTTTATTTCCATTACATAAAAAGGGTATTTTTCATTTTCATGCTAGGTTATTGTTAGGCAAGACAGCCGTAAGTGCTATCTTCTGCATGCTTTCGTGGTTGCGTTTTGGACGCACAACAAACACATTTTCAGGTTAGAAATTGGCAGAAGAGGGCGGCACTTTACTGGAAAGCACTGTTCTCATTGGCTCTCATTCATCTACGGCTGTCTTGAAAAAAAAACTGTGTCATTTTTTGTGCACTTACGGCTTTTACATACGTCTCGTTTTCATTAAATTAGGATGAATTTTGCTGTTTTAGCTGTCTCGGTAATTTCATCTAAAAGAGTTTATTAGACGAATTTTGAAGAAAACTAGATTTCGAAAATTTTGCACTTGCGGCTCTCTTCGCTATCACGGCAGAATTGTCCGTGTATTGTGTGAAAAGAAATAAAAAATAAATTCATCTCTCCATCTCAGGTCGTCGCTTTCGGGTATCTCGGAAATGTTTCGTCGGAGCCCACAACAGGACGCCGGTGGAGCAGGACCATCGACAAGTAGGTCCGGAGCAGGACCATCGAGAAGTAGGTCCAGGAGCCGGAGTTCTTCACCGGATCTCAAAATACTGGATTCGCCCCCGCGTGTGTTTCGAGAGCAGCTTCATCAACAGCGCCAACAGCAGCCTAATCAACAGCAGCCTAATCAACAGCAGCCTTTCCGAGTGCCCCTCTCGAAAGTCAATGGCGGATTGACGGCTTCTAACGATAACCATGTGAGACTGCTCGATAAATTCCGGGAGATCTCCCAGAGTGAAGGGGAACTAATGTTTTCGGTAAGGCATCTCAGAGTACTCGGACATTGTCAACTCATGTCTCAAAATGGGTCAGTTGCGCTAGTCAGGCCTTGTCACCACGGGACGTTTTCATGGGATTTGTCCCAAGTTCGAATCGCAGGAATGAAACTTCTGGGATTTTTCCCAGTTACCGCCTCCACGGGACGAGGCTCATACTGTCCTGCGACTAGTTTGCGCGGGAAGATAAATTAGATAAAGTCGAGTATTTAACCGGGATTAAAATAATAATTGCACTCAATTGACAATTACACACATTCTTTTAACTGAACTAACATGAACAATAGAGTAATATAATCAACAAAATATTGCACAAGTCGTTTTCACTTCTTCCTCTCTCAGTGGGTCCTAGGGGTACAAGGACCATACTTGGTACTGGGAAAAGTATTGATTAACTCAATATTTTTCCCAACTTCGTAGGTGTGATTTTTCCCTGGGACAAATCCCGTGAAACGGCCCGTGGAGACAAGGCCTCACAGAACCATGTTTTGATGCTTGATTCTTGTAGATCAGCTAAAAATAATAAGATCCGTCGAAACTGTAACTTTCTACGTTCAATATTAACCGAGATTTTGCGCTTTGAAAAGTCGGGTTTTGACGTCATCCACCTCGGTAATGACACCCTCGGGTTTCTCCACTTTGCTTTCATCAATCAGTGAGACACACTCAACGGGAATCTCGGATGAAAGCAAGGTGGGAGAAACCAGGGGTGTCACTACTGCGGTCAGAGACAAGAGACCCTCCACTGGCCTTTTGGCGACCGGTGGAAGCTTTTACTTTCGGGGATTCAACAATTCCTTATGGAAAATTTTTTTATTTTTGCAGGTTTAACGGCTTATCCCCCTTCTTAGAGGTCCACAGACAGTATTAGGGATGTCGATACTCAGGAAAGTATCGATACTCGGTATCGATACTAGTATCGACTCTAAGCATCGATACCGGTATCGAGCATCGAGCTGAAGTATCGATACTCATGAGGTATCGATACCATCGATACTATTTCTGAATTATACCGTGATTCTGAGTGTGAGTAGGTATGTCTGTCGGCCGTTGAATTCCGCCTAAATTCCGCCAGATTTACGCCTCTCTCGAAACAGCCCTGTTCGCGTCCTTAGTCAACTATTTTGAGCCCTTAACTACAGTTATCGAACTGAGCTTTTTTTTTTTTTTTTCTGATGTTTAATGGCTTTGTGACTAAAACTGAGCTTTTAACATTGTTAACGAAAGTAATCATCTTGAGAAACTTGATTACTCCGTCGTTTGTCACAGTGCATCATGAAGGTGAAATAGTGGGGAGAGAATTTTTTAAAAAAGAAAAAGAGGCCTTCTTCATGGCCAAATCAGATTAAGTATCGATACCGTCGATACTGGGGTCTTGGCATCGATACTGCATGGTATCGATATCGTGGAGTATCGATGCCGAGTATCGCTAAGTATCGATCGAAAGTATCGATACTTTGCAAGTATCGGATAAGTATCGACATCCCTAGACAGTATTTTATTGTCAGTAGACATCATGGGGATTTTGGCACATGCTGCGGCTTTTCAAATCTCAGAGATTGAGGTCGAGAGGAATCTGTTTCTGCAGATCCACTCGTCAGTTCCGTGAAAATTTGTCGCCACCACCGGGATTCGAACCCGGGACCGATTGGTCTAGAGTCAGACGCGCTGACCTCTAGGCCAACCTGGCCGGTTCTACGGAAAATTATCAGGGAGCAACAGTAACCACCCTTATTCCGGCTGTTGACTTACCTACATGATGAATGATGAGCCTCGGGTGACGTCCTGAGCATGAGCCAAACAAGTTTCCCAAACTTCGGCTTGTTCGCAAAACGGAACTGCCAAAATGTTGTTAAATATTAACCATGTCGGTAGTTAAATGCTGAAGACCCGAAAGTAAAAGCTTCCACCATTGCCAAGATACTAGTGAAGGGTCTCTTGTCTCCGTCTGCGGTCGCGATGACATCATAAAACCGAACTTTTCAAAGCGCGATATCTCGGTTAATATTGAACGTAGAGAGTTGCTGTTGAGACAGCTCTTAATATATTCATAGCTAATCTGCAAGAGTCTGTGACAAACGCAACTGATCCATTTATTCTAAGCAGCTGTGCTACAAGTACTTGGGTGCATGTCAGGCACCTTTTGACCTTCCACTCTCATTTGGACAGCGTTAAACAGAAAGGAACCAAGCCACATCAGCTATTGCCAAATTTAACTGGATGAATTAATTTTTTAAATGAAAAAGGTTGGGCGGATTTTCGCGCAAATTTCAGTGAATTTTCTCCATTGCGCAACGCAAATTCCTTAACATTTTCAAAGGAATCCGCACAAACGTTCTCTCGTAAAAAATTGACTTACCCGGTTAAATTTGGCAACAGCTGATGTGGCTTGGTTCTTTTCTGGTAAACGCGGCAGTGGCGCGGCGTGAATTGCGATGTATCGATTGTTATGCCATTTAAACCTATGGAAAAGGATCGATAAACAGGGTGTTCGCAGCGAACACCTCAATAATCGATTCTTTACCATAGGTTTAAATGGCATAACAATCGATGTATCGCAATTCACGCCACGCCACTGATAACGCGGTCCATTTATAGAAGGCCTCCAGCGCTCACCATGTAAATTTTGATGCCCTTATTTCACTGATCCTGATGTTCATTGCATTTAAATTCCAGAAGGATGACATTGAACTACAGAAGATGGCTCTCCTCCAGAAGGCAAGAACAGATCTCTGCAACGACGCGGCAAATCGAAGGCGTGCAGGGAACGATTGTGCATTAGCATTCGTCGAGTTCATGAAAATTCCGAAGCCATGGCGTGGACCTTGCAAGGAGGCGTTTATGGGATGGTGTCAGCCATGGGGTTCCCGTGATGCCCCCGTGTGGAAATGCTCTTTCTTCATAAAAACCTCCGAGGCAGCGGATGGGCGCTCGGTCGCCGGGTATTCGCACACGATGGAGGATTGCGCCGGGAGGCTTTCCCCGGAACAATTTCAGAATGACTGGCTCGATGCGATTTCTTAATACACGCGGACAGAGATGGAAAAGTTCATGAAATTTACTCGAATGAAATTTCACGAAATTTTAGGAAATATATTGAAACTTCTGGGGATATATTCAGGAAGCTAAGAAACGCCTAGAAACAGTGATTCTAAATTTTGAAATTGTTTACCCCAAGCCTAAAACATTCGCGCGTTGCAAATGTTTTCGTTTAGTTTAGAGGTTAGGTTGGGGTTTTTCTCTTTAAATTCCCTTTTTTGCCCCCCCCCCCTTGTGTCTGGCACCTTCAGTGGAGTAGCATAACACCGCAGCATCAACAGAGAGACCATCTGAAACGCTTTCAGACGGTCAAAGGTTCAATCGATAATTCTAAAAAAAATTAATAAATTTCAACATTTTTGAAATTTATTCGAGCCTTATGAAATTTCACTTTCCATCTCTGCACGTGGAGTAGGTATAAGTAGAGCAGTGTTCGAAACTCACCTTTGAGTTTTAGGAGCCATGTGGCGCATCAACCCCGATTTTTAGGCGCCATTGAAGATTTTTTAGGGGCCGAATGGACTTTTTCCCTACATATTACGGCGCATTTAGTGACAAGTTAGACGCGAGATGTTTTCGTAACAGAACTAAGTAGCTTTAACTTGGGGAAGACAAAAGTACTATGATAATTAAATCGTGGAGAATAGAAAAAACTTTCACTTCTAGTGCTGAAAATTCTGAGTTTTTTTAATTCAGATAGATTTATTTTTCTTTCTTTGCGCGACTTCATATGAAAATCCGGATTTTTAGGGGGCAATTTTTAGGGGCCACGTTGGCGCAAAGCCTTCATTTTTTAGGCGCCATGGCCGATTTTTAAGGCGCATTTGGCGCGTTGGCGCTTGTGAGTTTTGAACACTGAAGTAGAGTGCCTTTATGGGGAGAGTATGGACAACTCGATTTATGTAGCTCTTAAGGCAAAAGGGCGACAACGTGAAAAACGAAAATCACTAGAAAAGTGCCGTTGCCAACCTACGAGTATGAATTTGAAAGATTAATGAATAGTGCCGATAGCGCATTGTAAACAAGCGTTTTTAAGGATTAAGACTTGCGCAAATCCTTTGAGGTATAGTGACACCAAGGAGTCGTTTACGGAATCAATGAACAATCTTGAAACTGGAGAAAAGGAGACAAGAAAAACTAAAACTTTCTTAGAAATCTGATTGCAATGTAACAATAATATCTCTTAATTGCCTGGTATTAAATGTGCCTAGTTTCTGTCCAAAAAAGCGCTCAAAAGTTTAGTAAATGTGTTCGTAAAATTTGTTTAAAAGTGTAAATATCCCAATAAAAGATCACTTAGACGAAACATTTGCTTGATTTTAGTCAACGCCTTATCTAGGATTTACTTTCTGGGAACACTTCGTCATTGATTCATATTTTATAAATTTGGTCTGCTGGTGCGCCAATTCCAGCACTCTATAGTAATCAATCAGTAACGCAAGACGTACTTTCCACAAGCTTTGGATCCTTCTTCACCTAGCTCTGAACCGGCCGTAAATTGATGTGAATTTCTGACTGAACTTAATTTTTTTTTCTCCTCTCCGAAAACAAATACATTGGAGAGGTTGCTCGCAAACCTTCCTCTGAAGTGTCCGTGAAACGACTCTGTCGCATTCGTGGATATTGGGTCAATATGATAGGGGCTCCTACCCGCATGCCAGGGGGGTACGTAGTAATACATTTAAACGAGTAAAGCATTAAACAGCCTGATAATAAATTTCTTCATCGTTGTACATTGTTTTACCCATAATTTTAATTTTTTCCACCCATTAAAAAGTTTGTTCGTAAAGATCTGCTTTAGGTACTTCCGAGTGTCTCGGTTGAGGAGAATTCAGTGTGGGCAAAGAAATCAGGCCTGTCGAAACCGGTGGCGTTCTGTAGGCAGGCCTGATTTCTTTGCCCACACTGAAATCTTCTCGACTGAGATACTCGGAAGTAAAGCAGAGCTTTACCATTAAACTTTGGATTAGCTAGAAAAAGTTAAAATTATTGGTAAAATCAAAGCATTCTTCGGCAGACTGACAATGTCGCGATAAATAACAGTAATAGTTTAGTTCATCGGCATAATGAGCAACACTGAAATTAAGTTATGCAGAAAAGAGCAAAGCCTTATGTGAGTATCGCATGCTACGATCACTACACGAATTACATTATGACTCCTGGATGCAACTATTCGGGCTCCATGGATGTCCGTGTTGCATACCCACAGAGTTGAAGGCGTTTTGACTGTCCAAGCATTCACCTTCTTCACCCGCGGCGCCAACGGCAGCGGGCTTTGGTGCGAGGATCTAAAATGGCAGAGCGCTCATAGTTCTTCGTTTATCCGACAAAAAAATCTCTTAGGCACGAATTGTTGCCCACAGGTGTGGGATATCAAAATGGATCACCTTTTTACTGACCAATACATCACCCATCAAATAACAAGATCTCCTTCATTAATAAGCAGTCCGAGCTTCTAAATTTTTATTTTTCGTCACAATTCGTGCTACCTTTCCTACCTCTAGATGAGTCTGCTCAATTCAAATTTTGGAAACATGACCCATGTTTTTTTGGCGCGTATACGTAGTATACCGCCTTTGCGATCGTTTCGACCCCCCCCCCTCGNATTTTTTAGGCGCCATGGCCGATTTTTAAGGCGCATTTGGCGCGTTGGCGCTTGTGAGTTTTGAACACTGAAGTAGAGTGCCTTTATGGGGAGAGTATGGACAACTCGATTTATGTAGCTCTTAAGGCAAAAGGGCGACAACGTGAAAAACGAAAATCACTAGAAAAGTGCCGTTGCCAACCTACGAGTATGCATTTGAAAGATTAATGAATAGTGCCGATAGCGCATTGTAAACAAGCGTTTTTAAGGATTAAGACTTGCGCAAATCCTTTGAGGTATAGTGACACCAAGGAGTCGTTTACGGAATCAATGAACAATCTTGAAACTGGAGAAAAGGAGACAAGAAAAACTAAAACTTTCTTAGAAATCTGATTGCAATGTAACAATAATATCTCTTAATTGCCTGGTATTAAATGTGCCTAGTTTCTGTCCAAAAAAGCGCTCAAAAGTTTAGTAAATGTGTTCGTAAAATTTGTTTAAAAGTGTAAATATCCCAATAAAAGATCACTTAGACGAAACATTTGCTTGATTTTAGTCAACGCCTCATCTAGGATTTACTCTCTGGGAACACTTCGTCATTGATTCATATTTTATAAATTTGGTCTGCTGGTGCGCCAATTCCAGCACTCTATAGTAATCAATCAGTAACGCGAGACATATTTTCCACAAGCTTTGGATCCTTCTTCACCTAGCTCTGAACCGGCCGTAAATTGATACGTGAATTTCTGACTGAACTTAATTTTTTTTCTCCTCTCCGAAAACAAATACATTCGAAAGGTTGCTCGCAAACCTTCCTCTGAAGTGTCCGTGAAACGACTCTGTCGCATTCGTGGATATTAGGTCAATATGATAGGGGCTCCTACCCGCATGCCAGGGGGGTACGTTGTAATACATTTAAACGATTAAAGCATTAAACAACCTGAGAATAAATTTCTTTATAGTTGTACATTGTTTTACCAATAATTTTAATTTTTTTCACCTTTTAAAAAGTTTGTTCGTAAAGATCTGCTTTACTTCCGAGTGTCTCGGTTGAGGAAAATTCAGTGTGGGCAAAGAAATTAGGCCTGTCGAAACCGGTGGCGTTCTGTCGACAGGCCTGATTTCTTTGCCCACACTGAAATCTTCTCGACTGAGATACTCGGAAGTAAAGCAGAGCTTTACCATTAAACTTTGGATTAGCTAGAAAAAGTTGAAATTATTGGTATAATCAAAGCATTCTTCGGAAGACTGAAAATGTCGCGATAAATAACAATAATAGTTTACTTCATCGGCAGAATGAGCAACACTGAAATTAAGTTATGCAGAAAAGAGCAAAGCCTTATGTGAGTATCGCATGCAACGATCAGTACATGAATTTCATTATGACTCCTCGATGCAACTATTCGGGCTCCATAGATGTCTGTGTTGCATACCCACAGAGTTGAAGGCGTTTTGACTGTCCAAGCATTCACCTTCTTCACCCGCGGCGCCAACGGCAGCGGGCTTTAGTGCTAGGATCCAAAATGACAGAGCGCCCTAAGTTCTTCGTTTATCCGACAAAAAAATCTCTTAGGCACGCATTGTTGCCCACAGGTGTGGGATATCAAAATGGATCACCTTTTTACTGACCAATAAATCACCCATCAAATAACAAGATCTCCTTCATTATTGATCTCCGAGCCTCTAAATTTTTATTTTCCGTCACAATTCGTTCTACCGTTTCTACCTCTAGATGAGTCTGCTCAATTCAAATTTTGGAAACATGACCCATGTTTTTTTTTCTTCTCATTCTTTTTTTTTATGTTACACGACAAGCTGTGAACAATCCCATTTAAACAGTGCAAATGTTCATTTTTTGTCTCAGTGGATCCTAAAAATCTACCGGGCTGATTATCATGATTTTTGCGGCTATCGATATGTAATATGCTTCCTAGACGAGCCCGCTAAATTCAGATTTAGTTACTCATGAGAGCGCGAAGCGTCCTGTGGGGGTTGGGCCGCGTGGCGATCAGGGTGCGTGGCCTCTTACTGGGTAATCTTGCATCAAAGTATATTCTTGGTTAGAATCATTCTATCCATTCGCATTTAATACAGTATCATGAATACTCCAGGCGACGTGGTCCAAGTTTAAGGGTGTCAGCGCTGCGACGTTCATCCTCCCATTTTCCAATGTATAGACATGGTGCTTTTTCCTCAAGTACTCAATTTGAGCAGCTAGAAAAAGGGGTAAAATGTCGGCTGATTAGCGAGTGAGATGTGAGGCAAATACATGCATGAGTACTCGGATTACCCAATTAACTTTAATGCACTTCGAGACGTCACGAGATGGGTTCATTGTAAACGTTTACTGCAGCAAGAGGAAGAGTTGATTTTCCATGAAAAAAGAGATAGACCCACCTGATCAGGCGCAAATTTAATCATCATTGCGTAGATTTACTCATCAATTATTTTTTTCAACAATGTGAGATTCTAAAATTCTAGATAGGGCGAATTTAAATTTGACAAGTAATGTAACATTTAATAAACGATGGGCTTTGTTTTCTAATTCATACTGCGATTTCCATGATCAATATCAACAGACTGCGATTCAAGATTTTTGGGGTCATAGGTGGTACAGGTGCAGAATGTGGTGCGCCCTCTCCTCAAGAGTACCTCTTCAGAAGCAATGGGCGAGGCGTGAATGATCGAATATCGACAATTCCCCATTTGAAGCTATGGTAAGTAATCGATTATTAAGGTGTTCATTTCGAACACCCTATTAATCGACTCTTTTCCATGGGTTTAAATGGCAGATCAATCGATATATCACAAAAAACGCCACGCCACTGCTGGGAAGGAAGGTTCAATGGTGATCTTTCCCTGCAGACGGGAGTCCGAGGGGGCCCCTTTGATAAAATTTGAAATTTTAACCCCTCTTAAACGCAACTTGAAGAGTTATTTCGGCACATATTGAGAGGGAAAAGAAGGAGCCTACAATAAACTGTTCACTACAAACCTATGGAAATCAAAGGAAAATGCTATCGTCGAAACTAATTAAAATGTTTATGTGCAGGGAGAGGGAAAAGAAAACTTGGTGGTGCAGGCCTCTGGGCCCAGGCGTTCATCCAAATGGTAAAACCGACCCTGAATAGCACCACAGATTGTAATATTGAATTACTATTTCTGACTCGTATTCGAATTTTCGAAACAACGTATGTGTCATAAGTTTACCTTCCTATTTTTATAGATTAGCCAGAAGTAATAGTTCCATATTGGAATATGTCGGTCAATAGGACGTATTTCTGTCAAATGGAATTATGTGCAATATGACGTGAGCCCTATTATGCATATATTCTTATGGGTCTCAGGGCTCATGTCTTAATGCATACAGTTCCGTTTGACAGAAATACGTCCAATAGATACCTGGAGAATTATAAATACGTAAAATACGATGGCACTGGTACTCACGCGCTAGGCCAATAAGGCAGAACATGCCTCGCTGGGATGTAATATGGTCCCAAGAACCTGGAGTTTTCAACGCCTCTAATCTCTCCTTAAGGCCCCTTCTCATTGCTATTATTCGATCGAGCATAGTTTTAACGCAACTTTGCCTGTCAATGAAAAGGAAGGAGGGTTAAAAAAATTCAGCGCTCCCATCACATTATGTAATTCCGTAAGCTCATTCTTTATCTCAAAATTGCGCAGGGATTGTCGTACCGATCGAAATCCTACCCCTATGTATGGACGTACTTCTATCAAACGGAACTAAGCGACATAGGGGGAGGAAGGGAGAGGGGTGCTTCGATTGGCGGATGTTGCGGAACGCGATGCTCGTTCCGTCCTGTACTCGAAATGCGTCTCCTTGGCGCTTTGTTCCTTTTGATAGAACGCGCTATCCGGGATTCTAAAATCTTCAAAAGGAACTCAAATTGGCGCTTAGTTCCGTTTAACAGAAATGCGTCCATATTAGCTGCTAACCGTGGTAATAACGTTTTTTATAAAACAAAATTCAAACTTTCCGCTCATGGAAGAAAGAATAATTCACTTGGGTTAAATTGCTTGCTGAACGTCACTATGACAATCTCGATAATATGAAAATATGGCAACCTCAATCTTGACTCTTTGGCTCAACAATAGCTACCTTTACACTTTGAACAACACAGGGTAGGGAAAAAACATTGGTCGATTGAGTAGTCTGTTAATGCCGTTGTAGTGCGCGATTTGACTCGCGTAGAATATTGTTTTTCTTGTCACCGGGCAATTCAAATTTCCCGTAACTAATGTACAAAAAAAACCTTAATAGCTTACATAGGAGTTGATTCCAGTATTTTTCATTGCGCGCATCGTGTTTTACGTGAAATTTTGGTTAAGAATCATGAATGAGGATGCTTAAATTCGTACTTTATTGAATGGTTCATTCAATCGAAGGTAGCGAACGAAGAGAACTTTCCTAACTTTTCTCGGAAAAAATATTTTATCAGAAGAAACGAGGCAACGTTGCAATGCTCATACGGCGTCGAAACGCAACATGGGCCTTTTAACCCCCATTATTCGATCGAACGCGAGTTCAAATAATCGCGGCAAACACAGTGCAGCCGGCGTTAAACGCACATCAGCGCCTGCAAGACTGAAGAAATACTTCACGCATTACGCCTAACAGTGCGGTCGGCGTGGCACGTACATTAGCGCCTACATGACTGCTTGAATACCTCTCGCATTGCGCCTAACGCAGTGCAGTCGGTCAGTTGGCGTGAAATACATATTATGATGTAGGAATACGTCACGTAAGATGACTTTGTTTTGTTTTTCTTCCTCTGAAGTGTCTTAATCGAGGTACGTGTTTCTTGGCTTTTATCGTGGTTCTATAAAACAGTGAGAGGCATGCATAAATCACTACTTACCATTCTTGAAAGAGAGCTGGCGTTTTTAAAACGGATGCAACAATCCTACTTCCATGGAGGGGTGGCACCAGATAATTGCCCTCAGCGATGTTAATCATCTTGGATACTATATGAGGCATTGTATGGGCACAATTTGAGACAATAGTGAGGCTTCCTACTCGTTCACCTTCAATGCAAACATGTTATAAGAGCAATGAGTATTACATCCGTATTTTTTTATTTCCTTGTGAAATTCCAAATGATACTTTTCAAATCTATTTTTGCATAAAGACGTACGGCTATTGCTACCCGGGATGGTCATAGGCATATTAAATATTTTATCATGTAAAAGGAAAAGTCGTGAAAGTGTTTTCCCTCTCATAAAACAGGAATAGCTGCATAAATCTTTACAACATTCAAATGCGCTACGTTTCTGTCCGAAGCAAGTCCCTGCAAGAGTTGGGAGTTTCAATGATCCCAAGAAATTATATAACCACCAAAATGAACGCTAAAAACTTGTAACAGAATTTTACAACTTACCGTAAAGACCAAAGTTCTTAGAAAAAGATTGCGCGCACAGTAACTCGAAACCCTGGTCAACGAAATAGCGAACAGCCTCTGCATCTTCGTCCATATCACCAGACGCCAAACCTTGATAAGCTATGTCGAAGAATGGGAACAATCTATTTTTCTGCACATAGCGAGGAAGGGAAACAGAATAAATAACTAGTGCATTAAAAAAAAACGTGCTCACCTCTAATAAAGCATCGTCATTTTTGGAATGAATGGTTTTGGTTCCTATTCTCATACTATTCGCATGTAATCTGCATAAAAGTGGCAATGCACTCAACCAAATGGCGCACAGTGGATTGAGTCAATCAGAGAAATTGGACATGAAATTTTTGTCTAAAATTGCAAATTTTAACGTTATTTCGCCACACTTTAAATGTTAAGGGGTCCTTCGAGAAGAAAATTTCACAACAAAACCAATGGAATCATTTTCAGAACCTTAAAGTTTTGTATGAACGTCGTTATGAGCTTTTAAAGTTTCCAATTTTGTCCGACCTCTCCTAGTGACTCGATCCACCGTGCGGCGTAGCATCTCAACAACAACAACAACAAAATGGCGGAGAGGGGCCTAGCCTAACATATTTAGAGTGGATTGGTCTGTGATACCTATTATTTAATGCTTCTGATGTCAATGCACGGAGGACGATACTCGTTTTTCTAGGATTAATTCTTTCAGCGGTAGTGTAGATTTCTCAAAATTGATAGTTGAAATTTTGGTGAGTAAAATCTTTCATCTCAACGGTGCTCATCCATCTTCTTCGGAGAACCTATAAACGCGCCTACATAGGAAACACCTGAGCGCTTCTCCAGTGCGAACGTATCGGAGCTTTCTCACTTGTCTACAATTATCTGTGTTTGTTTCAAAATACGGAGTATGAAATTGGCAAATCGCGCGTTAGAGTAAATTTTAAACTTCTCCGGTGTACTTCAACGAGATTTTTGTTCGATTTTTTTTTATAGAGAGTCCTTTCTGTTTGTTGAGTTTCTTGTTTACTCATTTCGATGATTTGAATAAATGTTGTTTAAAACGTCAATTAAAAATGTACCTTCATGAGAGAAGCTATTTTTGCCCACTGTTCGGGGGTAGGATCACACCCAGTCGGGTTATGCGCACACGCTTGGAGTAAAACGACCGAAGTTGGCTCTGCCTTTGACAAATCCTCCAAAAGTCCATCCATGTCAATGCATTGTTTCTCCGCATTCCAATATCGGTAACGAGAGCTTTTCTCGAAACCTGCTTGCATGATTATGACTTCGTAGGCGTCTGAAAATTCGTAAGTTGAATGAAAAAAAAAAAAAAAAAAAAAAAAAAAAAAAAAAAAAAAAAAAATTCAAAATACAATTAAACGCAACCCCACGAGGTATAGTTTTCCGAAAGTAGCAGAGATAAAGAAAAAACAATACTAATTTTTTTGATAATTTGATTTTGTCACCCGACAAGATTACATATTGAGGAAATATTCAATTTTGGATTCAGGAGTCACGCAAGTTTTTTTTTTCCCCTTCCTTAATTCAGTGATGATTCTCGGAAGTTAACAGCACCTCCGGCCCTTTCATGTATGTAAAGTATTGTGAAACAATAGATATTTCTCTAGATAGGCTGTGATACTTAAAATTGATCATTTAAAACGGCTTTAAATTGAGAAAAACCAGTGCTGACAATTTTATATAAGATTTTCTCTGTATAGTGCGGTACATGGAAATGCGCTATGAATGCGGTATCGCATTTTTGAAATTTCCCTTTAGCTTTCCCCTTAGCTCATGCTTAATCAAACATTTCTGATTATTCATGCATATCATGCTGAGCCACACTTTTTCAATAGACGAGATTTTCGGATCGTTAAGTCTAAAAAAATTAAGCCCCAAGCTATCGACAAAGAAACGAGGGACTTACTCCAATGGGGGTCAGATAAGTAAAAGTGTGAGCGTCCCAAACTCTTCTTAAGGAATTGTGCACCGATGGAGAGAGCTCCAGTACCACCCACTGTCTGGACGCCCAACGTCTGTAAAAATACGACCATCGGGCTGATTATTGAAATGTATAGACAGAGCTATAGACAAAGAAGAATAAGCGAAAATGGAGCGATCCGATCGGAGAAAGCGGGAAGTTGAAATGAACAAAGGAGGTAAGTAATAGACTATGAAAAAATCTAAATCATCCCTTGAGGTTTCCGCAGAATTTTCTTCGCGCAAAGAAGTAGAATGAGTTTATAAGAGTTGCCGTTGAGTTGTTTTCCATTTAAAAAAATAAATTATGACAGGGAGTCTGAAATGTCATAGACTGAGATAAGTGGTTGCGGACTTACATCGTCGATATACTACATTCATAACATACGAAGGGTCAAAAAGGAACATTCTTACATGAATTGACATAAATTTATATTTTTTACATATATTTTTTATAGGTTTAAAAATTTCCTTTGGTACAAGGGGTGACACATCATCGAAAAAGTGTTGGGAAACTATTCTCTTACCCTCTTGTCTTGAACGGCGATGGATTTTTCGCCCAGTAGTGAGGAAGTGGCTGCATCAGTAAACTCGCTGGAGCTCAGAAAATGTTCAGACTCATGAAAGGTATTTTCATCGTTTGCCAGAATGATTTCAGTTTTCCTGACCACAGGCAAAACCCATGGTTTTCCTTCGTCCGTCGGATAAGCTGAGGTCAGAGATAATAGTTTACCGACTGTCAATTTATAATAGTTTAATGATAGTTTGCCTCCCAAATTTTTCAATATCTTCTCATGTTTCTTTTTTCAACCAAAAGTATAAAAGCAACACAATGCCTTCAAACTCTCTAGGAAATCTTCCCTGGATTACGAAGAATATGAGCACAATATTTCTAAGCATAACGTTGCTCACTTTATTCTTGATAAAAATAAAATAAATGTAAAAATGTACGCAAAAGTGCAGTCTGGCTAATAGAGAATTTTCAGGCGTCTGAAATTTGATGAATTTCGTGTTTAAGTGGAAACTTGAGTGAACTGAACATGAGAATAACCTTGGTTCATTAATTGAACAATTATTGGAGAGGACATGACAAAATAATCTAATCTGCTAAAATACATGTGTTTAAATGGGAAATGCCGCCAGATGACGTCACTAGGCGGTGCATTTTCTCACTTTTAAATCTATTCTTATACAATTTCCCATATTAGAAAAAATTATAAAAAATACTGTAAAATCAGCTCTTTAAGCACTTTTAGATGAAGCAATAAAAAATTTGCTTACAAATTTCCATTTTCGTGAGAACCGTTCAAGCATTATTAATAATGAATGTAAAATGAAAACGTATGATTTAAAGGTAGTTTTACTTGTGCATAATGGCCTCACCTCCTTTAACAAGATCCACCTTCTTCCTGTAAGGATCGCTGCAAAATTCCTCGTGCAATGCGCATATTTCGTTCAGTATTCCAGGCTCAATGGAGGAGAAAACCGAAGAGGTCATTGTCGAAAACACACCTTTATTGCTGGTGACTGGTATGAAGTGAAATTCCTGCAAACTTCTCGTGAATTATTTTTTTGGCTCATGGTTATGATGTTAAAGCAAGATGCACTTTCCCAACGTAAAAAAGTCGAACATGTACTTACGTAAGCCTCCCACTCTTATGGGCTAGTTTGTAATTTATTTTGAATAGGATCTCATGTTTTGACTGAAGTAAGAATGATCGCAATAAATTCCACATATGATCGAAGGGTTATTGCGGTTTTTTCGACAACAAATTATTTCAATTTTATCGAAACGAAAACGATATTTATACATCGCAAAATTGCTACACCGCTGATTACTGCCCATTTTCTGAGATTTTTAGAAAAAAATAATGAGTGGTAATTTCGCTTAGTAAAAATGAAGCTGTCTTATTAAGTGACAGGCATTAAGTAAAACAATAGTAAAAAAAATAGTTTCACGAAATGAATCTATTAAATTGGACGAAGCTCAACACAAATCACCTGAAAAAGGATGAATAGTCCACAAGGATAGAATACGATTCTGCAATAGAATTTCACGCGAAATAAGTTATATGCTGGAATTTTCTAAAATGTTAACTTTAAGGATATGAAGTAGTGTTCATTTCGATGTTGTATTAGAAATAGAAGATATTTCAATTTTTCGCTTGTGTGAAACCAGAAGTAGTGGGAGACATACCAATAATCGGAAACAAACTGAACAGTTCAGCAAATAACTTGAGTAAAGATTTTACAAAAATTTCTTACCTCCTTTGGCAAAAGCTACCTACTCCTTAATGTATTCATCCATGCTGTCAGAGAATTACTTCCATCGCAAAGTTCACCGTCATCGGCTTAACTTCCGCTTCGGTTCAAGATGACTTTGGTTGTTGGTAAGAGATGTCAAAACAGAAAACGAGAATTTTTCATACGATGGTTGCGCTTTAAAATTGTCAATGTGTTCATTGTGTTTTCACGTGAAAATTCAAGGTGTAAACAAGCACAATGCTGTTCAATACTTCCTTACGTGCATCTTCTATTTGTGGTCTATTGTTGGATTTTTAATTTGAAAGCTACCAGTGCCGTAAGAACAATTCAGAAATAAACCTGAAAAATGTAATATTTAGAGGAAATCTGATTAGCTCACGACATGGAGAGGTCTTGGCTTTTGATACTTTTAATTCATCTCAGTTTTACCTACGCTTCGTGTTGAATTGTTTTGTTGCCTCGCCTGCGTTAATTGCCTTACCGTAATAGTTGCATTGTTGGAAGTTTTTGTGCTCACATTTAATTTAGCCTCAGATTTGAACCATCCACTTAAGTATCATGCTTCAGCCAAGGCGGTTACTTTAGAACGAAAGATGTGTAAAAAGTGCTGTAAATCTTCGCCTCCTTTCCTACTCCCAAGTAGCAGTGATCGCGATAAATGAGCGATTTTATCGGTTGGTTATCGCGATTATATCACTGGCATTATATCAGTGGCGATTATATCGAGATATTATCGCATCAAAAATTGCGATATATGGCGATTAAATCGCTACACTTCGCAATTTTCAGTTCGATAAAATCGCGATCAATTTTCGTCGATAAAATCGAGATTAAATCGCCATTTATCGCGATTTTTATCTCGAAAATACCGCGATAAATTGCCGGGCAATAAAATCGCGATTTTATCCCGATAAGATCGAGGATAATCGCTCAGATGTTGATGATCCTAGCGATTTTATCGCCGATAAAATTGCAGTATATTCCGATTTTTCAGTTGGAAAATGCTCCTTGGGCTGCTAGGGAATATTGTCAGCCTGTACCGATAAACCAAAGGTTATTCCCATGAGATCCCTATTGTGAATTAATCAAATTATTAAAGCAGAAGTAGGTATGATTTTTTTTCTTTTACAAATACATGACATTTCCGGGGAAAGAGAACCTTGTAGCTTGATGGAGATATAGATGGAGAGAGTATCGCCAATAGGCTATGAGTTTGTTATTGACTCCTCCATCCTGAGCCTCATGGTACGGTGCGGCGGGCGGGCGGCCAGAGCAGAACGCGCATTGGCGCCTGCAAACCTAACGGGATACTTCAAACATTGCGCAATGCGTGCAGTATTCCCTTAGGTTTGTAGGCGCCAGTGCGCGCTCAGCGCTGGCAGCATGCCGCACCGCTGTGTTAGGCTGTAGTATTTAAGCTCGCAGAGTCAGCGTTTTCAACTCATGATTTTGAAATGTTTACACACTCTGCATGAATTATTCTCATTTAAATTGATGGGGGGAAAAATATGTATTAAAGGAGAATATAATGTGTGTTTTGTAATTATTAAGGTGTTTCCGTGTCAAATTCAATGATTTTCAAAGAACTTTAATTTTTTCTTTTATATTTTGTCCTTTCACTGTGTTGCAGCGTGCGTGCCCGCGTACGTATTGCATGCAACAGAGATTTGTGATTGATGTACAATTTCTCAAGTGAAACTTTACGAGAAACACAATGGTGCGACTGGTATCCTCTGAAACGAACTCTCAAGCTCAAAAAAGTTCTGAAAGTTGAGGCCGTAATGGAGATCAGTGGTCAAATACGGTCAGTGGTCCAGTCCACATTACTACTCGTAAGTAAGGTCGCCTTGGTTCCACTCCTAGAGTCCTCAAACAAAGTGAAAACATTGCTTGTGCATTTGCTCCCTATTTCTGCATGGTGAGTTTGTTTAGATGCAGAGGTTCGGAGTCTTGCCAACCGTGGCGTAAGCGATCCCCTCATTTACGGTCTCAACTTTGAAAGCTTTTTTGAGCTTGGGAACCCGATTCAGAGAAGACCAGTCAAACCATTGTATTTCTCAGGTGATATTTCAAGTGGAAAAGTACCTAACTCGCAAATCCTTGCTGCACGCAAGAGGTCAAGTGCTGGTTCGGGGAATGGCAAATTTGCATTTCTACTTTCAACCGACAGAAAAAAACAAGAAGGCAACAGGAATGCAGAGAACCGTGCGCGCATTTTGTATCCCTTTTTTCACCCACAGAAAAGATGATGCGTTTTAGGCTTCACTTTATACTTACCAAGAGAACTGTCCATCACATTTGACAAAGCCTGGGTGCAAAAACTTTAAACTTCGGTAATTTCTGAGAAGCTTTTTGTCGGTACGACGCAATCGACGGTGACACGTACTGCAAAAAATCAAGTTTTTTCGTCGAAATTCGAGGGATTGCGCTGTAGGTAAAAAAAATAATCCGTTAAAAGGAAAAGTCGGAGGTTATACATACCCAAGAAAGAGGCCAAACTCGTCGCCCCTCTGATATAAGGGCGTATCTCCCTTTGCACGTGAGCCGCTATGATTCTATGCTCTCTGAGGCTCATCCAAAAATCGAGATAGGTATGCCCATACATCAGAGAAGCGACGAAATGTACCTCGTCGTAATCTCCGACTGTCGTGACTATCAAAGTCATATTAGTCACTAAAAAATGATTCATCTAAAAGGTGAAAAAGAAAAATAAAATTAAACGCGTCTTACCAAGTCCCTACTTTATAATAGAAAAAGCGACAGTAGAATATTTGTCAATTATAATTACACGCTGATGTTGGGTTTAGAGACACGTAGCTCATGAAAAATTTAAAATTCAGGCGATGGCGCACTGTGGACATGGGCGGAACTAGGAATTTTTTTTTTTTTGGGGGGGGGGGCCCAGGAGGATACAGAACTTTGGCTAAGGGGGGTCTGGGGGACTCCCCCGGAAAACTTTTGAAAATTGGAACGTCTTGAGAGCAACTTTAAGCCATTCTTAATGACAAATTAAAAGCTGCTCTCTTTGCGAGAAATTTTCATCGTCTGACATATTTGAGAATCTTGTGACCAACTGATGGACTCCCGTTCACCACTATTATGCGTATTAGCACCTTTCTTTTTCTTACTTTCTCTTCTTCCGTTCACTTATAAACATTCCACATTTTCTCTCGGTCATAATTTTTTTTCTCAACCTATTTAGCTATCTGTCGAAGAGGCGTGCTGAGAAAGCGTATCTGCCAATGGCAAATCGGCTTTATGGCCAGTCTGAGCCTGGGCTCAACTTGTCATTCGTATAAAAAAAGGACACAGCCAAGCAAGCATGCACGTTCTGGCGGGCGTTCGAATATTTCAGGGAATAAGACCAGGTGACATTTGTTCCAGCAGAATCCGTGCTATAAAAATTCATCACCGTTAGCGAATTTCTCAGTTCACTCGGAGAAACGCGGTATGGCAGTGAAGCTTTTCTTGTGTTTTCTAGTTTTTCTCGCCGTGGCAGATGAGCTGCATAGCATCCCGCCAAGACGAAGGACCATGAGACGAAATAGTACTGGTTCTAGCGGTCTCACAAACAGATTCAGGTTAGATAGAGCTGTAAAATTTCATTAATTTCCATAAAGTGTCACATGTGAAATTTTATTAAATGTTTAACATTGAGTTTAAAACGACGTTTGAATGTCACTTGCTGCCCATCAGATTATCCAACTTACGTAGGGCTCATTTCGCAACCAAACGATATCGTAGAAGTCCGATTAGAATTTCTACACCAATTATTTGCAGTGATTTTACTCAATTTCTCATAAAAATGTTTAGCATGCACGAGCCCTGTTAACAGAAGGTTCTGTTATCAGCACCGACTGTTATTTTTGCATAAAGCTTTTTCTTCCTACCTCCTCAACAGAAACGTTTCAATTTCTTCTCGACCATAGTTATAGAGAAACCAGTTTGTGACGTGATTAGCGTGATGAAAACTCAGCGTGACACGCTACCTTATGATTTCAAATTTTAGAGAATGATGTGACCTTTCCTTGTATTGTGTATAAAAATAAACAGAATAAACAATTAATTTCACCTCTTCATTCCAGAGGTTCGTTTTCGGGTTTCTCTTTTCGTTGGGGCTCATCAAGGAACAGTAACGGAGCAGGACCATCGACAAGGAGGTCCAGCCGTAGCATGTCTCCGGATCTCCAAGTACTGGATTCGCCACCGCCTGTGTTCCGCCAACGCCAATCGCAGCCTTACCAAACACAGTCTTTCAGAGTGCCCCTTTCGAAAGTTTATGGCAGCACGACTTTTGCCTCGAAATACGAGAAAGTGGTGAACAAATTCCGAGAGATCTCCACGAGCGAAGGGGAACAAATTATAACGGTAACGCATCTCAGAGCACTCGGACAATGTGTTGAAATTATGTCAACTCTCGATAATTCGAAATGCAAGAGACCGGAGAAAAATTCACAAAACAGCCTGTCTGGTATGGGCATGTGCAAAGGATGCCAGATGATAGGTTGCCTATGAAGGTTCTAGATTGGGTCCCCCTGGCAGAAAACGTACAGGAGGCCCTGCCAAGCAGTGGACTGAGGGAATAAGTCAGGGAATGAGGAGATGCGCTCTGCCGGATTAGCTCTGACTAGATCGCTGTCAGTGGCGGTTGGGTGTCGCAGGGCGCTCAGAAGCGCTACAAGAGCGACTTGTTAGTAGTAATAGAAAAATTCGTATCGTAGGATCATTCGATAGCTTATCGAACATTCATCAAGTTTAGTCTCCCATGCATTCCCATGCATTTCTCGCAAAATTTTACAAGAGGGAAAGTACTTACATCGCAGTTCCCTGACACATGCAAGAACCTTATTTTTGATGTCCTCATTTTACTGATCCTCGTGTTCGTTGTATTAAAATTCCAGGCGGATGACCTGACAGAAAAAAAGACGGCCCTCCTCCAGAGAGTAAACACAGACCTCTGCAACGACGCAGTAAATCGAAGGCGTGCAGGAAATAATTGCGTATTGGCTTTCATGGAGTTCATGAAAATCGCGAAGCCATGGCGTGGTCCATGCAAGGAGGCGTTTATGGGTTGGTGCCAGCCATATGGTCCTCCTGATGCCCCCGTGTGGAAATGCTCTTTCTTCATAAAAACCTCCGAGTCATCGGATGGTCTTACGGTCGCCGGGTATTCGCACACGATGGAGGATTGCGTCGGGAGGCTTTCCCCGGAACAATTTCAGGAGGACCTGAACAAAGCGCTTTCTTAATACACGTGTATTAGCCGCCTGTCGCATGCCATGTCCAGAGATGAAAAATACAATTTCGTTTTGCTGACTATTGAAATTTCTTTTTACGAGAAAACTCAACAATTTTTCAGGGGGGGGGGGGCGGAAACAGCCCACTGCCACAATGAGCCAATGGAGAATTTGCAGGCAAATTCTTTATTGCTACATCTGAAATTGCCTAAAGAGCTGATTTTGCGGTATTTTTTATAATTTTTTTCGGCAATGGGAAATGGTAAAAAAATATATTCAAAAGTGAATAATTGCGCCGCCTAGTGACGTCATCTGGCGGCATTTCCCATTTAAACGCATGCATTTTAGCAGATTAGATAATTTTTCATATCTCCTCCGATGATTGTTCGATTTATGAACCAAGGGTATCCTCGTGTTTAGCTCACTCGTAGCGTTCATTCGAGCACGGAATTCATCAAATGGACGTAGTTCTACCAAAGAGACCTATGTGGAGGTGAGAAATATGGGGTGTGCTCGTTAGTCTCTGGCCGTAAGAGTGAATGAGAATAATTGTGCGCCAGTGACGTCAGCGGAGGAGGACGCCGCGTCACGTCCCTCGTGGTTGCGGTAGTCGTGCTCATTAACTCATGAGCCCTGTCCACAAGGCTCTCTTGCCATGCCCGCGGCTCATAAGTTCCGCACTCAGTTGCACATAGGTCTCTTTGATAGAATGCAATATCCCGCTTTTCCAATTCTTCAAAAGGAACCACGCCCACTGACCACATTGCTTCTTATGCAGCTTCCACGAGCACACCCCACATTTCTCATCGCCACATAGGTCTCTTTGGTAGAAATACGTCCAAATTTGAGACACCTGCAAAGTCTCCATTAATAAAGATACAAATGGACGTCCCGCCGAACGGAGCCAGACACAGGTGGGAATGAATGGGAATTGTAAAGCGCCAGTGACGTCAGCGGCGTCGACGGGTGCGACGACGCCCGGCAGCTCATAAGCCCTGTCCACAACGCTCTTTTGCCACGCCCACCCTGGTAAAAATTGGCGATAAGAGCTGCGTTTCAAAATACCATACGAATTCTTATAGCCGGCTAAAGAAGGCTACATAAAATCATATAGCTGGCTGTAGAATGCGGAGAAAATCATACGGCCGGGCTATAAGAAGCGATACAAGATTATGCAGCCGGGCTATAGTTCCTATCGCCGGGCTTACACTTTATCGCCTGGCTGTTGCTTTTTCGCCATCGATTATAAAAGGCTATATGAAATTGTGTAGAAATTTTTGTGCTTTGTAAATCATTAAGTTTGATACGGAACCACCTTAATATTTACAAAACACACATTATATTTTCTTTTAATACATATTTTTTCACATCAATTAAAACGAGAATAATCCATACAGGATGTGCAAACATTTCAAAATCATGAGTTGAATAACGCTAACTCCGCCAGATTAAATATTAGAGCCTAACACAAAGCGGAGCGGCGACGCACTGGCGCCTACAAACCTAACATGGATACTTCACGCATTGCGCAATGCGTGAAGTATCCCTGTTAGGTTTGTAGGCGCCAATGCGCGTTTCGCGCTGGCTGCCGCTGCCCGCCTGCCGCACCGCAGCGTGCCATGGCGCTTGAAGCAACTATTTCACACCAGAGGTATTGCACAGTATCATACGAAACTGAAGGCGCTCTAATATATTAGGAATGGCAGGCATCCATCAAAAGTACGGAGTTTTCCTCGCAAAATAAATCAAGATACTACGGCCCAAAAAGAGAGCAGTGGTCCAAAAACTCACTAAGTCCTAGCATCCGTAATAAGTGACGTTTAGCATACACTTTATCGCCTGGCTGTGAGTTGCTTAATCGCCATCGGCTATAAAAGGCTATAAGAAATTGTGTAGCCGGCTATAGAAGCTATTGGAAATCTTACAGCCGGCTGTAGGTCTATGGTATTTTGGAACACAGATTCTACTGCCAATTTTTACCAGAGCACGGCTCGTGAATGACGCATACCGTTGGCGCTTGGTTCCATTTGGTAGAATGTCGCGCCCACTTTTACATTGTTTCTTACACAGCTTTCAAGAGCTCTCCCCATCTTTCCCACTCGTATATAGTTCCGTTTAGCAGGAACACGTCCCAGTTAAAGCACGAGATAACATTTTTTTTCTCTCGTTAAGTTTTCATGAGGGGAGCGAAACACACCACGGAAAGTCTAGAAATCAACTCCCACATAAGTGATAAGCGTTTAAACAATCAACGTTTAGCGTTTTGACGTCATCTAACTCCCATTTCGTCAGTGTTAAAAAACCTTTTCTAGGTATATAAGGACGTATTTATGCTAAAAGGAACTATGTTACAAGCAAACCCTATGCACGTAGTTCCTTTTAGCACAAATACGTCCATGTCTAGTTCAGGAGTTGATTTACGAACTTCTCGTCGTGTGAGTTGATTTCCACGCAAGATTTTTAAGAGATAAAATGTGACATATTTTCCAAATCAGACACTGTTTAGTGACCCCATATCCGAGGATTCGATAAGAAACCTCAGAATTTAACCCTCTATGACATTGCGTTACGAATTCTTATCAACGAAATTTTTCGTTTTTAAAAATTGAATCCTTTCTCTGTGGTTTAAAATTTCAAATTTTCATTAGTTTTTTTTTTTTTTTTTTTTTTTTTTTTTTTTTTTTTTTGAACAACCGATTCCCAAACATTTAAAATGTTGCAGACAAATTCGGTACCCTGTGGTTTTTAAGCAAGCTACAAAATGGATTAGTGTCCTTTAGAATCTAAGATTTAAAAAAAAAAGTCATGGCATAGAGGGTTAACTCCTTCTCTCTTTTTTTTTCTTTTTCTTTTTTTTTCTTTTTCAAAATTTCCAAATTCAGATTTTACTGTCTCTGTGCGTTTCATGTCATACTGAGTAAATTGCAGAAGTTACAAATTATTGTAAATTTCTGACTGGATTTTTTTTTTAAATCTTCCGCGAAGACAAATATACATTGGGATGATCGCTCGAAACTTTGCCTGAAGTGTCCATGAAACTACTCTGCCGCAATCGTCGTTATTAGGTCAATGAGTATATGGACTACTTTACTATACCTACATGTCAGAGTGGTTACGTTGTAATGCATTTAAATAATAAAAGTATCCTTCGAAAAATTGACTATGTCGCGATAAAAATCAGTAATAGTTTACTTCATCGGCGTAATAGGCAACGCTGAACTAACTGAATGGTGTAGGTAAACAAGCAAAGCGTCCTTAGGTAGTGTAGAATGCGACGAACACTATTCAAAACTCTAGGATGCAACTATTCGAGCTCTGCGGATGTCGGTGTTGCATACGCACGAAGTTGAAGGCGTTTTGAGTTTCCAGGCACTACCGCTTCACTCACGGCGTGACGTGGTGGCAGGCTGCACTGCGAGATTCCAAAATGACATGGCACCCTATAACAACCCCATAATGTTGGTGCAGTCTCCTTTTTAAAAATATAATAGGAGCGGAGATTTTGAAACACCACAACAACTGAGATGCGCATTTTTGCAGTTTCACGGTCGATATGATCTATTTGTCATGTGAAACATTGCTTCTAAAGTGCAAAACCACGTATCTATGCTATTGCGACGCCGCAGACTTCCTGTCATACTTAATGTTTTCATTGGAAAACCCGTCAACGTAATTTCTTGAAAATTGCTCTAAGTTTTCTTCTCGGCAAACAGAATATTCTGCGGAAGTTTCAACCTATGAAGTTGGTTTGTTTCCCTTTAGAAAACTGAAATAGGTGTAAATTTTGAAACACCTCAATGGACTACGTGCTTTACATCTCTGGTTCTTCAGTAAGAGGATTTTATTCGTCTTTGGGTGGGGAGGGGGTGGGGCGCGCTCCTAAATTTCCCGCTCAAATTTTGAACGGCGAAGCCACGGAATCAATCGTTGTTTCCTAGTTGTTTCCGGCCAAAAGTCATCAAACAACAATAACAGAGTTTTTGTCCACGCGTTACTGTACTGATAAGTGGAATGTGGATCTCGCAGCAAAAAATGATAATGATTTAGTGGTTTTTGGCGTAGAGAACTGGTTTATAATTTATTTATCCCGATTCGGAGTTTAGTGTGTCATCTTTCAGAGAAGTTCCTTTCCATTTAAGAAACCGGATACACCGAGAAAATGGAGGTTAGTCTCTTATCTGTCTCGACTTAGTTTTAAGTAAATTTTAAGTTGAAGCATCCTTCTTGGATCAATTATTAGTTTAACTGGATGAGCGACTCAACTTCAGCATTATTATTTCTTTCATATCAGACCTATAACAATTGTAGGATTTATGAGACCTAAACCTTGTACCCACTTCCTTATTCTGATCTCTTAATTCTTCCATGAAATCTATTGATCGGCGGGTTCCTAATTACCTGAATTTGCAACTCAATTCTTGCCCCATTAATAACCCAGCTGGTTGCAAGTTTGCCCACCAGAATAGGTACTAAGCTATTATAATTAAATTGACGCTTCATGGTAAGGACATCAAATCTAATAGACCCTAGCCAGCTTCAGTAGACCAAGAAGCTCACTCTTCTTGAAGTCTCTGCGTTGGTGCTGAAGACCTTGCTACCTGCATATTGCTCGGGCACCTATGTCTATAGGTATAAATTGCCAACTAGTTGTTTGATCGAAAAAGGAATAATTGTCTTTGAATGTTTGCACAAATAAAAACCAACAAATTGACAGCGTAAGTCCACAATCACATATCTCGTGTGCTGTGTCTGAAAATCTCTGCCTCTATGTTATTTTTTAAAGGAGAACAAATTGACATCATTCCTCAAGGTTTATGCAGAATTTTCTTTGCACAGAGAAGAAAAATCACGGTAGTTTTAAAGAATTACTGTTGAGTAGCTTTCTGTTTGAAAAATAAAGTATGACAGGAAGTCTGAGACGCCGCAAACCGAGCTATGTGATTGCCGGCTTACATCCTCGAAATGTGTTGTGGAATAAGACCAGTAACTGGAGACTGTTCATATTGCGCAACTTACAGTAAACATGGACAGTTTCCAAGTGTATGGTCAGAATTGTAATCCCTCCCTAGTTTTAGTGAAGAAGGAAGCGGAACGATCTTGAACTTAGTTCATTATCTCTGCAGGATTTAAAAATAGAGGATGAAGGTTCAGAAACTTCTCTTGAGAAGTATAGGTCCTGATAGTTTTTTCAAGACACATAATTTCTGAAAAACAGAGGTAGCTTCTCCCTCACAGAAAGTACATCATAGTAAAAAAAAATTGCCTTAAAAAAAATAGTGAAAAACGATTTTCACTGCACTGAATTTCTGTGCTGTATCCTTTAGTGGACGACGTCATGACCAAACAACTTGTTTGGTATGGTCATGTCAATAGGATGACTGAAGAGAGGCTGCCAAAAAAGATGCTTGATTGGGTTCCTCCTGGGAGGAGACGTAGGGGACGCTCGGTGAGAGGTTGGCGACAGGGGGTGTTGAGTGAGATGAGGGAGTGTCAGCTCCCCAATGACCTGTGGGAAGACCGAGCTTTGTGGCGATTGGGCGTCGTAGAGCGCTGTAAAAGCGACTCATATGTATGTATCCTTTAGTGGACATGTCATAGTCCACGTCCGACCATAATGGTCCGAAATCCCGAGGCAATGAGGCACTCACTCGAAAAATTACTCAGGATGAAGGCTTTATCTACTGATTTTCAAATTCCTTCAGCCTTCTTGCTTCTCAAAGTTGTCATGTTGCCTTTGATATGTGTATTGCAGCTCATTACCTGGTTTTTCATCTCTAATTTTTCCCGTACCCTTTTTTTTCAGCTTGAAGTTATTTCAACCAGTGGAAAGACAATCGGCAAGGTCAAAGTAAGTAAATAGGTGATTTCAATGATTTCATGATAGTGGTAATAGTTGTGTTGGCATCTAAAGTTTCAGCGTTTTGAAGGCGAGTCAACTATTCTGAGATATAGCATAGATATCTCTTTTTCATTTTTTCTTTCACCTAGAGACTCATTTTGTCTGACTCCACCAAAGACTAAAATTTTCTGGAATTGATGGGAACTGCTGAAACAAATCAAGTAAAAAGACAAATGTTTTGAGAAGAGTATTGAAGGCGCCGTTCTTAAAATAAGTAACGCTCTAAAGGGGAAAGGCGTTGAGGAGAGTGTTACACCATTTTGTTTTTACTTGCTAAAGGATAGGGACTTGCATCACTGAAGCGTTATAATGGAGGGGGTGTGTGAAAAGTTTGAAATATTCATCACCTATGTATTTTATGAATTGCTCCTTATTTGAGAAGTGTCTTTTTGTTAAACTCAGATTCCTACTGATTCTCTGGATGTGATGTTTGTCAACAAACTCGTCAAGTAAAACAAAAGTTTTTTCCCCTATTTTGATACCAATTGTTCATTTTATATTTATTTGTCGTCCAACTATTGGTGGACCCTTATTGCTTGTACGAGGGGAGCTTGTAACGAGTAAGTTGGAAACTAAAATAGTCGCGGGTTTGGACTGACAGTAGTATAAATTAATGTCTTAATTCTGGCCTTTAAATTATAATATCCTGTCAAAATTCTTGTTTTTAGGTACAAAAGTCAAATACAGTAAAAGATGTTAAAAATGAAATTTATAAAATCAAGAAGAATCTGTATCCTGATCGACAGGCAATCAAGTCTGATCCCAAAGGAAGAACTTTGAAGGATTCTGATACTTTGCAATCCTTGGGTAAGATGCTTTCTCTACTGATTTTCTTTATCTATATTTGTGTAGATGGTATTAATATGACTCTATTAAGCTCTCAATAACTCTTGTATTACCATTTTTTTTTTTAAAAAAACCACAACAACAACTCTGTAAGTACCTGGACTACCTTTTCTAATTTTTTGGAGGTCTTCCCAATTTTATGCAGAATTTGTCTCAAGCCATTCTAGATGTTTTACATCTGTGCAAACAAAATGATCATGTCTTCTGTAGATTTCCTTGGAAATGGCAGATGAAAAGTGTTTTTGCTTCGAAAAACACATCGAACTCAGCACAAAAATATCTCAGAATTCAACTGCCAACGAGCATGATATTAAGACCTGTTTTATATTTTTTCAAAAAATTCCAGACAGAAAAATTCGGAAAATGATGCTTTGGAAATCAGAAACTTTTTTTAATTTTAATACTTGCGTCAGTATGAATGATTAATACAATTTATCATTTGTCATGTAAAGTCAAATATGTTGAAAACTTCCTGTGAACAACAAGAAAAGATAATAATTATAACACTACGAAACATGTTTCCTACCTGATCAAAATTTCATGCTATGGAGGTCAGAAAAATCCAAAATTTCCCAAAGCAAGCTATGAATAAGGTACTAATGTTTAATGGTTACATTTAAATGAGTCAGTTTGAACATTCTGCTCCCTATAAAACCAAAAACGATGTGAGTAGGTTAAAATCAACCATTGAAACCTCAGGATGCCAGCCAGTTAATTTAAGTGCTGTATAACAGAGATTCGATTGCACTCTAAAGCTTGTCAAAAATAATTCAGTATAGCACAAAAATTATTCCACTGGGAAGCATACTAAAATTGGTTCTTTGTCCAATTTGACTTGTGTAGATTTTGGTTTTTTTGGAAAGGAAGAGGTTTGATTTTATAAACAGAAAAAATGCTGATTCCAACCCTAAGAATTTAAGTTGAAAATTTTCAGCGTGTCTAGTGTCTTCTACGGTAATTCTCAGTGGCAGTTTATGTGTGTGATGCTTAACCAACCGTGTCAAGTAGTCTCTTTATAACTAGACTGAATTCTTTTTAAAAAGGAATAAGGTTGGGCTATGAAAACATCATACTTAGTTCAGTGAAAAAGTTTGTTTTTAATTCTTGCAAGAGCATGTATTTTCACAGATTTTTCTGATGGGAAGAAAGCTAAGTTTCTACTGTATGATTTTTTCTTTTCAGATCTGAAAAGTGGCTCAAAAATTTATCTGAAGGATCTGGGACCGCAGATTGGCTGGTCAACAGTTTTTCTGTGTGAATATGCAGGACCTCTTTTCACATATTTAATCTTTTACCCAAGACCAAGTTTAATTTATGGAGCTGCTGCGGCTACTCAGAAATATGCGGATGTTGTCCAGTGAGTTAATGGTTTCCTTTCAATCTCTTTCCTCAGTTTGATGTTAACAATTTCAAAATGGATCACTGTACAAGGTATGAATTTTATCATTCTGATGTATGTCTCCTCTTCAAGATTTCAAATACAACAGAATTTGTGCAACAAAGATTATTGACTTTCACTTCAAATCAAGATCTCAATGTTCTTATTCACAAAAAATTATTATTTACAAAAAATTTGAATTTCTCATTCACCAGGAAAACAAAAGTCTATTTAAATCACATTGCGCACAATGACGGTTTTGATAGGCTTCTCAATAAACAGTATTCCCTTCCCTCTCTATGTCATTTGACGTGTAACGTGCTACAGCTGAGCTGAAACGTCGATTTTGAGGTTGTCATATTTTCATACTGCGAAGACTGTAACGGCAACGTTCAGTGTGAGATTTAACTCAAGTAGATTATTGTTTTCTCTATGAGTGGGAAGTTTGAATTTATGCCTAAAAAACGCTATTATCTTGGTTAAGAGTTACTTTCACTAATTTTTGCTGCGCAAATTAAGTTCAACATGGCATCACGATGAGGAAATATATTTCAGAATGCTTAAATTTGTACCTTGTCTAATAGTCCATATATCTCATCACAAGAAAAAACTCATGGGAGGACGGACTAGATACTGGTGAATCTACTTAGCTATCTGCTCAGTGGTGCAAAAACTTCCTGACTGCACATCACAGCAGGCAGGTTGGTGGCATGAAAATTGGGAGGGTTGCTTTGCGCCAGCGAAAAAATTGGGTTTTTCATTTAATCGCAATACGTTTTTTCCCATTAAAATAAAGCAATATTCAACTGAAGAGCAGGGAAAAATGTATCTCTTTGTATATTCTAGAAAATGGGGTGTTAAAAATGGATTATTTCGCATCCCTACCTCAGCCAGACTCATTAAAATTTTTCACAAGACTCGAAATAGAAAACAGACATAGAGGATGCTAACTTTTTAGGTTTGGTTTCAGTAGTCCGTTAATGGAAGGTGTAAAAATCCTTTTTTACGAAGAAAGTTTCCTGCGCTTTTTTATTACAAAGTCAACTCTTGTTGCAAACATTCAGTGCAGTATTTCCAACTATGCCCTGACATTAACTAGTTTTTCCGCAGTATTGAGATAGGTTTCTGCTTATGCAAATGAAGCAAATCTATTTTGATTGTTTATTATAATACTTTCAACTGTAGATAAGACTGTATCACTTGAAGTACATAGGAAAAAAATGAATCATGGAAGCAATTTGGAAGTGGGAGGAGTGATAATGGTGTAAACCTCTTTTTTAATTTTTTTTTTTTTTTTTTTTTTTTTTTTCATCAAAGGCTCTCTTATCAAGGGAGTGCAACACGCAACCTGAACCTTTGATAATCTGTAGAGTTATTAAATAATTTAACACTATTTTATTGAAGATGAAAAATAGTTACACCAGGGAGACATTACTGGTGTGAAGCAATGATGAAAGACAGGCAAAATTCTGTTGCTCTCTCTATTTCCTATTTCAGGAAGTTGTTTCAGCAAAAATTGAATTTTGACTCTAACGCACTCAAGAATTAAAAGGTTAAAATCCATTAAATTTTCTTTCACAGTATTGCTGCAGCCTGTTGGAGCATCCACTATGCAAAGAGAATTCTGGAGACCTTGTTCGTTCACAGATTTTCACATGCCACCATGCCAATCATGAATTTATTCAAGAACTGCACCTATTACTGGGGATTTGCTGCGTTTGTCTCTTACTTCATCAACCACCCCTTGTACACAGCACCGTGCTGTGTGCAAGTATATGCTGGCTTGGCAGCTTTCACGGTAGGTAGACATCAGAAATCCTACAACAGAAAATTGTGAATTCAACCACCAGTAGACAGGGTTGAAGCACTACATACTGTTCACCAAAATTACAAGCAGAGTTGGGCATAGTGAAATTTCCCAAACTCAAATACCTGGCTTACTGGAAAACTGAACTTTAATTGAGTGCAAATTGCATCTTTTGGGATGAACTTTTCTTCAAGTTCTGAGTTTTTTTCTACAAGTGGTCAGTGGGGAAGTATCATGTACCAAGTGAGAGAAGAAATTTATGTGACGGTACTTAAATTCTTGGTTGGTTTGACCAACTGGTTTGTAGTGTGATCAAAGTATCACATAAAGTACACTATTTTTGGGGTAAAATCCGCTGAAAGGAATTAGAATTGTCAGTTTACCCTGGAGTGAAGATGACAATTTCAAATCAAGTATTTTGAGGCATTGATTTGTTTTGTCAAAAATTATTGTAAAAAATCACATAAAATTTGTGGAGTCAACCGAAAATCAGAATCGATTTTCCTGGCAAACAGTTGAACTTGAATGATTTTTTTAGAATTCAAATTTTGACTCAAATTCTAAGGAGGATGATGGCAATGTTACTATTTTGGAGATTTCCTATTTTTTGAGTCTTGCAAGTAGACTTTTTCCTCCAGTCATCAAATCGTATCAATCGTTTGCTGAAAAGAAGCAAATTGATTCCCTATATAATAAGTTTTTCTCACAAATTGCTATTTTTACTCCCAGGAAGTAAATTCTATCATATAGATAGAGTCAGATAAAACAGTCTATTTTGCAGTGTTTCTAAATCTCATCTCCTATTTTAATGTTTTGAAAGGAAACCAGCCAACACTTTTGCTTAAAATTTTGTAGAAATAAATTCAGATGTGCATTGATAGGGTGCGCTTGTGACTCAGTGGAAATGATTTAAGAACCGCTTCCGGGAGTGTTGATCTCTTGGAACCGGCAGGGCAACAAAATCAGTCTAATGAATTCTCAGTGATTAAGTGTTTTTTTTTTGTCTGATTTAGTTCTGTGAGCTTGGAAATCTGAGCATTCATCTGGCTTTGCGTAACCTCCGACCTCCTGGAACGACTGTGAGAAAAATCCCGTATCCAACAAAAAACCCCTTCACTCTTCTCTTCAACAGAGTTTCTTGTCCTAACTACACTTATGAAGTTGGCAGCTGGCTTGCATTCTCTATCATGGCTCAAAGTTTACCAGGTGACAAATTATTAGCTTTTATTATTTCTATATTTCACTTATTTTTTGCTTTTGAAAACCTCTTAAAAACTATAGAAGAGAAAGAAATACTGAAACAAAGAGGAGAAATGTTTCAATGGCGGAAGTGCAAAACGTGGAGTGCTCATGTCACTATGGTCTTTCAAAATTTCCACTCCAATTTTAGTTTTTTGAAGAGAAAAAAGCCAACGTTATAGCTTACAATTTCTTCAGAATATTCCCTGGGAACCATGTTTTTTTGAACTGTAAACCTTAAGTTGTCATAATTATGATCTACATCAGGTATTGTTTGCTTTAAAATTTCATTAAAATAAAATCTGGGCAGTGGCTACGGCAACTCAATTTTGAAATTTTATACGCGAAAGTCACTTTTCTGTGGATGGTCATCTAATGCATTTTCATAATCGCCGAAGCAATGATTTTGAAAAATTATGACCTTTAGTAAGAAAGATTGACAACTGGGTTGTCAATTTTAATATTAAGAGCGAATATTTATATTCTTTTTCAAATTGTATCATGTAAGATGTTGACTAAAGATTTTGGGAATTTTTATAATTTTGATCAGAATATGACAAAAATCTAGGATTCTTTTTCGCCCAAATCTGAAGATACCTTGTTTTTCTGACCTCTCATAAACTGTTCTTGGAAACCTGGATCATAAAAAATTTTATCTGTTTTCTTTCACAGCTTTCATCTTCACCGTAGCTGGTGGTGCTCAAATGGCCATCTGGGCTCTTGGTAAACATCGCAACTACAAGAAAGAGTTCTCCAACTATCCCAAGCAACGGAAGTCCATCATTCCGTTCGTGCTCTGAAATCTTCATTTAACTATGTAAGATGATTAAGACTGCAGGGATTATGATTAAATCCTCCTCGTTGTATGTTATTTTTTGTATCAAGGGAAACTACTGATTTAATGTCAGGTCACTACAACTTCTAGGCCTTGTCCACACGAGCGCAGTTTACGGACCTTTCGGGCGAATCGGTTCAATGAACTGGGGTTTCCAGGAATAAGTAAGCTGAGTCATAATAATTTCAGGGAACAAATTTGCCTGAAGTTCTGCGAACCGTTCTTGTGTGGACAAGGCCCTAGAATTTAAGATGTTCAGATTTCTTCAAGGTTTGATGGAGCATTTTTCCTTGTTCATTCATTCCCCTTGCCAGAAAAAACTTGTCGAAAAAGACAGTGAAATGCTGAGTTTAAAAAACTCCTTATTTCTCTCTTGCTGTAGAAATCATCTGCAGAAATTTGACCCTCAAGATCAATATTTCCTTCTTGACTGTAGATTGTGTCTAATTGAAGATGATTCAAGTCATAATTGAATGTAAAATACTCATCTATTTGTGGTATACGAATTTCAAAACGAGGATTTTGTTTTCTTGTTCGATTTTTCTTGCCTCTTGTAAAAAGCTCAAAAAATTATGAGAGGATTTACTCCATTTGACGAAGGTACGCAAAGAACACTCACAGAATGTAATAAACTTTTATACCCTCTATTTTCATCCACATTTTTAAAACTTGTTTATCGTACATGTAAGGAAAAACTTCTTTTCTTATCAGAACTTGGATGATGAAAAATTCATCCAGCATTATTTTCTCTTTAGAAATGACTCAGCACTTGGAAACAATTGAATCAGTGAGAATGAAAGCACACCAACTTGGAAAAATTAAAATTTTCAGGAGATGCAAAAAACTGCGCAGCAAATGAAAAAGTTAGTGTATGAAAACTTTTTAGCGCTAAAGGACAAAAACTTAAAGACTAATATAAGGAAAAGCTTTTTGGTGCTGCCGTTACAATCACTTCTGATTACAATTTTAGAATTTCCTGCTGTGTATCAATGCGTTTACCTGTAGGCTATAAACCGTAAAAAATTGAAAATCGTAAAGAAAAAACCCAATTTGGTGTCTTCATTCTCACTGATTCAATTTTATACGAGGTCAAAGCACAATCAAGCTGAGAATCACCTCCAGGCAATTTCTTAATCAATTGAATGGCAGTTAGATATTAAGATCCATTTACAAGAGATGTTTTGAAAATAAAATAAAAACTTCAAGTGCAATATGTTTAATGTAGACATGATAAAGTTTGGGTAACTGAAAAGAGCAACTGCTGAATGGCGGACTTTTTTAAGCTTTCCTTGTATTTTTGGATTTGTTACTCAATTTACCAAATGTAATTTTGACTGAAAGCGTTCTGAAAAAGTTCTCTAGATAATTCTCTCAGATATTTGTAGAAATATACTCGATCATCAAAATTCAAAAAGTCTTTTGAATCTCTTTTTTTCAAAGTGACAGAATGAGTTCTGAGGTTGTGACCCCAGCAAATCCTATTTCATGTGCCATTCAAGTAATCAGTTTATCATTAAATGCTACTACACATACTCTGAACGATTTTTTAGAAGACTATTGCAATTTTTGTAATCGTAAGAAGGATTTCAATGGTAAAAATCCAAAACCAAGTATTTTGGTTTGCGATGTTGCAGACTTCCTTTCATAGTTTATTTTTTAAATGGAAAATTACTCAACATCAACTTATTGAAACTTCAATAATTTTTATTCTCTGTGCAAAGAAATCTCTATAAAAAATTGATGGAATGATGCTGATTTGTTCTCTTTCAAAGAAATAAAATGGGACCAGAAATCTTAAAATATCGCAAACAAGGTGCGCATGTTGAGGGTTTCACCGTTGATTAAGTACTTTCTCATTAATTTAAGTTTTCTGTAGGTACACCAAGCTCTAGCATTATTAAGTTTTTTTTTAAGTATCCAATTTTTTTTAAAATACAAGTAAGCCCGGTTGTGGAAATTGGCATACTCTTTGGTTTTTAAGTATTGGATCTTTTGATTGGTCAAGGTTGAATAGTTGGTATTTTTCTTTTTATACTTTATAATAAATCATCAGTAAATCAGTTTAGTTCGTGTTCTAATGTCCTTTGTCAGTCCTTTTTCTTCATATTTTTTCCTTTCTATATTTTGTACTTATTATATCATCTTACAATGACTTAAGGGTATCTCAATCAAAATTTATTTTTTAGTGAAGCCTAATGGTACACAATTAGCCACGTATTTAACATGCTCGGAAGATGATAAGATCATTTTAAGACAAACCTCCCCCCTTCCTAAAAAATAAAAAATCAATTGGTACTGGAGTGAAACTCCTGCAAGTCACAAAATTTGTAAAAAGTTGAAAAAATTGTGGACATTTAGAACAGGACATGTTTTTCTGTAGCCAGTAGACTCCCTAATTGCTGTTAATACATTGGAAACATGGACTACCATGAAAAAATCGGTATGATGGGGGGGGGGGCGCTAGAGGACAGCTTTAGGAAAAACTTTAAGAGGTGAGAGAGGAATGGAATAAAAAGAAAACTACAAGTTTTAAGGTATTTTCCGTTGTATTTTTACCAGAAAAATTGTCTAAATATTAAATTAACATTAAATACATCTAAACTGACAAATTATAATACGGATAAAAATACAAAATGAAAATATGATAATTTGATTGAGCGAGGCAATTTTGAGTCTGGTCAAAAGTTACAAGTCAAAGTATTCTATCCCTTCTCTCTAGAAAGAATAATTGAAATATTTTAATGATTTACTAATAAAGAGATATAATTGAACTAAAGCTAGAAAAAAAAAATCCATTTTAGATAATTTTTCCTCGTTTCAGATGAATTTGCAGCAAATCGAACAATTAGTTGTTGAATCATTTTTTCTAGAATACCAAATTTACTCTCGATTTTTAGCATGAAACAAATTCACTACACTTTGTGGTGAATTTTATTCATCAATTCCAAGTAAATCTTCTGTGGAGCCTTGCACTAGAACCAAAACGAACTAAGAACAGAATCTTGCATCTGGCTGTGAAAATGAAATCTAAGTTCTAGTTTTGAAAATCTTAACCTTCCCATTGAATTCATCTTAATATACTAACTTAAAAACTAATTATCAACGCCAGATGAAATTACTGTTAAGGCTTGAATACCGTCTGAATTCATTTGATGAGTCAGAAGAGGATTCATTGGGTTTTTTTATCACATGATGAAAACAAACAATTACATATTTTTGCCTTTGATTCAGTGCTTCTGATAAATATTTTTTGGAAACATATTGTTGGAATATTCCTCTGAGTGTATGGCTTGTCAGCTGAGAATAGAGAGCAAAACCGGTATTATAACGAAACCTACTCGATATTTGATTACGTTTGCTGAGAAATTTCCTCGAGTGAAAACAATGTAAGAATAAGTCATAAAATTTGCACAGACTCACAACTCCTGGCTGTAGTAGTAGTTATGCAAGTACACCCTTCCCCTTAAAGACTTTAAAAGATATTCGAATAAAATACAATAATGTACAAACTTTACAAAATAATATACAAATCATAATCCTTACTATTTGAAAAGTGTTAACAACTGATTGACCTAAGTAAACAAAATGGTTACAAAGAAATAGGGATGCAGCAACAAAGATACAATAAAACAGTCCAACTAAGCGAAAAAATAAGAATGTTATATAACGAACGAATAAATAATTCAGAGTGGACTGGTTTTTCCGGGGACAACAAACAACATTATAAAACCTGTGATTGAACATCCCCAAACTTTGACTTATTCCTGTAAGCTCAAAGATTCATTGATACAGTTTAACAAAAAAAAATAAGAGAAAAGCAAAAACAAGAAACATTACTCATGGAACAATTATCCATAGTACAGGAATTTCATTGATTTGAAGATCACCCCTTCCGAGCAGCAATATAAGTGCATTTTTTAATGCAAAAAGACCCACTTTCTGTCGCCTTTCATTTTGACGAAACATGTAAAGCTACCCAGGCTGTTTAGCAATAAAAATGGCATAGTTTGCATCATAAATGTCGAAATAGGAGTCAAGACTGGTAAGAGTCAAAACTCCTGGATTCAATTTTTCAGTGCTGAAAACAACCCCTTCAGTAACAAAAATCATGGCAGATAGCCGATAAAAGATAAATTTACACATTTAAATGAGTAAAAACAAAGACTAAATAGATCTAGATAACATTAAAAATGATAAAAAATTGAAGTTATAATTGCAGCGAGAATGATAATAAAATTTGAATTGTAATAAAAACGATTCACGACGAGAGATGACAGAACCCTCACCAGTTAGACGTCCATTCATGTAACTGATTCAACGGCCATTCATAAATCCTAAAGTAACAAAAGAGCAATTGTAGAATTAAGAAGTAGTAACAGAGGATTGAAGCGTACAGAAAGAGCGTTTCTCCATTGCGATGTCTCAAAATCAACATTTCAGTCATTAAGAGAAAAATAAATGCATACTTTTCATTGTAGCTTTTAATGAATATCAATGATGGAACTCCTAAACCTTGTATCTCGTTAATATCTCCACTCCCATTTCATTTTTTTGAAGTGAAACAAATCAACATTATTCCTTGAAATTATCATGGAATTTTTTTTGCGCAAACAGGAAAAATACCTGAAATTTTAGTGAGTTGGCAATGAGTAGTTTTCCATTTGAAAAATCAAGTATGAAAGGTAGTCTGCAACATTGCAAACCAATATATAAGGTTTGGAAATTTCATCATTGATGTATTTCTATGATTTACAACCATCATAACTATAGTTTGATTTGACACTTTAGATCACTTCTTGAGCACCCTCTGAAATAACCTCATTATGACTTGCGACTTGGGTGCAAAAACGGCACTTCTCAGTTTCAGTACTTCAGAATTTCTTTTAAAATTTTACCTCTGAACAGAAAAAAATGCTTAAAGAGAGATAGAAAAAATTAACTGAATATTCTTCAGAGTTCAACGATATCTTTGATATGTTTGAACATTGGTTGAAATGCATGTTGCTTCTAGACCAACCAAATGCCTCAGAAATCACAGAATTGGGGAAGCAAAAAGGTTATACATAATAAAAACGAGGTATAAAAACGAATAAAAACGAGTGATAAAATATAATTGGTCTTACCTCATTAAATTTTAACTTTGCTAACTCAACAAGTTACGAATTTCTTTGTGCATGAAGCATAGGAAATCTACATAAGAACTAGATCCATCTACACCTCGGTCTTCGACAAGGAAGTGTTTCATAACTATTTCCATTTTGTCACGAGGCCGCACCAATGTTAGCTGTGAATTTGAGAAGAAAATTGATAAATATAAAAATGTGATTAATAACATCCTTTCCAAGTAAAGAATACATAATTATATTAAATCTGTTAATAAATAATTCATCTCAATGTGTGATGGAAAATAATGAAGATCTACAGGGTTTTAATGAATAAAAAACGTAGTACAAATACACTGAGAAAACATAGATTTTGAAAGGTCCTTACAGAAATATGGAAAATGCACAGATTTTTCATTTACTAAAATTCAGGATTTTCACAAGAAACTTGAAGAAGACGCCTTTGAGGTATGCAATTCTTAAATATAATTTACTAGATAGTTTCCTTCCAAAATATCAGGTTCATTCTGTGCATTTCAGTTCACTCATTTAGAATTCTCAAAAAACAGAGTTCCTTTATCTCTTGCAAAAATTTGTCCTTGTCAGGGTTCAAAATGCAGGCAAGGTGAGGGAGAAGTGAAAAAAGGCACTGCTAAATCAAGGATTTCAGGAAACCTCTGAAAAGATGAATATCTTAAGAAGATTGGAAGAAGTAATAAGGAAGTAAGAATTTTAGATGATAATGTGCCAGTAGACACAATCTTCAAGACTTCATTAAAAGGCAGGAGCTGTCAGGTGTTTCCAATTCTCCTGCAGATAGACTTTCTTTGCGTATAACGATTATTACAAGGAAAAAATTATGCAAAAAAAGTCATTCAGCAGGAAAATTTGAGGAAAAATCCTAAACCTGCTCTATTTCGAATAACGCCTTTCTATTTTACCCTGTTATGTTACACATATTCCAGTGCATGAGAAAAAGATTCGACTTAACACATCTTCCGAACTCCAATCCTAAACACACACCCCCCCCCCCCATTAAACAGATAGGTTTTTTCTAATAACTCTCGTGTAGACTTTTTTTTTCCTTACATAAATGCATCCACTTGACATACCCGTAAAAGCCTTGTTAGGGAAAATCATAGTTATAGACAGAAGTTAAAAACCGAGGACTTAATGAAATTAGCATTTACTTACCCTCATGGCTCTGTTCCTCTGTGACCTAATTGATTTGATGAGTTCGCGAATGCGGGCAGAGAGGGGGTTCTCGAGATAAGGCAAACTGGCTTTGTCCGTGTCTATTTGCATCACGGAGGACACTCCAAAAACATTCATCACCCAATCATTACTAACATTTAAGCCGACCCACAAGAACATGTGGATTCCATTTTCTGCGCAAAAAGATACAAGGAGTATGTTCAGCATTTGAGAAAAGAGAGACCAAAAATGGGAGTTCATAAAAAAAAAACATTATTAATGTTGTAAAAGTTTTCTGCAGATCTCAAAATTTGAATAAGCGAATAGACTTGACTGAAAGATTAAGTAAATTGATCGTATCAGAAACAATAACCACAACAAAACTAGAATGGACTACAGACTTCATCCAGGCATAGTAATGGCGGATATTAATGAATTGCGAAAGATTTACATCCAAAAAAACAGATTACGGCATGATACTAAGATATTTTTCTTTTTGCATAGTCACATAGGTACTATAAAAGGGTCCTAGACGTACACCCCTAACACCTCAAGCAAGTAAGTAAGCAGAATGAAAGAGGTGTGTTTGTCAAGATTATTAGTAATATTTCATGATTTTTAATATTTAGTGAAATTTCTAAAAACAATTGCTGATCGGTAAAATTTCATTGTGAAAGAAAGAAATTGCTTGGAAGTCTCACCTAGAATAAAAGCACCTTCATTGTTCATTTTTTCAATGGAACACCTGATAGGAACAGGAATGTCCAGCGATGTGACATCAATATCTACTAATGGGATAAGACGCGGGTAGAAATATACAACCGAGGAGGGAATATCACTAATCATCACAGAATCCATTGCGAACCATCTGTCATCGATCGTCAAATCAGAACCTACATGGCAGATAATATAAAAATATATTACAATTCAGAAAAACGTCAATCAAAATCAGTGAATTTATTCTAACAGAAACAGTAAAATTAATACCAAGACTAAACAATATTCAGAGAAACCTTAATCATTCTAAGTTACCAAGATTTCTTATTCCGTAAAATATGAATTGCGGCGGTGTTCAACGTGATGCCAAACACTGCCAAAATGCTTTCGTTTCAGCATTAGCCCCCTCTCCCTCAATCATTTTGATGCTTTGGTGACCATTGTTAAACCAAGAAAAAAACCCCAACACAAATTCTTCAATACTTAGTAGTAAAAGAAGATCTAGACCAAAGAATTTGCTAAAAAGACAAAAAATACTGAGGCAAGTTTTTTTCCTTAGAAATATTGATTTGGAGAAAAGAGAAAGCTACGGGTAAATACTCATTAATCGAGATGAAATTAAAAAAATCTTCCAACTTCATAAATTAAATATCTCAGACTATATCGCCATCCCCCATCCCTAGGTCATGACTGTTGCAACTATGTTCGCTGGGGTAGAGTTGATCCAAGTACAGAGATTTGTAGTACAGATTTGTAGTACAACTGTAGATTTATAGTCTTAAAACTTCCACAAGATATCTCAAATTGTAAGGAGGATTGGAGGATGGAAAGTTTACACTGCTTTTTGGACAAAAAAAACTGTGAGGTCAAAACAGAAGAAAAATAACTTACCACCAGAGACCGCATCGCTTTTAAGAACGCAATTAATGTACAAAGGAAGTAGTTTCATGCATTCAGGTAAGATGAGTTGTCCGGCAGACGAAGGCAGTGCGCAGTTTTTACGATAGCAGGCTAAGATTTGAGCACAACGATTAATGAGCGATTCTTTGACAGCTTTTGGGGTAGCTTCCAATAATTTAAAAACGGCTGCAAAATAGAATAATAAAACACAATTTATAATGAAAGCAACAAGATTAGATTAGGATTGCATTGATCTACTAAATGTTTGATTTACTACTATTTTGGAGGAAAACTTTGACTTCTGTTGATCTTTAACTTTATAGCAAACCAACAGTAAAGAGCTCTTTGCCTGGAAAAAAAATTGAGTCGTCAATTTGCTTTTGATGCCGGACCTAGACTGATTACAAAGTAAAGTGACACAGCCTGGTGCAGCAAAACAGCAGAATGACAACTCATTTTTTTCGTTTTTTTCTCCGTTGGACATTGGTAAATTCTTATTTATTTCCAAACATCCTGATTTTTTATATATGTTACTTTCTTTATTTCATGACAGCCTTTCCTCGGATTAAGTTGTTATTTTACTATGTGATTTTTGATTGATTAACTTGAGCTTCATTTTCTAAGATATTGAGGTTTGGGTCGTTGCATTCCGCCAGTAACCAGTTCAGATATTGATTATCAAATTTCTGTAGAGTGTCTTATTTTTCAAGCAGTCTTTGAAGATAATGGTTTTGAAGTTCTGCTAACCTTGCTTAGAGAAGAAATTAATTATTGTATCCAACTCGCAGGCACGGAACAGATCTGCCATTTGAGAGCAAGTGTTCAAGGCTAAATTGAGGACACGAACTCTTCTTTGCGCACTACAGGACGTGTACAAGAGGGCTACTTGAATATAAACACCATCTTCTTCCGTTAATTTGTCATCGTGCTTGATCTCAACAGCCACAGCCTACAATACCAAAAAAATATTAATAAGAATGAGGAAAAACTAAAGGAGCATTTTTATTAAATTTTTATCAACATTGCAGGGTTATTTTTTGTTTTGCATTTGGACAGCTTTGGCAAGCAAGCCTTGGTTGAGTTATACTGAATATGTGACCATTTACAGGAATAACAGGGACGTTGAGACTACAAAACTCAAAATTGTGATGCAGAACTAAACCGCTGTACATTCAGGAGTAATTTACTAGCGTTTAGTTGCAGAAAAAATGACATAAATCTGCGCCAGTTTGGAGAGGAAAATTTGATGAATAATGAGTTTACCTTGTTACAATCTATACTGCCAAATTCCATGTCCGTAGTGTTGGCCATGTAAAAGTGGCCATAGAAATCGGTTGGTCGTACACCTGTTGAAGTACGTACTCTCATTATAGCGTTGAATGCAATTGGTCGACTAATGTTCTCGCATATATCCATGATCAATCTTTCTCCATCGACATCAGCCTGAAAGAATATAAAAAAGGCTTAGATCAGTACTCAAATAAGAGAACTCAGAATTTTTCCTGCAGAAAAAGTACAAGGAGTGTTTGAAATTGGAATCTCTGGGTTCTTCTGACGTTTAGGGCTTCACAAAATTTCTCTTTATAAAATTAATCAGAAGAGAAAGTACGAATTTAAGCATTCTGAAAAAGGTATCCCCTTCAAAATTTCATACAGAGCACAATTTGCTTGCAAAAATTGCTGAAATTCACTTCGAACCAAGACACTGACGTATTCATTAAGAATTGGTTATGAAAAAATTGCACTTCCCACTCTCATGAAAAACCAGAAGCACTGATAAAATTTTTCTTAAGTGAACATACTTTGAAAATATTCGAGAAAATAATTTTAAAAACAATTATATTTTTGTTTAACGCCATTACCAAATATCCTGTGTAAAGCATCGCCAATTTTAACATAAATTTAGACAGTCCTTGACAAAGCGATGATCTTTTTCGTTTTGGCGCTGACTAACTGATGCATGTAAAAAAAACTCAAGGGAAGGGTTTTGACAAATTTACTAAAAATTTAGAAAGTTGAAAACATAAAGTGTTTTTACCTGGAAATATGTGTACTTATAAACTTGACCTCCAGTCAACCTTGAGACTTGACCAATTGTCGCAAGGTCAATAAAGGAATTATTAAAAATAAATAGATCTACACTGCAGCCAGCACCAACACAGTCTTGACCTAGGTTGTTGTAAACCTGATTTTGGGGGCCTGAAAGATTTATAAAGAAAACAATTAGCGTAAACAAAGGATAAACAATCCGATCTACTGAGTTATATGAAAAATAAGCGTGTAGGAGAATTGTAGCCCTCTTGCAAAAATATAGAAAGAAAAATAGCGTACAGTTCCATGAAAAGGACATTAAAAGTCAATTAAGAGCTCGTTTTCCTATGAGCTGATCCTTCCATTTCACATGATCAAATGGAAAGTGTCTTCTTAATAACTTGAAAATACAGAGTTATACTTACTTAAAACAGACTTTTCTTTATCAGTGCCTAGTAATTTTCTATCATCTCGATTCTTCAGCTTGCCCGGTGCTTCAGCAATTGGTAAAGATGAGTGGAAAACTAATAGTTTCCCAGCACATTCCGCAGCCTGCAAAAATGGCAAAAAAACCAATTAAATATTAGATAAAAGGACTTCTTATCAATAAAGTAATCATTAAATTGACAGTATCGTACACAGAACAGAATTGAGGAGCAAAAATAAAAGTAAAATTTCTTTGTTAACCCACCCAGATTGTGTGAAGCAAATGCAAAGAAAAACACAAAGTGCCATACAACATATTTCCATTTGCGTCCGTGCATACCTCCTGTCATACTTCACTATTTTGTGGGGAAGATTAGTGAACGTAATTTCTTAAAAACTTCCTTGATTGTTCTCCATAGTTGGCAGAATATTCTGTACAAATTTCAAGTTTAAAGTTGGTTTGCTTCTCTTGGAAAAAATAAAACAGAAATGGAAATCTTAGAGCGGTCTTCTACTCCAAGATTGTCATAATTTCGGAAGTATCTCACGAGGCTTGGATAAAAATTAATTACCTTGAGTGCTTCAAGACCTGCGGTGATGGCCGGAGCTAGAATGGTCTCAGTTTCCCGCGTGTCCGCGAACATGGACGGAATCTGTTCCATCAAACTGAGGATCACTTGTTCCGATTCTTCTGGGTCGCACAGGAAACCATCCAACAATGGCATGAACATATCTGCCACATCGCCTACAACCATCATCTGTGGCTGACCAAGACAAGCCTGCAAGAGAGAAAAAGTTAAGTAATAATGATTCCTAGAAAATTGTGAGCATAAAGGGTAGGAGCATCATTTGCGAGGACAATGGCATCCTTAGCGTTCGCCAGGAGCGGGAAAGCTTACTTATGCTTTACCTTTTTGTAACGCAGGCGATACTTTGATAGATAAGTAAACGATTGAGTTTTGTTTTAAGTTATGAGGTACTTTATATTCAAAAATCATCATTAAGTCAATGTGACAAATTTTAAGTTTATAAGCTCATGATACTAGTAGAATAATATTGATTTAAAACTTCCAATAGTTGCTCGGAAATCAAGATAATTTTAATTGAAATTACATATGTATTTTCTCTGTAATCTTTCGGGGAGGGGCCACTTAAATCTTACGTAAGCTGTTTTGGCAGACTTGTTCACTCTCCCTCCACTTACAACAACTTTTCTATGCAAATCTCTCTCCCTTTCTGAATTACGGAGGCCTGGCTTGACCCTCCCTCCAATTTTTAAAAAAAAAATGCTAAAAACCGGAAAAATTGCGAAAAACATGATTCATATTGGAGCATACACATATTTTAGGCGGAGGGCTCAGGTAAGCTTAGGCCTGACCTCTTCTTGTAAACTCTGACCTCCTCTCTCTTTGAGACACTTACATAGTACTTAAGCGGTCCCAAAAAACCTATGGGGTAACAAATTGATGGGTTCCATTTTCTGATGTTTTTTCTCTCCCTGTTATCCAAGCCCAAACATCATCCTAATCAGTAATTCTTCCTATATTTAGTTGCCAGCAATGAAAAAACAATGAAAAATATCACGCCACAGAATCCGAACCAAAAAAAATTTAGTTTTGAGCAACTGGGCTTCGTGAGGTGAATTTTTTGATACTTTTGACCAAGTTTGAGCACTAAAAAATGCACTAATTGTAGCAATGCACTGCTCGCACTAAACACTAAGATCCTGGGTCTTCCTCTTGAACTTGACAGAAAATTACCTTGATGTTGTAAAAATGCACGGTATTGTTGTACGTGATGAATCCGACACGAACACTGCTTTTTGACTGACCAGGCTCCTTGGGTAGATTTAGCAATATACTACGCATTTGACTGCAAATTAGATGGACCATCCCTGATTTAATATTGTTATAGGAAACGTCTATCAAAAATATCATGGCTGGTGGTTTGGGGAAAGTGTTATTCTGAAAGCATGAAACAAATATTAGATTGTGTGTATTCAAAAGAAAAAAAGGGGGGGGGGATTAAAAAGGATGACTAGAAAACAGATTGATCTGATTGAAAATATTGGTGAGTTTTGATACTTTTTCTGGAAATGAATTTGAATTTTCAAACTTGAGAGTCCATAAAAGCATCTCAAAGTAGAGTCCATGACAAATACTTCATCTTTACTATAGAAGACTACTCAAAGTCAATTCTTTAAAACTTCCCTGATTGATCATCTTTTTATGGAGAAAAATCTGTGTGAACTTAGGAGAATGATGTTGATTTGTTCTGCTTTGAAAAAAATAAAATAAAAACCGAGATTTTGGGACTCCCCAATAAGACACGCTAGAGACAGGAGTTGTACTGTCGAAACGGAAACAAATTGAGGGACTTCGTGCCAGAAGAGCACTTGCTGGTTGCAGTTGTTCTGGAGCTCCGTCACTAACTTAAGTTTGATGGGTGATTTTTCCATAATCCTTTCTACAGAATGTTACATATCTATAAAGAATATTCAGTAAAAATGTTGATGAAACGCATGCATTTACTTCCCTTACGATGAATGAAATAATGGCAGAGACTTCAGAACACTGCAACCTAGAAGAGCCCTTCTCTCACCCAGCACCTCAATTTCAATTGGATACGTGGGTTATGTCTAGAATGAGCCAAGTTCCCAAATGCTAGAAATAGTCAACCTTTACTGTAGACATCCATGTAATTTTTGTACTTCAAACATTTTTCACTAAAAATCACAAAAATGTGACTTAATTTCTTCACTTGGGATACCCTTAAACAGCAATAATACGGTGCGGATCTAAAATTTGTTAGATTTACTGCACAGAAAATTCTGGGAATTTAAAAATAAAAAATTAAGTGATTGAACAAATATACACTTACTGTACAATATTCTTTGGTGGCAACAAATTCATATGCTCCTAAAACAAGTTCTGGACGTTCATATCTATCCACTCTTTGCCCTGTATGGTCCAAATGTTGGAAATATTGTTCTGGCACTGTTGAATAAACCAAAAAAATTAGAAAATTCAACAAAATCAAGAGAGAGACCGAATAATTTAGTTAGGGCAATTTCATTAACTAAACAGTAAAATATTTTGACTTACGCATGTATTATTCTGCTTGAAATTAGTGGAAAAAAGCATTAGACCTTTTATTTTACACATATATTTTTCATTTTGGGGAAGGGAAGGCAAGAGTGAGATATTTTTCGAACAGATAATGAGACCATTCTTTTCCGATTTGCTTGCCTCCTGCAATGATGTCGAGGTTTGAAAAACTTGGCATTCACAGTAATTTCCATCTGAATGGAACTAAAACCTGCTTTTCAGAAGCTTTCACTTTGTTCATCTTTGCAAATCAGCAGAAATTATAAACAGAAAGAAAGAGAAATGGTTGGATACAATATTAGAGTGGGTAGAGTAAAACAAAATTATTTTACAAGAGAGAATACCTACCCAACAAAAATGAGTAAGAATGGTCATTCTTTTTACATGAGTGTGAGAAAGTGACACTCTCTATTAAGAAATGACAGAAATAATGAAAACATTGTTGCCAAGTCTTGCAAGAACAATTTAAAGGAACGGATTAAAAGTAAAATGACCTTGTTCCTTTAAAAAAAAAGAGGAGAAACAGGAGCATACCGTCAGTAGTGGCTTTGCAAAGCATGCAGTGGAATCTTCGTCCTCCATCGATAAACTGCATAAATGGGGACATGTATGCTTTGCACCGGTTGCAACGCACAGGGCCGAGTTCTCCCATGTCCACGATAGGAGGATCGTTTTCCCCTGGTTTGATTTGAGCAAGAGGGCTCAACACGATGCCAAATGGCACAGATGCCTGAAAATGAAACAGTCACAACCGTTAAAAAATTTCTCAGACAACAAGATCATATTTTGCAAATGGAACCAAAACTTCGGGATGGTCAATTATGGACACATCCTGGACAATTTCCGATTAAAAGGGTCAATTTTTGCAAACCTTCCGACTTAGTTTTCACAGTTGCTTTCTTAACATGAGATAAAGCAGCCAGGCAAAAAATTGAGTGTTTGAAAGTGATTCTCATAAAATTTCTGGAGGTTATTACTCTTAAAACTCTGACACAGATATGTCAAGGAAAAAGAATGGAATCCACCCTTCACATGAAATTGACTTTTCAAAATTTAACAGGGAGCATGAGATCGAAGAATGAAGAGTACCATGAGATCGAAGAATGAAGAGTACCATGAGATCAAAGAATGAAGAGTACCTGTTTCATGATGTCTTGGGTGATAGGCACGTTGTACATGGTTGAGCGAATAAACCTCGCACTTGCATTCCCTTGATCTTGTACGATAAAATCTGTGGTGACTAATGGTGGCACCAACCCCTTTTGATTTGTATAGAATTTTCCGGACTTCGCACGTTGGTCATCAGTTATTACTTGAATCTAAAATTCAATTAGAAAACGAATGATTAATGGTGTGCAACCAGCAAAGAACAACAAGTATATATAAAGCGAATATATAAAACAAATATAAAAAGCGCAGGAAGAAGGTGTTTAGATGATGATTGGCAAAGTAGAAATCTTATGAGGCCAAAGATTAAATAATAAAGGCATATCTTTTCACTAAAAATCTCTTACCAAATCAAAACTTTAATTGTTGCTTTTGGCAATTCTAGGGGTTACTTTCTACTTTCGTCACCTTAGAATTCTAGTATCAAAGTAACACCCCTAACACCTTAACCTAGAAATTAGCCTGAATAACAAGATTTACAGTATTTAATAATAAAAATAAATTCTTACCGGACTAGGCATTTGGTCAGGGTCAAGCTTCCGCTGCGGTTCTTGTGGTTGAGCTGGGTAGTGTGGTTGCGAGGGCTGGGATGGATAACCCCCACTTTGAGGGTAGTTAGGTGAAGGGTATCCCCCAGGCTGTGGATACGATGAAGGTTGAGGTTGCGGAGGAATGTTGGGACTGGACGCGAATTGCTGTTGTTGTCCATAATACTGCTCTCCGTACTGAGGCACCCTGCTTGGCATCCTCGGCATACCTCCAGCCGGTGACCCAGGATATCCGTCGACTTGAGAAGTTGGATAAGGCTTGGCCAGTCCACCAGGCTGCGGTCCTCTAGGCAGAGGACCAGCGTTGGGTGGCGGAGGTCCTCTGAGCGGAGGACCAGCGTTGGGAGGCTGAGGTCCTCCGAACGTGGATGCTGGGGGTGGCGGTCGCATGGGAGGGCCAGACATGGGAGACGGTTTCATGCTGTCTTGAGGAGATGGCAATCCATTCTGCAAAGACTGAGAGAACCCATTGGCTTGAGGTGAATAATTTTGACTTAAACTTGGTGGAGCATTGAATTTTGATTGTCCGTTCATGGAGGGGGCGAGATTCGATTGGTTTGGCATTGAAGGAGGTCGGGATTGCATGGGCGGGTAGTTCCCCTGAGGATTGGGCGAGTTGACTGGCTGGAACTGCGACCCTAATGGGCGTGGCGACACTTCTCCGTTTTGGGGAGGAATTTTTCCGACTGCCTGGAAAGGCGAGTCTAGTGGTTTGGGTGGCTCTGCGGCACTCAGTCCGCCCGGACGAGGAGGGCCTGCCTGAGGCATTGGAAAGACTCCGCCCATTGGCTGAGACGTTGGAGTTGTCACAGGTTGAGGAGGGAATGAACCTGCAGGAGGCGAAACTTCGGGTGGCCCAGGTTGAGAACTAGGAATACCTCTTGGTTGTGGGGTAACGCCGAACTGGGGAGGAGTAAAACCTTCCGACTGAGCAGGACCTGTGAATTGTGATGGCGTTTTAGAAGAGGGGAAGCCTCCTGGTACTCCGGACTGAGCAGGAGGTAAAGGAGTGCCGGTTGCTTGTGTTGGAGGAAGCATAGGACTTTGATTCATTCCATCGCTCTGGATTGGTGTGGTGCCGGGGTTCAATCCCTGCTGAGGAGGTTTCATTGTTGGGGTGGAAACTCCCAAGTTCATGGATGGGGGTCCATTCATAGGTCTCGGTGGTCCACCTACTTGTGGTTGAGGGAATCCGCTGGGCTGTGAAGGTGGTCCATTCATCGGCGGCTGGTTGCTCATTAAAGGATTGGTTGGTGCTCCAAACTGAGATGGAGGTCGACTGCTTGGTGGCTGTGCGAACCCACCAGGTTGCGACGGAGGCGGCAGTCCACCGCTCGAGGCTGTTGCTGACCCGCTGAAAGGGGGCGGAGCACCCACCTGAGAAGGGGAGGATCTTGGTGGTTGGGACGGGGGCATGCCTCCGAATTGTGGAGGGGCAGAGCCAGGGGGAGCTCCATACTGCGGAGAAGCTCCAGGAAACTGTTGTGGGGGACCTCCTCCGAACTGAGAGGGTGGCAGTCCACTCATTGGGGACTGAACTGGTCCGTTGCCTTGAAGCTGCGGCGGCATTGCTGATTGTGATGCATTGAAATTCCTCTGTTGAGGGGCTGGGTATCCAGGCTGAGGCGGAAAGCCCTCCGCTTGAGAGTTGGGGAACATCCCTGTTGGAGCAGGTTGTTCACCATACATACGATTATCATACATGGACTGGAAAAACAGAACAAAAACAAAAATTACCGTCAAAGTTTAAGTTTTGATATTTTTGCAATGATCATATTAACTCCAGCATAACAATGCTTTCATGCTGAGGAAAAACACCGTATGAACCTTTGGACATTGCCTTTCCTTAGGTAAAACACGAATTTTCAGGGAAATTTAAGACTATTTTTCTTCCAATTTTCCAAATAATTTTTAGCGCAATTTGATCTGATGTATGTGAATATTTCAAGGGGAAATATTCATGACTATTCATGAAAATGAATATTCTATAAGAGAAAATTTGGCAACATCTAGTAGATCATGTGGAGTTTTTCCTTAGCACGGCAGAAAGTGCGAAATCACGTAACTCCATAGCAATGTTCCAAAATGTCCACTCATATTTTATTTAATCAAAGAGAGGCCAGAATATTCTGCTGACAGAGACAACAAATTAAGGAAGTCTTAAAGAAATTAGGTCGACCAGTTTTCCGAAGAACAAATAAAGTATGAAAGGAAGTCTGCAACATCATAAACGTCTTTTCACACTTTGGCCATCGATATGCTAATCAAATTGTAGTTGAGAATGATTGTGAGACCAAATGCAGAGTTGATAAATGATTTTACCATCTAAAATATGAAACGAATACAATCTAATTGGAACATCATTAGAGAGAACTTCAGGAATGGAAAAGTGAGCTAAAAAAACAAAGATGTAGAGTGGATTTCCGAGCGAACCACATAACTGAGTGCATAGGTTTATGTACATAGGTTAAGTAATACTCTTTCTGAGTTTCAAGGAAAGAAGACAGGTCCCATCTTGGCTGGATATTGAGAAATTCTTTCATACTATTTATAGAACGATGACTCATTGAGTAAACAATCACTGAGGAATAATTAGAACTCTGACACACAAGAACACAAAAGCACGTACTTTAAGCTTTTACAATTCGGATGTTCAGGGTGAAAAATGAGGTCCCTCTGAATGAACATGACTTATGCACTCTCCACCTACTGCTTATCAGGCGCTCGGATGATATCAGCATGTTGTTATCACATGATAAAAAAAATTAAAACAATGAACTTCACAAATATTTACAGAAATAGGTAACCCTAAATACTTGGGATAAAAATTATGAAATATTTTCAGATGAATCGATTTTCATGATAAGCTTTATTATTGCTGGATTGTAGTTGCAGAATTGCCATATTTTCAATCCCTTAACTTTTCTTGTTTTTCCCTGAATCCAAATTATTTTGATTCCCTGAATTTCCATTTTTCTAACAAAACTCCAACTCAGATTTTTCCCTCTCAAATTACAGTGGCAGTTCTCCTAAATGCTCCTCGCAAAATTCCCTGAATTTTTCGGGTTGCCTTAAATTCCCTCACGTCCCAGGTTTTCTAGGCTGCTGGCAATCCTAAATTTAGCCCCTCTGACTCTTGCCCTTTCATTTGCAGAGGTTTAGTTTCTATGCTGAACAAAGCCATTTCATGATTATTTCTTCTCTCATTTGCCTACCAAAACTATTAAACAATTGAAAGTGTAACAATTAGAGAAGGAAGAAGGAGGGGTCCTTCATTTTTTACATTTCCTTTTTTGGTAAGTAATCTTGATATTAAAGTTGATAAATAAGCTAACGCTGGGTCTGAGTGATAGACCATTTGAGTCAGTTTGCAGTCTTCGGAATAGTGGAATATTACCTACTTGGCCGATCATTCCCACACTTTGCTCTTTATATACTAAGTGGAAGAGAAATATACCAGGGTGAAAATTGAGAAAACAAGGAAAAATTGAACCCCTATGTACATCCATAGGTAGTTATTACCACTTAAGATTCAATGCTTTCTCAACTGCCGTTCTCTACAAAATCAACGGAGGGAGAGTTCTATTGTATCTTTCTAAACCTGAATGCATGGCATTCATCAGGCTGAATCATCTTGTCACGCCAACTTTGAAATCCCTTCCACTAGGAAACTATGGTAATCTACATGAGCTCCAAATCAGCACCATTCAATAGGTCAATGCATGCAATCAGATGGCACCATTGCGGAATCTTGACACACAATACTTAATTTCTGTCTCAGCGTGCTATGAGCCAGCTCAACAGGCTGATTATGGAAAGTTTAATGCAGCCCAATAAGACATCGAAATGTGATATATTGCGTGGTTAAGATAGGGCTGCATCGTGTCTTGTTGTGCCAAAGGAGTTTCAATAATCGGCCTGCTGCGATGGGTTTTCGTTTGATTGTTTACCTTTAGAGAAATGGGAAATTGGCGATAGAATACTTGATCATGAAGTCTCTGAAACCAGACACACCCCGGAAATACACAAAGATACTCCTACAGAGGAAAGTTTGTCCCAATATTAGCGCTTAAATGGAGCAGGAAAGGACAAATAAATGTAATTACATCACCAGCCAGCTTATCACGATAACAGATGGAGTGTCTGTTTCTGGAGAAACTTGATTCTGCCGTAAATTCCACAGCAGATGAAATGTTACAGGAGAAACGGCATCCACATCTGGGAAGGGATAATGTGGTGTATTTGTGAGAAAATTAAATACATCAGATGTAAGTACTTACTTCTGCGTCTTTCAGGAAAATTGAGGTTATGTGTCCACGATAATAGACAAGATCTCATGAATGAAGACAATCAGCATCCTGCGACAGAAAATTCAGAGAAATGTAGAGTCCTACAGATGATGTGTAGCACATTATTGAAATATTTTAGAAAGGCAAATTATGCACTGATAAGAGTTAATTTGGAAGGAAAATTTGACAGATGAAACTGTCATAATAAATGAACTGACAGAAGGAAAGATTCAGAGCTGTAACTAACAAAGCAGTAGAAATAAGAGTATGGGGCATTGGCAGATCGCAAAAATTGCGAATTTGGGACTGGTTACATCATTATAACGTAAGAAAATGATCAAAAACTCGCTTGAAGTAACCTATGTTGGAAACTGGAACTGTCAATGTCGCGAGTGAAAGGATACTGATTCACAAACCAAATTTTACACGGATTAAGATGGCATTTCAAGCAGATTGATACGCCGCTAATTGTGATAAAACTTGAATACATACCATAACGATTAAATTTAACGATTCATAAAAATAAATAAAACATTTTCACTTGTCTTCTTGTCACTTCACATCACCGCTGCCACGTAAGGCTGATCTGCACATGCGCAGTGAGGGACACGTCAGATGGGCTCCGTCGGGTCACGTGACTTTATCCTAGCACCTGATTGGATAGTAAATGTCTGAAAGTAAAACGCGGCAACTTTAAAAATTTCTGATTTTAAGATCAATTGACAGTTTTCCGTACTTAGAATAAATTGATGAAGTGGATCCCTTAGGTTTGCGCTGGATGTTACTTAATTGAAATTCCACACGAGTGAACCGGATAAATCTCTTCTGCCGTTCACAGCGTAAACGCCATAAGTCCTTTCCAGATTTTCTTCATTATTCAATCAATGACAATCAATGTCAATGACAAGATACTTAACCAATGGCTACTCATATCTAGAATTTCAGAATGAACAGGTTGTACTCGTCGGGAGACACGCTGTAAGGATGTAGGTAACATCTGGTAAACTAGTTTTAAGGTCATCCTGTCAGAGAAAAGTTTTTTAAATTTAGAAAGGTCGAGTTACAGCGTTCTTGCTTGTTACAGGAGTCTAATTGATATCTCTCTGATCTCCACAACAGGTCTTTATTCGAATTTTAATACTTTAACTTTTTGGATTACGTCCAGTCAATGATAACGGAGTGAGAAATAGAATATTCTGTATTCATATTGGGCTCTAAAATTGGCTCGTTTTTCTTCGAAAAATAAGGTAGCGTCAGAAATTTTGGAACACTGCGTTGGAGATTTTGTGGTTTCACACTTCAACCATTGATACACAGGATGCTCTTCAAAATAAAATAAAAATCACGGAGTTTTCTAAAAAAAATTACATTGATTAGAGTTCTGGGCAGAAGATGAAGTATGATGGGAGGTCTCAAAATGACAAACCAAAATATTAGTTTTAAAATGATCAGCATACTATCATTAATGTATATTCTAAAGTTACTTCTTACCAAAGTAATTTTTTAGTATGACACGTTTATGTATCCTGGCATGTGTACTGTCAGTGTGCGATCACTTTGTTGTTTCGGGCACATGAGGAATTTATTTCGGATGACCGAAAAATCAAAATTTCAATATTAAGATAGGAAAATTAAGAATATTGGTACAAAAGAGCATCCTTTGTAATTGCAAGAATGAGCAAGTGTAAACAATTCTCTCTTCATCAACACTGCGATGCTGAGGGAAAACGTCACGTGAGCTTTCAAACGTTGCCAAACTCCTTTTAACATATCACCAATTTTCGGAAGTAGGTGTTCCTCTACCAAATTGCAGAGAATTTTGTTCATAATTTGATCTAAAGGAAGGATTCTCGAGGAATGATGTTTATTCGTTCACCTTTAAGACATACAAAAGGAGTGGATATTTCAAAAGGTAAATGAGAATGAGAGACGTAGTTTGGGAGCCAAACCCTCATGCAACTGTATTTTCCTCTCTGTCTACCAGAACCAGGCCCGCCACATCCCATCTCGGGCCCTGGTACCAATTTTCTGGCCCGGGCCCCTAGCACAGGGGAGGGGGGGGGGGGCGGGNGGGGGGGGGGGGGGGGGGGGGTCCGGGAAATTTTTGAGATTTTAAATCTATTTAGACGCATTATGAAGCTCTTATGATGGAGATTTTTCATCAATTCCTGCAGAATAATTACGCCTTTTTGTTTACTTTCAGCACCAAAAACTTTTGAATTGTTGCATTCAAAACATCTATAAATTTTTTTTTGAAGGGGCAGATGATAATTTTCAATTCTATGGGGAGCCGGGCCCCCCTGGACTCCCCTTTCGTACGTCTATGGCAAGGGAGTTAAGCCATTGAAGTCGAGGATGCCCAGAAAGGAGCCTCTTAACATCCGACAACGGAAGAAAATGAAACACAGTTACTAAAAATATCATTCTACATATACTCAAAATCTTGAAAATCTCTAAAAAAGTAAGAAAAATTTTATAGTGCCCTAGCGTGTGTTTGAAACTTTATTCACCTTTTGCGGAATTTTTAGGGTAATTTTTTCACTTTTCCCTACGAGACAAGGGTTACACATGAATTCGTAGTGGTTTGTCACCTGCGTCACGGGCCCCTCCAGGGCCCGGGCCCCGGTACCAAGGACCCAGTATCCCCCCCCATGTGGCGGGCCTGACCAGAACTTTCTTTGTATTGAACGAATTTCCTGGTCCGGTGAGATCCGATACTGAGAGAGAGGACTGTATTTTCTTGCTTAATGGAGAGGAAAAAATTCCCTTCTAAAATGTTGTAACGAATAGAGCATAAAATTGAGAACGGTTAAAAAATTTACAGGATCGTTTTTATTTGTAAAAATAAATCTAACACGGTTTTGAATGAATAATGATACAAATATGATACAGTAACTGGAAATTATTAAAACAAAAAAACGACGAGACAGAGTTTAGAACGACAGACAATTTTCGATAATCATCTTCAAGGCGAGTTCGCTTGTTTATACCTCGCAAAAAATACAACTTTGGTAGCTGCAATTGTAATCATAAACATTAGCATATGAAAATCTGGTTTGTTATGTTCATTCAAAAACGCAGGCTGATAGATGAAATATTCATCCGTGGAAATAGGCTGATCAATGAAATATGATTGGACTATCTTTTTTGATGGGTGCAAATGGATATATGTACTCGATACAATAAGAAACATTTATGGGGAAGCTTGAGACTAGGGACAAAATTTCTGTAAATAATGGACAATAAGCGAATTGTTTCAATAGTTAGGATTCCTTGTGCCAAAAAGTGTGGGAACATGCCGAAGCTGTTGAGTAGTATGATAACTTCCTTTTAGATAATTGAAATCTATAAAATCGGACAATGTTTCAGAGAAACAAGTCTAAAAAAAGCTGATGAAGACTTACAATTAGATCATCCTGCCACAGGAAGGTCAGTTCATATCACAATTAGGTGGCGATAAAAATAAAAAAGGGCCAACTTTTTAAGTTGATGCATAAAAGTATCCAGAACCTAGCTGTAAGGATAAAATGGGGAAAAAATTATCCTCTCTTAGCATCATCCTTAAACACAATAACTCTGACAGTAAAGTCATGCATAAAGATATAGATTATATCAATGAGCTGGGTCTAATTTAAGAGATAGGACTCTTTTCGAAAAAAGAAATATTCTTGCAAGTACCAATACTGGTATACTCACATGAAGATTTGCTTGATAAGATCTTCGGCTTTACATAGTTTTCGTAATAATTTCAACTGTTAAATCATGGAGTTTCTTGATCAACAGCTCCAAAAAAATCAATTTATCATCAAAGTAAAAGATTGCCAAATCATAGTTGAGTGATGAATGAGTGTATGCAGCATTCTGCGTTCAGGTTCCAAGAACGGCCGTTTGGACTTGACCCATGCTTCATAACTAGATTTGTATATACCACAAAAAAGCTGTGAGATTAGAACGGACCCATAAACAGCAAAAGTAAGAAGAGTTAAAACAGCCCGATCATTACAAACTTCAAACAGAACAACTTGTCTTCAAAGCCATACTCCTAATGACTTTGACAGATCAGATATCAACAAGCACAAATTTTAGAATTTGACAAAATCTCAACTCTGACTTTTTTTAAAAAAAAAATTCTTTCTAAGTAAATTTTGAAAACATTTTACATTGGAAATCCCAAAGAGGTTTCTTGCTTTGTTTATTTTGACATTTTTCAAGTTTTTATTTGAAATCCTTGCACAGTCAATGCTAATACAGCTCAATTTTGACCATAAAGAAAGGACATGGATGCAAGTATTGAGGGTTACCCATCAAAATTAGGAGGTTCATTTACTTTTAAACTGCAAACAGAGTATCAGAGGATATTTCTTCTATACCCTGTCAACAATTTATCCTATCCTTTAAAAAATCCTAGGCAGTTGTGAAATTTTGCGGTAAAGCTTCACTCTTGTTCTTTTTCAGTTTCAAGGCAAGTTGGAACGAGACAAAAAACTGATGGTCAATAGTTACGAGAATCAAGTTACCGAAACCATGTCTATGAATAAACGCTCAAAAAAAGTTCTTAAACAAAAAAAATCGAATTCGAATGAACAGTCAGCAAAAAAAGAAAAAAAAATTCTAAAGACAGTACATCTATAAAAATAGTGATGTTCGTCTTCAATTACTATGATTATTATCACAATCATTATCTTCGGTAATAACATATTTTTCACTGACATAGTCGCTGATGATAATTAGTGTTTGGTTAAAGAAACCCTTAAACACAAAATCAAACTTAAATATTAAAAATTCATGAATTCTTTTGTCGATGGATTGTTCACATCCTTATCGATTTTTTTTTTTTTTTTTTGCATTAAAGGACAATTTATGGGTATTGTGTTTTAGAATTTTGCATATATTGTATTTCCAAAGATTTTTTTGGTTTTCTAAAAATACAACTGATTAAAGTTATAAAATAATTGGAACAGCAGGTTCAACATTTTCAAAGTTGGCTTATTTGTATTCTGATGTGCTAAGAAAGAACGCTGCATAAGTCTTCAGACATTGCCAAATTGTCTTTGATTCAATTCGAATTTCCTGGAAAATTTGTGAATTCTCCCCTCAACTTTAAAAGGAATTTCCTTGGCAACTTGATTTAAAGTATGAAAACTGTCAAGGAGAAATATTAACAAATTTTCTCTTAAATTGCAGTAACGGTGAAAATTTGGCAATGTTTGAATGTTTCCGAAGCGTTTGACCTTATCACGACAGTGTTGGCAGAATTTTAAATTATGTTTAGGTAAAGTCGCAAGCACCAAAATAAACCCGATGGACATGGGTTTGTGAGCGGAAAATAGGTAATTTGGATAATTGAGAATCTTGTCTGTTTCTGACTATGGACTGACCTATTTAATTCTGTACTTGTCAGAGTACATCATATTGCTAGATACTGAACAAACCGTTGACTACAAAATACACATTATTCATTTTTCTTAAAACTGAAGAAAAAAAATTCACTGTTAAAATCATACTCAAAAAAATGTACAAATTCATTCACTAAATTTTTTTTACACAACAGAGAAGAGGAATTGTTAACACACATGAACGTTTGTTATTACGTACAGTCAAGAAAGATAACAATGAACAAGTCAAATAAAAAAAAAACAAAAAGAAAAAAAGGGTGACTAAGCTGATAGAGAAAAATACAAATTAAAATAATAATATAAAAAGAATACGACTAAGTTATGTACAAGGCAATAAAAAAATGACTATGTACAAAAAAAATGAAGAAAAAAATGTTATCACAATTTCAATTAAGAGTTCCACGACACCCTTGGGCACCACAAAGACAAGGTATTTTTTCGTCTTCTAGAGGGAATTTGTAATCGTAAGTGATTTCCTCGTTGACGCTAATCGGTTGTTTGGAATAGATCACAATTTTCTTTTGACTTTCTATCGTAATGATTTTAGCGTAGCAGTTAGGCTGGAAAGTAAAACAAATACGACAATTAGAATGAATATACTTAATTTGAACGATGTCTGATGAATTATTTCCATAAGAGATTACACTGTAACAATGATCAATAGGTGTCATTGGGACTTCCAGTATTAAAGAGGTATCATTTCCTCACATGAAGTGCAGTGTTCTGGTTTTTACAAGCGCAATACACCAATCGAGTTTTGTCGCCTGATTTGGAGACTGGGCCAACGTGGAGCCTAAGAAAATTGATGCGCTCTGTTGATTTTTTTGAAGCGCACAATCGCGAAAAAGCGGTAGCACCGTTTGCGGCACAGTGACAAATTTCGTGCGTCATGATACGCTTGCAAAATGATAATTGGACTCCGAAATATTGGGATATCCGGCTGAGGTAGCTCCTAAAATTGTAGGGCAAAGTCAGAACACTGAAGGAGTAATTTATTGGAAGAAAAAGAAGTCATTATGTTTGGTATTTCAAATCAAAGAGAGTGGGTACAAGAACAATTGCCTTGATTTCATCAATTGATGACCTAACATACTGACAGTGAAGCTGTAAAAATGCGTATCACAGTTGTGGTGTTTCAAAATTCCCACATCTATTTTATTTTTGAAAAGGAGATTACACCAAAATCATGGCTTAAAATTTTCATTAAATATTTTTCACATGGAAAAGAGAAATTACTGAAGTATCCAGAGAAATGACGTTCAGTAGAAAATGAATAATGATAGGAAATCTGTTATGCCGTAAACCGTGAAACACATTTTTGCAGTTTCACCATCAATGCTTAAGAAAACAACTCCAGGCTATTTCTGTTATTGTTTTCAAAACTGTTTAAAACAAATCTCAATTTCTCCGGTGTAAGCTAGATAATACTATCCATCGAAAAAGGAGTCTTAGTGATAAATAACACCAAACTAAGATATTAGCACCACTGCTTAGAGAAATGTTGTGCAAAGATTTTAGCAGACAAAAAACACTTAAAATGATCAGAACAAACATGAATGATGATGAGGATAGCAGTTGAAACCATATTGTTGAGATAATGCATGTTTAAGGCTTAAAATTGTTGGATTAAAACAAACTTTTTCACCTTCTTTCAGTACAATAATGAGCTAACCCCCTTATAACTGATTATTTGCGGTACTAGATAATATTCCCTATAAGAAACTCAAATTCCGATTTTGAACCAGACTTGGCAAAAACAATTTTCTTGAAAATTTTGCCGTACGAAGATAGTCAGATACTTCCTCAAACCTTCGTTTAAACAGTCACATAACCCCAAAATACAGAGAATTATCTGGCAAGATCTTCAGTCTTCTTCATGAAATATCTTGACATTGCATTATTTTTGTCGAAAAATTTAGGTGAAACGTGTTCCCCTCAATTTCCCCGAGTACCCATCCCTGCAGACACCATGGGTGAGCTTGCTGAAATACTCATGCAAGATTAAGAACAACCTGCCGGTCTGAATAATCGACTGATACTTACATTGCAGCTATGATTGATGAAACGGGCCAGATTCCCGCATTTCGTTGCATCAATTATGGTGTCTGTATCAATACGGAACAGGTAAGATGATCCGATACCGATTGCTTCGTAAGCCCGTTCTCTCAGATCAGCAACCATGGGGCGTACCATTTGGCCGACGTACTCTATGACCATTTCATCGGCAGCGATCGGCTCCATAGCAAAAAGTCCCCAGTCATGAATGGCAGATTTGGCGAATCGAAGTTGTTTCTTTCGGAACTGAAATCAAAAATCAAAGAAAGAAATGAGTAGTTCCAACAATACTTTCATGAGAAAGATATGATAAATTATTCCACTTTAGATGGCTTGAAGACAGGCGTACAAAATTTAAGGATGGGAAATAGTTTTAAACACAATTAGCAATTCTAGTTTATATTTTAGCATTGTGATCGAATTTTAAGCAAAATACTTTTGAATTTTTTGTTGTCAATGAGAAAAATTTCTATAGGGGTGAATTCAATAAAATGAAAAATTAAATTGATTACTCAGATTTCATTTATTGTGTATAATTTTCTTCATTGGGTTAAGTCATCAGCAGAAAATAATTAAAAATATTTCAGAACCAACAAAATTTTAGATGGTGTTCTTCAACAGAGGAAGTCTAAGGAGAGAAATGAAGAGCTGAAAAAAATAGAGCACACAAATGTGCAAATATTAAGTGTTAAAAGTATTAATGAAAGATTTTTTGGCACAATATGCTGAGAGGATACCTTAAGAACATTGAATTTGAGCAAATCACTGTCCGTAGCTGCACCAAATGCAGTCAACAGCCTCCTTTGATTACTACGGGCTTCTCTTGAAAGCGCCAACATTTTCCCCGTTGATGCCTTCACCCTACTTTGCTCGGACAATCTTTCCTTCATTGAAGCTATCTGCGTGATGGTTTGACCGAAGTGGTACTGGAAAAAAAAGGATGAGAAGAGATGTTTTTAAGTTGTCAACTACATAGTTCGTAATAGTCTCAAGGTATGTAATCAATTGTACAGGAATAGTGCGCTAAATTTGTTAACAAAGATGTGCTGAATAAATAGTCTAAAAGAAAAAAGTTGTCAACGATAGGTTTTATTTTCACACACAAAAAACAACTGGTCTGCGATCTTGGCTCCTCAGCAAGATGTTTCTGAAAATTTTCTTGATATTAGATTTTATGTAAGCTTCAATATAACATTGAATACAATTTTCTTCTTCATTTTTCGTAGAACCTCTGAGAGTAAACTTACTGGCAACTATTTTAGTTTTATGTTCTAAACAACAGGCAAATGTGAATTTTGAAAGAACATAGAGCGACAGACTAATTCTTCAGATAGAGTGTATTTTTCATAATTCAGCATGCTCTTTTGGGAAACACAGCATGCCCAATTTCTTGGGAGAGGAAAGGTGCACATACAATCGAATTCACTTGGCTGATCAATGATAAAAAAGAATATAGAAGCTATCAGAAAAGATGAATTACCTTATGCTTTGCTTTCTGAACAACGTCAACTTTGTAGAACCCTTCTGTTCGTGCACAGCCTGTGGCGTGGACGTGCCAGTCGTCCCGCTTTCGCTTCTTGACCGGAGAAACGCTAGTTAAATCTGTCAGTGCACCGGAGTTAAGGAATAAATTTTACGTACTCTGAAAGATCAATGCAATCTACTGATCAGCAGCAAAGAATAGACTCTCTCAAAAATGTGATATCCTCAATTATTAAGACGCAGAGCATGAAAATTGTCCGAGACAGTCATCGCTGTCAACGTTTCTAAAACTTGGAATACATTTTGATGATCATCCTTTAATTTTGTACATTTATCAGTTCCAAAATTTGATTCTAATTTTAAAAATCAATGCGATTCTGCTGAATATTTTTGTCTGACTTGTAATTTCATTAAAAATTTGGGAATCTCTGGTCGCATTTTGGCTCAATGAACATTGCGAATGACCTCATCCTCAATTGTGCAAAAGCGGGCAAACGACTCAGGGCCTTCCCCTTTGAAGAAATGTTTTAAAATAGCTGATAGCTGTCAAGGAGCTGTTAAGGTTGGCAATGGTGGATTAGAGGGGGTGACTTCATTGTTTTTCCGTTCTCATTACTTGCTTTCTCGATCAGGGTGTTTCCCTGATTTGATATTTTTTTAACGTTTTAATGATTTAAGATTTATTTCAAAGCAGACTAACTCTCAGTTTTGGGGGCAGCCACTGAACAACTCCTCTTCTAAGCAAAACGATGAACACTTTCTTGAAAATAAGTTTGAAATGCAGCTTGTACTATCCTTGACGGTTAGCACTCAGCACCTTCTCCAACTTGAATCATCATGATAAAGCTAATGCAAGAAGAGTATGGCGCGCTGCAGATCTAAAAATATTAGAGCATAGCCCATGGATCGCATTCTGTGTGGCCTCAGTAGACTCACACGCAAGACAAATAGCAAAAACATTAAAATTACGCTCAACAAACAGAACAAAAAAAGGTGGAAAAAAAGTAGTAAAAGGATATCTGGATGGTCAACCCAATGAGTGTCGTTCAACCAATAAACTATTGGATCCTCGGAGGCTAAAAGATTTTCATAGGCTTGTTTCATGTAAGCAATGTCCTCTGCATCGATTCCTTTTGTTAAGAATTCAAACATCGTTGTCATTTCTGATCGCAAATCACGTTTCGGGAACATCAATGAAGCTCTGAAACAATTACATAAGCAAAATGTTAGTTGCTGATTCGTAAGTTTAAGTTCAATGAGAAAAATTGAAAGTAACATTTGGTGGAAGATGTGACTTCACAGGAAAACAATTCAAGAAATAATGTACTATTGTCTGGAAGGGAGATTAACGAATATTTTTGCATAACAAAATAAATCTGAGCTTTGACAAGATGACGTTTGCAGTTCTAAAAACATAATTTTGAGAAAAAGATATGAAAAGTCTCAATTTATTATGTTCAAGATTCTAAATTGTCAGATTTTCTTGGGATTTTTTACCTTCCATGAGCACAAGAGTGAAATAAACCTAATGCACCTTAACCTTTGAAGAACTTCAGAGCGCATTACATTAAAAACTTAAGAGACCAAGAGGTTCATGTAAATATGACTTTTTTCCTGCTTCGAATTTTCATGAACTTTCATGAATTTTGAAAGAGTATACTGAGAGGCATCATATCCTAAAATTTCAGCCTCTCTCAAAAGAAGTCTTTTGAGGGGGACAGGGGTACAAAGTTGAAAAACCGGATTATAGACTTTGTCTCATAACTTTCTAAAAAGTCAAGATATCGACACGCAATTTTCACAGGCAACTTCCAAATTAAATGAGCTTTCAAATGAAAGTACACAGTGCATACTTAACTTGATAAAAAGTAGGGAAAATTTGACCACCTGGAATTCTAGACTGAATTTTTTCTCATGTTTGCAGAAATACTGAAAAACTTTTGGGTTTTCACCATGATAAGTTGTTTGTTGTTTTGTTTTGACATTTTTTGAGCCCTATGTACAATGATAATTATTTGGATGTATTTTGAGCCTTCGGCGAGACCTAGAGTCTAGCGGCTTTGTCACATGACTAAAAAAGGAAGCTAGATTACCTCTGTTTAACAGACGGCTTGGGTTCTTTCATTATGGGCTCTGGGGGTTGCTCAATCAAATTGTCTTGAATAGGCGTGAGCGGCTTTTTACTTCTGCCCGTCGATACTGGAGTTTTCGGAGTTTTTGGAGTTGTCGGTGTTCCTACAGTGATGGTCGACTCATCACCTTTCTGCGGAGTTGCAATTGCTGATGAATTGTGCGACTTGATCGATTCATCGTTGCTGACTTTCATTCGACAGTAGGTGTGGTCGTTTGCGATCCAATTTTCGTTTTCTTCTTCCTCCTCTTCTTCTACCTCCTCAAGCTCTTTCGTCGGAGTGCTAGTTGCTTGTTTTGACTCTTCTTTTTCGATGAACTCCATTGGCTCGGGCGCTACAACATCCGCCTTGACATCACATTTTTCTATAGACAGAGATAAGATCATAAATTATACCAAAGTCAACTTATACCGCAAAAATTTAAGCTGAAAATAAGTTGATAATTACTTTTTCAATTGTCTTACCCTAAATAATTTAAAGATTTATTCATGGATTACAAAGATGAAGATTGATCATTTTTATTATAAGCTGACTTTGCCTGAAAAGTCTAAAATTATTAGGGCACTAGGGAATATTAGGGGATCATTTTCAGAATATGGCTGTTTGTTCTAATAAACAAACATTTCAGATCCAAAAATCAAATTAAGATTTTGTAGCATCTGAACAGCATCGAAGTAAATTTTGTAGTGTATTTCAGGAACAACACATCTTCCATTGATTTCTCCCTGTAGATAGGTACTTTCGTGAATGAGTTGGAAATTTTGTTTCCCTTCCACACAATACGGCTCAACTCACTTAATGGGAAAACTTAATTCAAGAAAGGAAGAAAGAATCACTATCAAAATTAACACACAAAAGGAATACCTAATTTCAATTGAGGTTCCATCAACGAAATAGGAGAGGGATTTCTGGAGGGTGAGCTAGGTTCAGTCTTAGGTAGAATTTCTTTTGAGGTTATATCTCCATTCAGTGATGCTGTTTTCGGTTTCTTTGCTTCCACTGTAAAAATAAAAAAATTATTGGTTATAACAAATACAAAAAAAATGTTTAAAAGAGATTTGGCAAATCGAAAAGTAAGTTAAACTTACAAATCTTCTAACTTCTAGCTTAACTTCTAACTTCTTCTTACTTAAGCCAATCGAACAAAAAGTATGTTATAATAGTAATAGAAGTTCACAACAAGAGTAAAAACAGTTGAGCTGAAGAATTGAATTGCAGCATTACATAGATAGTATCATAGTTTTTGTGAATAACAAACTTCAAAGATAGATAATGGTTGATAATTTCAGTGGAACAGAATTTTCCAAGCTTCCTTTCCATGTGTCCACTCACTGCCTTCCCACTTTTTCCTCATTGGCTTTCCACTAAATTTTCCACCAATCTCAAAAGTAAGGACCTTATTTTTTTTCTTTTGCTTTTCAATTTTTGACTCTTACAAAATTTACCCTCCTTTCGATTTTCGCGCACCCTGGTGTAGCGTTTAGCAAAATTCCCTTTGAGCAAGCAAAATTGGGAGGAGAGGGGAGGAGACTTAAGAAATCTTAATAAAACTCGTTCAAATCTGATCAAGATCATATAAAAATGTTAAATTACCAATTCCTACTCTTGTGCTCCCAGATCACACCACTATTTCCCGAGTGCACAAAACTCAATGCACTAAATTGCAAGTAGATCAAACTATGCACTCACCCTCTTTGGATAACGATTTACTATCAACAGCAGTACGTTTTAAACAAGACAATTTGATAGAATTATCTTGAGGACTAGATGAAACAGAGGTGCGAGGGATGGTAGGTTTCTTCTTCCTTGGGAAGTAACTATTCGACGAAAGTAACATTTCTATCTCCTCCAGAGTGTGCTTAGTGCGATCAGAGTATTCATAATCCATTGGCTCACTCTCCGCTCCTTTCAGCTCGTCTTCAGTGATATCACTTGCCGGTTCGGAGGGCGTTGGAGTAAGCCTGCCTTCTGGTGTTCTCGACCTGGAAACATGATGATGGTATTAATACGATTCACGACAAGATCAACGTTAACGACCAGAAACTGGAAGACCAAAAAAATGAAGTAACAAAAGAACTTGGAATGTAAAACTGGACAACGCAAAAAAGCTGTTCATAAATTGTGCCATGCTGCAGTTCAGAATTTTAGACTTTCCTACCATTACCAATGAATGGATCACCAGAAAAGGTGCAAATCTAGGCATTAGGATACATGTTTTCTCATCAAAATTTCATACAGAACACAGTGCAAAAATTATTGGAAGTAACTGGTAACGTTTTATGAAGCATTAATGGGTCAGTCGCGCTGGTCACAGAATCGTGTTTTGATGCTTGATTCTTGTAGATCAGCTAAAAATAAAAAAAATCTGTCTGAACAGCATTTTATTCAACATTCATTATTAACCAAGATGTCGCCCTTTGAAAAGTCCAGTTTTTTATATCATCCACCATAGTAGTGACATCCTTGGTTTCTTCCACCTTACTGTCATCAGTCGGTATGACGTACATTTGCACTGGTTGTTCAACGTGAAACTCGGATAAAAATAAGGTAAAAGAAACGAAGGGCGTCATTACCGCAGCGGTTGATGTCAAAAACCTGACTTTTCAAAGGACAAAATCTCCGCTAATATTGAATGTGGAAAGCTGCTGTTTGGACAAATCTTATTATTTTTTGCTAGTCTACTAGAATCAAACAACGATCAGCCAAAACGCGATTCTGTGATCAGCGCAACTAACTCATTCAAACTTCCGCTTTTTTAAAAAAAACCAATATCTGCTTGAGTTCAATTGCGAGCTAAAAATTTCCCTCACAGCCTCAGGAGTATTAAATATAGCAACTTCAATATTGGAGCTTCGACTCAGCTGTTACACGTTGTTTACACTTTGAATAATACAGGGTAAAGGGAGCACTCTGTTTGGTTGAATGGCAAGCAAAAGCTTTTAGTGCGCAATTTGATTCGCATAGTCTCTGGTTCTTCTTGTGAGTGGAGAATTCAAATTTTTGCTATCAATGCTAAAATAAAAACTAAAATATTTTGATAAGGAGTTAATTTCAGCAAATTTCTTTGCAACAATCGTGCTTCACTTGTTTTGTAGAGGTACCATATACTAAGATGCTTCAATTCGTGCTTGGTCTAGTGGTCCATTAAATTGAAATGCAATGCTCCATTCTTCATTCGCATACATATGGACTGAACTGCTCATGACTTGATTTTGGAGGAAGAATGAAGGACTTTAAAGTATTGAGGATCAAATTCGACGACTCAGTTTGATAAAAATTTGCTCTCACAGAGAATGAATTGGAAACTAAGGTTCCTTTTCTCAAGAGCAGTGCGATTAAATTGAGCTTCAGAAAAACCAGAATCAAGGGTGGCCAAAAAAATTCAGTTTTCAAGTTTATAACCAACTCTGATACTCTACTACTGACACTCGTAGTAGTTGCTTCTAACGCTGAAAAATCATCAAACCAAAAAAACAAAACAAAAAATGAACAGAGGCGCTAATCCACGGCACATTTGATTTTATCGACACATACCTAATGAGTAATAAAAGATTGTTCTTTGAAGTTTGCTGAGGAAATTGAGAAGAGAATAATGAAAAACAGGGGGAAAATGAACAAACCACAGTAAGAGACATAAATACCTGAATTTATCTATATCTTCTAAATCAATGAGATCAAGATACCGGAGATGATCGTCTAACTTCTCATCATCATCACTCAATTCGTCCGAACTAATAGAATCTATTGAGCTGTCGGATAACTCGCTTGAGCTGTCAGATGAATCAGTGCTGCTACTGATTGAGGATAGGCTAGAAAGCAGTTTCCGCCTTGCATAACTAGTATTGGCAGTTTCCGGCTCCAACTAAGGACACACAAAAATCAACAAAAATGAGCAAGAATCTAACATGTAGCATTCATAAAAACAGTAACACCTTGATTTATCCGATTTCACGGGACTGACAAATTGGTCTGTTAAATCCATCAATTTGAATTAGCTTGAAGTCCTTGAAGGGATCAGAAAATCAATCTGTTGAATCGCAGAATCCATTAAATCACGATCCAATGACTCAAGGTCTTACTGTATAATTTGCAGCCTTACAAAAATGTCTTAACGGTAAGTATAGAAGAGCTGAATAATAAACTATCAAAATCTTCAAGAGACCGACAGAAGTTTAGTCCAAAATAACAAGAAAAGTATTATAGGCTGATTTCACGAAATAGGATGTCTACAGATCAACAAAAAAAAAACCTTTGGCTTTGCTGTTTTTCTTGATGAAAAGGATCAAAATTTTCTTATTTTTCACATTAAAAAAGGTGAACACAAAGAAATGAAATTGAAGAAGTTTTGGCATAAATTTCACTATTAGTGACTTTGATACTTCTGAAGATACCATAATTCATCCGATATCGTTCAAAGCTTTTGGGAATGAGCTTTATTATTATTTTTTTAAAAGTTCGCAAACCTTAACCGATAAAAGTTGGTTTAAAAATGGGTTCTTGTTTACATTATAGAAAATGAGAGCAATTCTAAATTTTACCTGAGATTCTGAATCAGATGGAATGACCATCTCTTCCTGATCACTTCCATCAGCACGAGAGGACTCATCCTGAACTGGCGATGGTGCTTTCCGCTTCCGCTGAAAAATCAAAGCAATCAGGAGTAATTAGTTAGTCCCTTCCTCAGAAAATATGCACTTATTTCAGCTTGGTGTTCAAAGTTTATTACTTTAATTTATCCTGTCTTCTAGTTTCTACTTGATGTTGGTATGGTTCATTTTGTTCTTTTGTTCTTTTTCTAGTCCCAATAATAGTATTTGTACTTCAAAATACAATGAGGCACAGCAGTTCCCAATAAACAATCTTCGATATTTTGGTAACGGCTGTTTAGTCAGGATGTGTATTAAAATTTCATTTGGTTTTTCCTGATTTTTTTCACAGATAAATTGACATTTCTTTGATATTACAAACTAAAATATTTAATATTAAATAAATAATAAATAATAATATAATATTACTTTTTAATATTAATATTATTATTTAATACTTAATAATATACATATTTAATACAATATTCCACTTTTGCATATGCTTAACTACATAAAGTTGAAAAATTCTTTACGCACTCTGACTCTCCTAATCCATGACCTATTTTCCTGACATTCTCATGATTTTTACTGATGACATCAAATTTTCTGATATTTTCCGGTTTTGACTTACGGAACAGTAAACCCTCAATTGATGCATTCTCCAGAAGAAAATCTTAAGTCAAAAGTAATTTTCCACAAAAAACGAACAATATTTTTTTTTAAACATAAGTTTTTTTCAATTTTCATGAAGAAATCAAGAGGCTGTGAGGAATCATTCCTCATTAATCACAAAGAACAAAATTACACATGAGTGAAACTTACCCTGAAGGACGGCATTTTTGGTATTGATGCTCGCAGACCAAGACCTAACCCGTTCATGGACGAAAGAGTTTCTAGCCCTTCGCGACTTGAATCTAATAGTGAATCTAAGAAGTTACCGGCAATGGATGGGGGAACGAGAGGAAGTGAAGTGGCAGGTTTGGCACTGGAATTTTCTGGTTCTGCAGCAGCAGTTGACTGAGACTAAAAAGAAATGAGTATTTCATACATTTAAAAAAGTAAAACTAAAATGAAACACTTCTGAAAAAAAAGAAAAAATCAAACTTTGCACCTAGGGTTTTCGCAGATAATGTCGGAAAATAGAATAACAATTTTTGTACTCTAACTCAACTTCATCACCAATTTGGGAATCACCTCCAATCTTTACGGTTGACAAGAATTTTGCTCCTCGGGTTATTTACTTCATACACTTGCACTACATACATATTTTACGGAAGAGATTTGCACTTTTACAATTCCTTTATTATTTTATTCTATTATATCAAATCGATTGAATTTTACCATTTTATTATTAATAAGTGTCAACTATGACATTGCAAGTAAATTTTATTGATTTTTTATTTTCATTTTCATTGTATCAAGTCCTGATTATGGAGATCAATCACCTCTCCGTGATGTATTGACAGGTCTTCAGAATTAAAAAATATGTATGCACCTTTGGCATGGAATTTTATAATTTTATTCACTTCACAAAATCATGTGTAGTCTTCCTAAAGAGTATCATTTCGAATTTGCAGCATGATTTTTCCAAATTCAGTCACTTTATTAAAAAGGGTGGTAAATAAAAATCGAAGACTTTTTTCAGGATATTAGGAAAATTCGAGCAGAAAAACTATATCTAAACTCCTGCGTAAGAAACAGTCCTCAAGTGGTATTATTATTTTTGGTGTAAGCATTTAAAGGGTAGCAAACTTCACAAAAACCTGCCTCTGGTTTGATTTTTGGCTGAAAGTTCCAATACCTGCATGTATGCTGAAATTCTGTTTGAGATGGACGGGAGGATTGGACTTTAGGGAAGTGAGAAGATCAGGCAGTTTCATGAGGACGAGTATTAAGCGTTCAGGCTTCGAGGGTGTAGCGGCTATCACGATTTACAAATCTCAATTGGACTGTTTCGGAGCGACGCGGGTGGGATAGGGAGGAACTGAGAGTTGAGAAAATGACATTAAATAAACCAGATTTTGCAGCGCCTTTCTCATCGTCTGTTGTGCTGCTTCAGTCAGAAACAAGAAGAAGAATGGAGTAGGTTAGTAGGTTTTTGCTCAAAAGTGCAGATTCTTTATCATAGACTTCGAACTGTCATAAATGTGGTTTCGACTGACATTTTTAAGTCAAAATGTTTGTCAAAGAATGTCTTGTTAGAGAGAATGTTCGTTAGACGTTTGTTATAAAATACTTGTTCTCAGCAGAGGGATCAAAGTCACGATTATGGGAATTTTGGCTCTACGGTCCCCCTGTGGATAGTCGCTTCAAGGACAGCCCCAGGGAGTAAAAAAAAAAATAAATAGATAAGTAGTCAAAAACTTACAGGCAAATAATATAAAATTCATATTCAAACTATAGATAAATACATGAATAATTACTTTTGAAGCAAGTTCCTGTTTGTCCCACCATTCATCCAACGCTTGAAACGCATTTCCCTCAATCATTTTTTTGTTAAAGTCTCTTTTCAGGATCTGTTTCAGCTCCTTCGTAATTCTATCCACAACTCCTCTGAAACAAGAAAGGATTTTATCAAGAACGGTTGACAAAATACCACTAGACACAGATAGAAATTAAAGCTTGATATACATGGAAAAATACAAGTATGTGAGAATGTACACGCAGAACTCGCTCTATATGATGAAGCTTCTCCATAACAAAGAAATCGCTGGTCCTTAGAACTTTCTGTGTTTGTTAAGCGCCTTTGTTATAATAAGATGAAATTTTCTCCATGACGAAAAATTGTTTAGTCTGGTGCCGATTTGTTCTACAGAGAGAGTACTGTATATCGACGGTGTAAGTTGACAATCACATAACTCAGTTTGCGACATCACAGACTTCCTATCATACTTACTTTATTTTTTAAACAGAAAACTACTCAACAGCAATTCTTTACAACTGCCATGATTTTTCTTCTCTGTGCAAAGAAAATTTTGCATAAACTTCAAGGAATGATGTTAATTTGTTCTTCTTTTAAAAAATAACAGAAGCGGAGATTTTCAGACACCGCAAACAAGATATGTGAATGCAGACTGACGGCTTCGATACATATTTTTATCATCAAAAAGCAGAATACACTGCACACATCGGAAAATTCTGCATCAAATCATAGATATAGCATCATTTACCTACTTCCAAAAAAAGTCTGTCAACTGAAACTTTCAGTTTACAAAAAAAAGATAGAAGAAAAAAGAAAAGAAAACATTTACCTAAAAAGAAGGGAGTCATTTAAGTAGGTAGATATCAATCTGCAACATTTTGACCACATAGATCACAGATTTAAATTTTTCTGATCATCATTCGATAAAATTGTGGTAAAAACTTGTGGGATAAAGAAAAATCGAGGGGAGGAAAAAGGCCCAGTTTCTTTCGTGATATTTTTAGCCGAACCTCAGTCTTTTCGGGCATTTCTCTGTATTTCTGGGGTAAGTTTTCTCTCCAGTTTTTTTTAAAGATTTCAGCCTTGTTGACACCCTGGTTTGTAAAAAAAAATCGTTACAGCGAAACAAAACCTCAATTTCAGTATTTGGAAAGTAAAGGCCTCTTTCACGGTTAAAGTATTTAAAAATCACAGTTGACAAGGGTGGAAAATTATCTAAAATATCAACACTCCCTAAGCTTCTATGATTTTTGTTAAAAAAATTCCCTGATTAATTTTGGGAAAATGTGGCTTTTCACTTATTTTTTTTCCTTTCATTTGAAAAAAAAAAATGCAAAAACTGCTGGTGGACTTTCAGAAAGGTAAATCTTGCCCTACTCAATTCGTACAAGACTAGATAGATACTGTTTCAGTGAATCCTGGAAATTTTAATACTGAAGTGCCGTCTCCACTAAAAATGGGAAAATTCCTTTACCTTCTGAAAAATTCTCTGACTTTCCCGATTTTAAAAAATTTCCTGATTTCTCCAGGTTTTCTCTAATGTATACCACCCTCTAAACTATGATCGAGAGGACAGAAAACAAATCCAAACTTACTCGATTGTAAGCGCATGTAGCTTGATCTGCAACCGGTCGTTGATGCTGCCACCGCCCGGCTTGTGAGGCAGCGAGCCAAGAGGCGCACCGATCTGAGAAAGTTGCCGAGGGAGAATATGAAGAGCTGCATTCCCCAGAGCTGGGAACCCAGGGGGTGGTTGACTGAACATCGTGGTAGGCGGGAATGAGAACTGTGTCTCGCTCTCCGGTCGACCCCAGAACTGCGGGGGCGGATATCGTTGGTGACTCGGGAGCTGTGCTTGAAAGAACGGAGGCGGGTAATTTGGTGCGAACCCAGGTCGAATCGCGTAGTCTGCAGGGTACATATGTGCGGAGAGGTGAACGTGAGGTGGTGGGTACTGGTGAACGTCCGACATCATGTTTTTCTCCTCCACGATTTTCTCGTCCCCGGAGCTCAAACTTGACAGACTCATTGCATCTTCGTCGTGGTCGTCTTCGTCTTCTTTTAAATCTTTGGTGTTGGATGATTCCATGCTTTCGCGGATGGTTGATAAAATGCTCTTGTTTTCAGTGCTTCGGAATTGTAGGAGCTTTGAGAATTTTGGACTCTGCGTTAGTGTTTCATCTTCACTTGAGCTGATTTCACTATGTAAAGGATCATCCATATCTGCGACAGAAAGATGCACAACATTAGCTAACATATTAAAATTGGTCGACAGTAAAAAAATTAATGGAATTTTTTTTTAAATGTGAATGTCAAATGAATCAATGAGAACGAAAACACACCAACTCTGTAACTCAAAAATGCTAAATTTCCATTAAAGGGAGTCAATTTTCACAAAGGTAATCTAAGTTAGCGCATCTGTTCTAGCTTGGACCGTTAAAGAGTCCCTCAGTACTTGTCCTTCCAACCAAAAATCTTTTTCTTTAGACTAACTTCTTCACCTGCTTTGCAGTTTTGTGTGTGTCTTGATAATTTTCATTTTTTCGAGTTGGTGTGTTTTTGTTCTCACTGATTCAAATATCGTAATGATATTCCTTTAGAACAGAAATGATATGAACATTTAGAAAGATATTGCTTTCAGGCAAAATTATACTACCGTAAGGGACTAGGATAGAGGTGCAATAAAATCTTTATCAAATTTTAGGAGAGATCTTAAAGTTGGAGGAGAGAATGGGAAATAAACAGTAAACAGGAGTAAATTACATTGACCCAAATTAGAGTTAAATTTCCTTCTATCAGGAATGCAGGTTGTAAGAAAGAAAATTAAAAATTGCATAAAGTGTAATGACTGAAATAAAAATGTACTCAGAGCAAGGATGGTATGAAAACAAAATTGTATGACTTGGAAAATGTTGTTGATCGGTTCGATTTTTGTATAAAATTTTATTTAGAAAACCTCACACACAATGCTAGTTTTGAAATTTACTCTTCAGCTGCATCTTCACAATTACTACTAATATTTGTACCAAAGAAAACTCATTGTCAGTGCTAGTGAAGATGTTGAATTTGGCTTTGAGACTGACTTCGGAGCTTTCACTCAGATATATTATTTCTATACGAGATTTGAGATTCCAATTTTAATAGCTGAACACAAAAGCTAGATATTACAACTGTGGCATTTCAAAATTCAATTCCTTCTTTAATTATTCTTGATTCAGAAAAACTTACTGCCTGCATCCTTGTGAGTTTTACTTTTGATTATTCAAATTAAGAAAGAAAAATAAATTTCTAAAATAAAGAACTGACTACATTCCAATTCTTTTTAAAAGAGAAAAAATAGTATGACAGGCCATTGGCAAGGTAACTTTGAAAGACATGTTTCATCATATTATCTCCCACTCCATTAGAAAATATGTTAAATTCTTACTTTTGAGCGAATTGCTGATCAGAGCCCTGGTTTCGCGCCTCTCTTTTTCCTTAGCTTCCTTCAATGCCTCAACATGCTTCTGGAAGCACTCTAGGTAGATCTCTTTCGACAAGAACGGGGACGGTGGAGTCGACAGAGGTTCACGCGGAGCCAGATCATCCTCCAGGGATGAAACAACTGTAGAGCCATCAACAATCTCCGAGGAATTTTTCTTTTCTAGATCATTATCCGAGTCCGAGGATAACAAGCTTTTCCTCCTGCCGGATACCTTGCTTCGGTCGTCTTCAGAATCGCTAGATATAATATTATTGAGAAAAGATGCACAGGTTGACTTCCCTTTCAGAAGCATTTCTATCCTCGTATCTAAATCTACCGTAGGCTTATCCGTTGATTTATCATTGTCTACAGACTTGGTGTGTTTACTTGATTTCTTTGACTTCTTTGAATTTGACTTCCTTTCACTGGGTGACTGAGTAGCCGGTGTTTGTGATGCATTCCAAGCAGGGGAATTTTGTTGCACCTGAGACCACGACCTCTCCCCATCAGGGGCCCACCAATGAGTTGGAGGCATTGCATGAGGGCCTATATGTGAATAGTGGGGACGGTTTAAGCCATACTGCCCAGAGTATGATGGCATTGAACTAACGGCTGGAGGGGGAACACTAAATTGACTCATACTATTTGCTGGTAAGGGAGGGGGAGGGGGTTGAGGGTAGTGGGCGCTCGGTTGAGGCGGGGGTAGTGGGGGATATGGCGTAGAAGGTATAGGGGGAGCGTGCTGGAAGCCAGCTACGTAGTGAGCACTGGCGGATGTAGGCGTGGAGTGATAGTCATAGCTGACAGGTGTGGAATGTATTGAGCTATTATAACCGTAATCTTTTGTACTCGAGGTGTAAGTTCGGTCTGATGTGGCAGTGAAACTACCAACTTCACTCGGCGCAGAGTTGTAACCGATATCGCTGTTAGGAGTCGTTAAGTCTTTATGCGGGTAAACTTTGTCTAATTTCTGGTCTATTGAATCCGTTTCACACTTCACAGGCACTTCAGGTTTTTTGACGGATGTTGAGGATTTGGTGTCATCCTTCTCCGTTGAGATCGATTTCTGCATTTTCTTCTCCTCCTCTGGCGGTTCACTTTTCTTCTCCTCCGTTAGAGATGTGAAAATATTTTTGCATTCTTCACCTGCACATGCCATTTTGAATAAAAATAAGATGACGAATAATATATTCATCTAGTTCATGTGTAGATAAGTTTTTATAACATTAATCTCTGACTTTAGATTAGCTTTCTATTTGGAATAAGAAAAGTATGAGCCTTGCACAGCTCTTATAATTTCATAAAGTGGTAGTAGACAGATTTGTTGGCTTGACATTAGTGACAAAATTCGAGAAAGCCTGGCCGATTCCTATCATACAGAGACTGTCCCAAAATAACTGCAACTAGTGCTGTAACTTTTGAACCAAGGCAGCTAAGGAGCTAATCTTGGTTGCAAGAGAGAGAAAATCCAATTTTCTATCGGTTGAAATCAAGTTGATTATATTTGTTAAGTTGCTAGGTCACAGTTTGAAACGGAAAAAAAAAAATTATTCCACACCGTTTTTGGCAAGGATTTTTCCTCTCTAGAAAAATATTTTTAAAAATTTTTCTTCAAAATTTAATGGACTGAATACATTTGATTCTTCATTTCAGTATAAACAAGGATAAAGAACATGAAAAAGAATGTTTTCAGACACATGATTGAAACACAGAATCAAATTCTGGTGAAAAGCATAGATGACATAAAAACTGCCAGTGCTCCGTTGAAACCATCCAACAGATAGAACACTGTGCACTAGTCAAAATACGCCAAACAAAAATTCAAATCTTGTTGCTGCGGTGAAGCTCATGATCGGATACCACCTGAATATTGTAGGTAAATAGTATTTTTTGCAACTAAATGCAATTAGTCCACATAGATTCAGGAGATAGTTTATGGAAATGTTTTACCATGAGCAAATTCTTAAAGCAGTGGAAGGTAAAATCTCCTCAAACTTTCATATCTTGGCAAATTTTTCAGCGAACAAAATAAACTTGCTATGAATGATGGAAAATTATCTGTTCTTCCAAATGCAACCATAGCTGCGTTCTTGCTGCTTTAGCTCAAAAGTTACTACACCAATCATAGTTATTTCCAGACAGCCTTTGTACAACAATGTAAAAAACTAAGCCATTGTATTGGTCTGCAGTACCTAATCTAGATCAAAATGGATGCAATTTAGCAAAAACAAATAATTAACTTACTGTCTGGACAAAAGTACGAAATTGTTTAGGTTCTCCTGAGCAGTTTTTAACAGGACAAATACCTAAGCCTAACTTAACTCATTGCCTTTGGTGACTTAAGCAACACATCTACTTTTGATTTTCCTGTAAAGATGGATGCTTTAATGAGTATATCATTGGAAACTTAATTCCTCACCATAGAAGACTGTCTGAATGGATGGCATTCATTAAAGGGGCCAACTTACCTGGCTTATTTCACTAACAACATAATGGCTTGCAGTTCCCTCATAGATTTAAATGTTTTTATGAATAAGCCAATACACTCAATTTCTTTTCAATAAACAATATCCAAATTTGGTTGCAAAGAATAAGTCTCAAAAGAGGAATCACTCACCAAATGCATCTAAAAATACTCTCAACACCTTGCCCATCACAGAAGTATTATTCAAGCGTTCCACGCATTGCTTTGATGACTTCACACTTTCGAACATGACTCTGGCTAAACCCAAATGTTTATTTGTTACTGGATGATAGTAGATATACAACTCCTCTACAACGCCAAATTTTTGAACCTGCAAGAGAAGTTTATGACTGAATAAGAAAGTCAGATCATTTGTAAAATAAACATGGACCACACTGACCATTTGATAAAAACTTATTATCTGGCAAATAACTAAACAAAATGTAACCGTATCTGTGAAAAGGAACCTTGACTGCCTTAACAAAACATTCCCTAGCTTTTTGCAAAAATGGAGACAATGATTTATAAAGCCTATGAATTTTTGTTTTGGAACTTCAGAACTCATATTTTCTTCAATCTTTGAGCTCTTGGGGTCCAACATGCACCATAATTTGCAGACTTCCTATTTGTATACATTTGAAAAAAGTTAAAGAAAATTCTCTTCTGAGAGATAAGGTCCTTTGATAAGTTTCAAACAATTTCTGTTGTCCTTTGAAATAAATACATCAGGGTTGCCACAGAATTTGGAAAATTAAGTTCCCTGACATGTTTTGGTGAAATTCCCTGACAACTGAACAAACGCCAGATTGTTAAAAAGACATAGTTAGAAATAGTTTTCAGGCAGAATTTGTTGTTCAAAACGTCAAATCCACTTGAGAAAGCAAAGTAAGGTGATTTGACGATTTTTCCCTGACATTTCCAGGTTTTCCATGACTTTTTAAAATTCCCTGACATTTCCCGGATTTCCCAGTATTCCCTGACCGTGGCAACCCTGATACATAACAAACTGAGAAAATTATTATAACATACAACATACTAGAATTAGTTTTACTCGGGTCGTCTCGAAAATACTTTCGGCTTTTGATGATCAGAAAATTTGAATCGCCTAAGTCCAAAATCACCAATTTTTCTCTTATGAACAGACATTTGAAATTTTTCAGGTTCACCATGCTTTAGATATGAGAAAGTCTGATGAAAAAACATGGCATGTGATCTTTTGTTTTACACCCTGTCCAGTGTTGTATCATAATGGAGGGTTGGTATACCCATCCAGCTCGTATTTCAACTACTTAAAAAGTAAACACGGTTTGGAATTAGATATTTCTAACTCATAAATATTGTATGATTTTTAATTCTAAGGATTTACATAATATTGGATCCAGTGTTTGTAACTCACGCCGGCCAAACTGCAATTTGCCCGTAAGAAATCGCCTTTGGCTGCTAAGAAATGAAACTAGCAGCCAAGTCTGGCCGCTAAGAAAATCATTGTTAAACTCCGTTTCCAGGATTTTTCGGCATATTCCTGACTCGAGGCATTTCGAAAGGGCAATTTTTTATTTTGGCCCCTGAGAAATCTGAGATGGCCCCTAGGAAAAAAAGTTGCAGGCCAGATGGCTGCTGAGACTTCATGCCGAGTTTCAAACACTTACTGGATCAATGTCTATTTCTTGGAAGGAATAAGATGTTGACAGCAAAGCCCTCTAACTGTAATCAAATGAAATTAATGAGGAAATGAAATAATCTTACCATATCAGAGAGAAATCCCTTATCTATATTGTCATTTAGATTACAAATTGTGACTTCCACAGGGGGTGGTTCACCCACATAGTTTTTATCTATCTGTAATCAAAGATAAAAGACATTTCATTAAGCCAGGAAAATACAGAGGGGATGCAGACTGCATGGATTTTTACACTCAAAACGGTTTTGAAATTCCAGAAAATTTTGAATGATTTCATTAAAATAAGTTAATGGAAAGAAAGATTCATTGAAAAAATTAGAATGAGACTTGAATTTTACAACCCATGAGACATTGATCTCTTTAGTTTTTTCCTTGAATGGGTAAATTTTACATAAAAGACACTTGCAGTCAATGACAATCACTATAGAACTTCAGCATTAATTTTCCAACGTTGCGGTGAGGGCAATACTTTTCGCTCAAGATTTTCACCATCATCCACTTTACAATCCTTATGGAAATACTCCATCTTGGAGTAGGTCTACTGGATCATCATAATGACAGTTCACTTTGCTTAATTCATGGTGAAACCCTGGAAACACCTCTCTAATAAGGGGTTTCAAAATTTCAGCTCTTACATCATTTTAAAAGAGCAAATTACTTTTGTGCTCAATTTTCGAGGAAAATTCCACGAGGGGCACCAAATTAAGCTCAACATCGATGATTGAAAATCCTCAGAAAAAATAAAACATGACCACAAATACACAACATTACATGTGAGCTTTACTGTCATATACAATTAGAATACTCTCCGTCTATCCACCATGATTAAGGAAACTTCTCACAGAAGTGAAAAAACAAGAGTAATAGACTAAAAACATTCATTATCAACAGTTATAGAAATTATTACTATTTATGTGAGAAAGCAAAAATGTTAAAATTGTGATCTAATTCCACACTTCCTTCCTTTCATTGCCATCATGAAGTAATAATAGACATAGTGAAGACTCCACTAAGCATTACATTTCTTCTCCAGTTTATAAAGATTCCGTGAAGAACAAACATTCATGGTGTGTGTTCATCAACGGATGACATTCTAGAGCTGCATTGTCCATGTAAACAATGAGTAAACTGTTTGGGACTGTTTGGAAACGGAATTACCCGATTCCTGGCGGTCAGCATTGTTGGACCTCTTCAGGATTACCCAATGACTTATTTGTTTACATATGAGAGCCTGACGTTTCTACCAAACACTCAATGATCTCAGGAGGTTGATGGGACCGTTGGGTTGCGCTTGGAAATGGAAGAACCAAACGGAATCAAACAAGTTTGCTTCGACAGTGCACCTAATGTTAACGCTTCTATGTGTCCAATCTGTTTAAATGAGTGAATGTTACGTCTTCAAAAGGAATTTTTATAAAATAAACAAAAAATATGCACTTTTGAATGCTTTTTCTAAACCTATGATGCATTTACAATCAGTATTATAGGGTTGAAGGATCAAAACTAAATGCAGTAGGCAGCATATGATAAATGGGTCACAATAATATGAAGTGAAAAAATCCTATGAGAGCAAGGCAGCATGGTGGAGAGGGTAGTTTAGAATTTTCTTAATTAGTTTCAGATGATTTCTCAAGCTATATTTGATGGTCAAGCCAACTCGAGTAGTCCTCAGAAATTTCATTGCAGACAAGCAATGCAGCAAAACAAATAAACATAACCTCAAAAACCTCGAGGTAGAGGTTAGATTCTGGTAATCACTGATAAGGGAGAAACTTAGTGATTGACAATGTGCTAAAATATTACAATTACAGCTATATACTAAGATTTGGGGTTAGAACTTGTTTTTATTTTCTTATTTTCCCTCATAAGCTGCCATGATAAGATAAGGGGTTATTAAATTGACTTGGTTGGTCACTTGAGGAAGTAAATCGAAGTTACCTCATGGAAATAATTAGAATAAGCAGGTAAGAAATAGGCGATCCATAAACGCAAAAAGGGCCAACAAATACGTCAAGCAGACTTAAAAAGGTCATCATACTGCAGAATCAAATTGGCAACAGATCCTGAAACAACCCCTGAAGTTGCTCTTCTGGTTGGTTCCAAAGACAGATTATCTCATTTTTCTTTTAAAGAATTTTCTGTTAACTGCAAGCACTATGCATTATGAAACGGTGGTCAAAATGTTAGAATGATGTGAAGTAATCAAGACCAGTCATTGCAGTGGAGGACTAGCTGTACAATTGACATATTGGCCCTTGGCTAGGTTGTAATGTGTGCTTGGAAGTTGTTTTCAGACCGCAAATGCTGGATGCTTTCAAATCTAGACTGAAGTCTTGATATAATTTCCAAATTTTTCTGAGTATGAAAGAGTAATGACTAAAATTGCTTACCTTAAATCTAGGAACAGGTAGATCTAAAATTTCTAGTCGTGCCCATAATTTTGTCAGATGAGAACGAGGGTCTTTCACTTGGACGACTTTCGGAAATGATGTATCTTCACAAACGCCATTGTAACGATAGACTTTTTGGGCACCTTTGATTAGGGCAGGATCAACTAACAATTTATAATTTAGAAGCTTTTTGTCACGAGGCTGCTCTTTGGGAGCTTCTCGTTGGGGTTCTTTGGATGATTCTCGTTGAGGTTCAGGGGGTGGCTCTCTATGTGGCTCAGGAGGCAACTCTTTCTGCAGTTCTCGTGTTAATTCTCTTGAAGAGTCGCGTAACGACTCTCTTGGAGGTTCTCGAGACGTGGCTCTTGAAGGTTCCCGAGAGGTTGCTCTTGATGGTTCCCTAGATGTTGCTCTTTCCCGGGCATGCCCCCGGTCTCGATCCAATTCTCGATGACTTTCACGATGCGATTCTCGTCTGATATCTCTGGAGGATTCTCGATGCAAATCTCGGCTTGACTCACGAGAACTTCGATACAGGTCACGATATGATTCTCTAGGTAATTCACGAAGTAGTTCCCGACTATCTCTGTACAATTCACTATGGGATTCACGGTAAGGATCCCTCGATGATTCACGATAAGCATCTCGAAGATAAGCTTCCCGATAGATCAAGGGGTCTCGGTGTGCTTCTCGGTACGGATCTCGAACGTACGGGTCCCGCAGTAATTCTCTTGGTAATTCTCGGTATACGTCTCGGTGAATGTCGCGGTGACTATGAGGATAGTGCTTATCTAAGTGGTGAGTCCGAGAATGAGAGTGTGGATGATGCCTGTGAGACCGACTTGACTGTGAGCCGGGTTCCATGATATCATGCATACCTGAAAAAAAAAAATTACCATGAGATAGAGTAAGAGACAAATTTTGAAAGGACTTAAGGGGAGGAATCTGAGCCCGTCTTGACGGAGAAAAAAGGGAAAAGTAATAAAATACTGAAGTGACACAGAAATGAGGTTAGGTATACTAACTTTTTAAACCCAGACAGCGTGTAAAATGTGCATTTCTCGTCTAAATGCGATGACTGCTAGCGATGATTAAGTACCGTCATTTTTAGTAACGAGTTTTCCCCGTTCGTGATAATTCATAACTTAAATTATAACGAGACATTACTTTTAATGAGAAAAAAAAATAAGCACTTTCTCACTTCACTACGCGACTACTTCACCAAAATGCAAAATAAACTGTTTTCACTATCGCGCTCTAGTGGTCTTAGAGAGAACTGCAGTACGAAACTAACGATTTTGATTGGACATTGCAAAAAGTACTCGTACAATGTTTCAAATTTACGTCAAAATGTCTATAATATAGCATGAAATTTGTATGAATGTAATGCTTTAGGTCCTGAAAAATAGGAATTACAGTCATTCCGAGCTTCCAACATATTTCTCAAGCTTCGGCAATTTTTGTTACCCCAAAAATATGAAAAATATCTTGACGTAATAATTGGTTTGGCAAATGGGCTGAGCAACATAACCTCTTATTTCGCCTCAGGCCAGGGTTTCACTCGCTTTCAGCCATAGTTCTGCGAATTTGACCCCAAATCTGTCACTTATCAACCAGTCAGCCTCCTCGGTCAAGTGTTTTTTTCCATAGCTAAGATGTACGTAACTTTTTTCATTCCTGATTCTCTCTATCTCATTTTACATCCTCCTTATCGACTTTTCCCATTACTGACAACATCTCCTTGATTGCAGGTTTGGTGACCTTCTGAAAAGATTCTTCAAGCTTCCTTCCCTTCCTGTTATCAAGGCCGACGATGAGGAATTAGTTGATCCTCAAAACGTCTTAAGGGTAAGTAGATTGGTTTTGCCTTCACTCTTCATCATACACCATCGGGTTGTCTCAGAGTGGACGCTTTCGAAGGCGGAAGTAAACGACTGGTGATGCAACTTCCCAGCCACCACCTGCGTCGAAGCATCCATGATGCATGTATGAGCAGGAGTAAGTAAGCAGAATATCTTATTATTCACATGTTATTATCAGGCGTTTGATGGAATAGTTGTGGTCAGGTCTTACTTCACTCGACTGTCATGTAGGGTTTCCACCGTAGAATACAGTGAGTCATAATATAATGAAGTGAGCTGGGTTCATGCTCTGGTTGATGAATTCCGAGCTCCGTGTGTGCCGAGAATCGGTCAACTTTTTGATACATTTTTGATGCACAATGGCGATGTATAATGTGTAATTAATTATTCATGACCTCTTCATTTACTCGGAATGCCCGGAAACCCATGTATCGAAATACTGACCCTGCCCAGGAGTCATAGAATTTTGTGACTAGAAAATGCTTAACATTAGTGCCAGCTCCTTCATTCCTATTATGACTGTGTGTACTCAATGGTTTCTACGTTCAAAATTAGTGAGTATAATTTGATAGATGGAATGTACTAACCTGTATACCCATGCTGCACCAACCTTGCGATCTGTAGGAGTAATTACTCTCCATCATTCGATCATTGAGAGTTCAATATGAAAGAAGAGCTCTTTTTTGAGCTGCAACACTCAACTGAGTTTTGATCTAGTTTAACTCTGGAAGTTAAATGTGGTTAGGAGCGTAGGTTGTTGCCTCAGCCTAATGGATTTTATTTTGGGCTTCTCATTTTGAAAACTAGTTTCATCCTTGCCATCTTATAGTGACCAGTAAATAAGTCAGTTATGGTTATGCACTAGGGAACACGCCTAATTATTCCCTTCAGGGTCCTTGAAGTTTTTAAAAAAAAGATGAGTAGTGACCGAGCATGACAGTCAAATAGACACAAGACGCAACCACAACTACTTTTCACTAAATTATCTGATAATGACTTGTGAATGAATGACATTTTGCGTTCTGATGTCAGCTCATATGACATGCTTTGCACCTCAAAGAACGACCGAAATGCCAGGGATACAAGTAGTTTTTTTGAATTCGTTAATTTCCCCATGCCACAACTCATGACTTCATAATTAGGCAATTTAAAGAGTTTTGCATCCCACCGGACAATTCATTTTAATTTTTTAATTTTATTTCTTCATAACGTCAGCTTGCCTCCTAGATCAGATTAGAGGCTCCTAATCTTACCAAACATCGTCCTGTATTCTCAAATTATTCACAATTTATCTGTATTCAGGGATCGTCTAGGAAAGTCTGATAGTTTTAATGTTGAACTTTTGCGGTTAAGATGGAATTACATATCAACGGTGAAAGGATCGAAATGTGTTTCCTAGTTGCAGTATTTTAAAATCCCCTTTCCTATTTTATTTATTAAGAGGAGACCAAACCAGTATCATGTTGTGGAATTTTCACTCCGAAGAAAATAATCACCGAATTTTTTTTAAAAAAAATGGCGTTCAGAAGAATGCCATGTAGAAAATAAAATATGACAGAAAATCTGCAACTTGCGCATTTTTGCAGCTTCATCATCGATATGTCTTTTGTCAGGAGTGCAGCAATATCAAATTGACTAGAGCTTTTTTCTGTGCTCTGCACAATTTAAAAATGTTCATATATGGACTTTATTTTGCAATTCGGAACTATAATTTCTGGTTTATCTGTAAAAACACATTTGTCGCTACAGGGAAATTAATAGCACATACGTTTTTTCCAATCGAGCCAGTAATTGTAGTTCCTAACTAAGAATCATTCTGATTAACTATACCTGTAACAGAAATGGCGAGTGTGAGAAAAACGTGATTAAAGATTCAGTTGTATGCATTTTTGGCAAAAATTGATAAATTCTTAAATTTTAAAAACAGTGATGAAGGACATACTCTCCTTTACCGATCTACTTAAAGGAAACCATTTTAAAGTGACCTGGCACTATATGGAAGTGATAGCTGCAAGTTCAGTTCTACATAATTCATACAGATAATCGCTTTTGCACCTCAAAAAAATCACTCAGATCATTGCTCTCAGCACAAAGTTGACCAAAAATATGTGAGGAAACCAGTGCACTGAAGTGGAGGAACATTTCCATTAATAATTTAATAATTTCCGCGGATTTTCTTCAGTCGACGGAAATTTTGAGGCAATATTTTCGCTCGATTCATACCTCATTTTAAGGAAATGAATTTAAGTAACCCAATCCGAGATTTTGAATCGTTACAATTCAGGGATACACTTTCACTCACATTGTGGTAAAAAAGGAACAGAGAGTCAAGGATAATGACGTGCAGTCCTCCCTTTGCGGCGATTTTAGCGGCGCGGCAGCCAAGGAGATCGCAGGGGACGGGACCCGAGTAATTGCTGGAGTGTGGCGCGCCTTCAATCCGCCTGGCAGCAACATGCTTACACCCGTGGTCGAATAGTCGTATCACTGCGCCTGCCGTGAATGAGTTCAAATATCCTTTCCTGCACGCGTAAGAAAGCGTATTTAGCTCCGATTGCAACGTTACAGCCCTCAACTAATGTCATATTTTTATTTATTCTTGAAACGGAAGGGAAATGCAGCTTTTCTAAAGAATTTCCGCGGATTTTCTTCAGTCGCCGGAAATTTTGAGGCAATATTTTTGCTCGATTCATATTTCATTTTAAAAAAAATGAATTTAATAAACCCATTCCGAGATTTTGAATCCTTACAACTCAGGGATACACTTTCACTAGCATTGTGGTAAAAACGGGACAGAGAGTCAAGGATAATGACGTGCAGTCCTCCCTTTGCGGCGATTTTAGCGGCGCGGCAGCCAAGGAGATCGCACGGGACGGGACCCGAGTAATTGCTGGAGTGTGGCCGCGCCTTCAATCCGGCTGGCAGCAACGTGCTCACACCCGTGGTCGAATAGTTGTATCACTGCGCCTGCCGTGAATGAGTTAAATATCCTTTCCTGCACGCGTAAGGAAGATTATTTAGCTCCGATTGCAACGTTACAGACCTCAACTAAATATGTCCAAAATTATTTTTGGTGACCTTGAAAAATTCTCAGTAGCCATGAAAGCAGTGTTGCCAATTCGTGAATCAATAATTGGTTATCAGGTGTCATGCCAAGAACTGATTTTTCTGGACGATGGGAAGAAGGTATGCCCCCAAGAACTGGCTCACAGTTATCGGCAGCAGCTCAGTGTTACATATGACCATCAAAACCGTACAGTTTTCATGACTGATGCATTCTCCAAAATATACCACGTATGTCCGAATTTCATGAAACATGAATTTCAGAGGTGAATTGTCTCAAATTTAGAATGTTGATGTGAGCATGTACAAATTATGTATGTTTATGAATACCTTAGAATACAAGGAATCAGAAAAACCATGTTTACGGCCGTAGGTGCTTATTCAGAAGAATCACTCAATTGTTAATGTTGTCCAAATGACCCTCTCCAACGTTTTTCTTCTCTTTTCAGGAAAAGTGTAACCAGGACCATCATGCCCAGGAATTATTCAAAAGGTTAGAAGATTGCAACGCCAGAGTTCGCTCCAAGAAGAAGACCGCTGAAATGTGTGATGAAGAGCTAATTGATTACCTGCACCATATCGATCACTGCGTAGCCAAAACTCTATTCGAACATTTAAAGTAAACAAGTATGCTTTCTGTATAAAATCACCTGATTCTCTATTATTTTAGTTTCTTTCCTTTTTTTCTCTCTCTTTCTCTTCTCAATTGTAATACATTCTCTGTTGATGATTTGCATACCAAGGCTGTTAGATTATAGATGTATGAAGTGGTAAATAAAACCAATCCTGTTAAACATTACTGCAAGTTTTTTTTGTAATCATCTGGTTTCCTTGCATCCTTGCAGGGTTGCCACAGTCCGGGAAAACTGGGAAGTGTCAGGGAAAAATCATTAAATCACCTTTATTTCCTTTCTAAAATGGGTTTGGCGTTTCAAACAACAAATTTTGCCTGGAAAGTATCTCAAATTATGTCTCTTTACTTTAACCATCTGACTATCATCAATCGTTACGGAATTTCACCAAAATGTATCAGGGAAATGTAAGAGAAATTCATTTTCTAAATCCTGTGGCAACCCTGTAAAATGTGATTGTCCGTGGGATAAAGGCACTTTGTGCTAAAAGTGGTCGAATTGAGAAATGGCCATCATTGCTCTGAGGAGTGTTTTGAAAAACTTTTGCCATGAATACAACATAAGAATATCAAACCAAATTCAAGTTGTTGCTCTTTGACATTTTTCCTCAACTTGCAAAAAATTGCTCTCTTGAAACATTTCCCTTAACACACTGAAACCTTTAATCCAAAAGGTACCAAGTTTTTCAATTCTTAAAAATCAAATTTATGAGGCATGTCCTTCAATTTGTGCCATCGTAATGGGATTGTATTCAGGAGAGAAGAACCAATTGGACGTATTTCTGCCAAACGAAACCGTGTGCATTAAGACATAAGCCCTGAGGCCCTTAAGAATAAATGCATAACAGGGCTCACGTCATTATGCACATAGTTCCGTTTGGCAGAAGTACGTCTAATTCTATTACGGTGGTTTTAAAATCTTGCAACTCCTTTGCATTTGAAAAACACATATTTGTACAGTCTTAGTGAAATTTACATGATTCTGTTCCTTTTGAATTAAATCAACAATTTTTTGGTAGAAGAACTAATATTATTCGTTTTTCTAGGTATTTTTTTTTTTTTTTCCTTTTTTTTTCTTTTTTGGGGTGAAGATGAAGATGCATGATTTTCATAACACTATAATTGCACAGATTCCCTTTCCCGAAATGTGATTCAATTGTGAATCATTAACGTCTCAGGTATCTTTATTCAACCAATTAATTTCAGGAGGAGCCGAAATTAGACATCTTGTACCCCGATTACTGATATCCAGATATGGAGTTCAGTTCAATTGATTTAGGCATGCTTAGAACCAATGCTCGTGGAATTAATCCTTTGGGAGAAATTTACATTGAGAGTTAAAGAAAAGAACTTATGCGTGTAGGTTTTGGATCAATTTATCAAACTGTTGGTAATTTCATTAGATTTAATTTAATTAAATTTAAAATTATTATTAAATTGGAACACAAAAAAACGAGCGCAATAAGAGCCCGGATAAGTGGAGCTCTGGCCAAAACTACGGAGGTTCCATAAAATTTTAAAGATCCCTTTATGTAATTTGAACCCTTTTGTCCTTAGACAGGTTGTTATAACTGAATGTAGTTCATGTCAACACACCATTCAGTAAAATGAATCTATGCAAAAATGCCCAAGGGAAAATATTTTATCCGTGCAAGGTCTGTAACTTGGCCCTTAGACAGTGTCTGATTTCTAATGGATGCGAGATGGTAGGAAATTAAAACCCACAACATTACAGTAGTAAAACTGCAGAAATTCCTATCTCATTCTGTGGCACTGCAGACTTACTATCATGATTTTTTTTTCAAAGAAAAATTACGAAACGTCATTTCTTGATAACTTTGGTGATTTTTCTTCTCATTGTGAAGAATTTTCTGTGGAGTCATGATGTCAGTTTGGTCTCCTCTTAATAAACAAAAATAGGGGAGGAGATTTTAAAACACTGCAACCAATATATACATTTTTGTAGTTTCATTGTTGCCATGTTTCCTTGTCAAAATTCTACTTAGAATACAGTGGCACATTGAGTTTTTCTGAATTGCTCATACATTGACGTATTTCTGTCAAAGGGAACTATGTGCATTATGATGTGAGCCTTGATATACATTTATTCTTGTGAGTCTCAGAGCTATGTCTTAATGCACATAGTTCCGTCAGGCAGAAACACGTCCACATAGATTAACAGCATTTCCTGTGAAAGCCACTTTAAACTTCTCGCTCTCTGAAAAATCTGAAGTCCATTAGAGTCATATTGAACACCAAACTAATTTCAGTACATTTCACGGTAGAGAAGTTGTTTCAACTTCAAAATTTCCATAAATTAGGAAAGAGGAGGTATTTTGTCAAACCAAGCACTGATCATTTGCTAAATGTTAAAGGATGGTTGTTCTTGTCGAATGGATGGTTGTTCTAAGTTGGATCTAAGTATAACACAGTGAAATCAACTTAAAACAGTTCCTTTATTTGCAATCAATTTGCTCAGCCATTTTTTCTTTTAAAAAAACAAAAACAACTCAATTTTTAAAATTATATACATATAAATGAGAGCATGTATATGCATGGATAATTTCAGTTACACATATTTAAAATAAATACTTAAAATAAAATTAAAGGCAATGATTTTAGAGGTACTTACATATCCAATACTATATGGCAAACAGGGTTGAAATCATGCATTCATCAAAAATAAAAAAAAATAAATAAATAAATTAAATCAGGGGAAAAACGACACACAACTTTGTAAAAAGGTCCTAAGCGAGGTAAAAAAAGAAACGAATTACAACTTGTGCTAGCGAAAATGAAGAATCCGATAATGGCTGACAAAGAAAAATTACCCTCGCTAGAGCAACAAACAAAACGATGATTCTTATCAAAAAAATAAAATTACAATCTTTGATTATCTCTTGCCAAGATCAGTACAAAAGGGGAAAAAATAAATGATCAAATTAAAAAATAATATGATACAAGAACACAAGAAAAAACTTTTGATGCTGCTTTAAGGTGACTAAAACCTTGCTCTCGTAAATAAGTAACATGACTCTATTTACTTGCCTGAAAATAATTTTTGACGCAGATCTTCCTACTACTAGTAAAAGTCTAGAGAGATGGAAACTCACAGCATTCCCAAAAAACAATAAAACTAAAAATTTGAATAAATAAAAAAAATCACTTAAAAGGCAGGCATGATTAATTTGTAATGCGAAGCTTGCTTGGAACATAGTGGGCTTCTTATTTTTGCTTGGTTTAAGAACAGAAATTCACACATGAATAAATTCGTAAAAAACAAGAAGAGTTTAAGTGAGTCTTGCTTTTTAAACAGAGACATTTGATTTTGCCACCAGACTCGTGGTTATGTTCTACTAAATCTTGACTATTTAAGTAAGTTATTACATGGAACAGCCAGCCGTATGTAAAGAAGAAACTAAAAGATACTTTAAAGAAAAAAAGGAAAACCAAAATACTCAAAATTAATGTAACTTTTATACACCTTCAAATTCACGCTGTAATAGAAAATAATGGAAGAGAATATTGGAATGGTACAATTGTGATACACAGCTCAAAATTGTAAAAAAAGTTGACATGACACATTGAAGAACTCGATTTTGGGAGTGCATTCGGATAGAAATTTGGAGGTTCAGCGAGTTAATGATCATTTTGGCATCAATTGAATTGGTAATTTTACTTGCGCTGATAACTGTTTGTTCGACTGGCAGCAGCTTTTTGCATCCCGAGCTTCAAGACATCAGCGTATGATTTTTCTAAGATTTTCAGTTTGGCCACTTCTTGCGCGGCGGAACTGGAGTAGGGAAGGAAATCGTGAACTGACATTTGTTTCCGCTTGTAGAGCGAGTGTTTGGGTGAATCGTTACTCCCCTCTTGGCTGATCCTCCTGCTTAGATCTCTATCGTTGGGCACGCACCATGAGGACCGTTCAGCCGATCGGACAGGGCTGTCAGTCACTCCCTTCTCGAATCGCCGTCTTCTGGTAACTTTGGCCGGGGACCCTTTGGGTACTAAAGCTGGAGACGATGGTGCAGTTGGGAACGGACTCGATGGCTGACTTGAGCCTCCAATTTCTCTTGACTTCTTCCTTCCGTGAGATTTCTTCTTGCTTCCGTGCTCGGACTGCTCTTCCGGAGTTTTCTTGGAGAAATCTTGTTCACTCAATACAGCTTCAGCCGCCTTTGCTAAATCTTGCTTGGCAGCTTGCTTCGCCTGTTTCTTCAACTTCTTGGCGGCGGTTTTGGTGAGAGTTTTCGTTTCGTCCCGGGGGCTTCCGCTGGTTTCCGAGAGCTCCTCGGAGATGACCGAGACATTATCGCTAGCAGCGGTGATGAGATGAAGGGGTAATTCTTCTTGAGCGGGGGTAACTGGAGGAACTTTAGGTAGGTTTTCACAGACAGGGGTCGCATCATGCATCAATGGTAATTTTTCGCCCTCATCTTTGGCAGCTGATGCACGACTCAGAACCTCAAAGATTTCTTGGAACAATTGTTTATATTTCGGGATCCTTCGGAACCGCTTTTCTAATGGACTAGTATCATCGTACAGACTATATCTATCACCATCAAAAATGGCACATAATAGGGAACCTGGCGGGAAGTGAGTGTCCGTTTGGGTTCCTTTGTTGCTGGTCTCATCAGAGAAACCAGAGGATGAAGTCTCGGCCTCGGAGAAATCTGTCGGTGTGGAAGAGAACGCTGCTTTACTGGTGATGTCGAATTCCTTTTTCCTCGGCTCTTTCCGCTGGGGCTTATCAGTTTCACTGTCGCTGTCATCTTGAACTTTGTTGAAGCTATTAAAATCACCAGAGAGTTGGAGTTCTTCCTGAAGAGAAAGACCCAGATGAGGGGGCGGCCTTTGCGCTTCAATGACAGCGTTGTATTTTTCCACCAAGTCCCTGTAATGTTCATTCTGCTTCTCAGAACTTTCGACTACTTCATTCTGTAAAAAAAAAAAGATGAACATAATCTCGTTAGTAAACGAAACCAAGAGAAAAAAAGTAGGTATAAGTCCCCTTTCAAAAATATTACTCTCAATTTAAAAAGAGTTCCTGTCAGGAAAATTGATAATGGTTTACCACAGACTGTCAAGAGCAAATGGTTGATTTGCACACAGTGGCTTCATTGCCTGCGATCAATCCTCCATCAATATCAGACAACAGCAGTGCAACTGTCTCAAGTAAAGAACTGCCGACTTATATGAATACAGAAATACTTATAAGCTATCTGCAAGTTTAATGTGTCAAAGTAAGGTCAAAACTTACAAACTTGGCTGAAAATGGATCTACAGACCAGGGTTTAGTAGGTACTTCACCAACACGTCCAAATTTTGATGATATCATAGTTTTGAAATTTTGATGAGTAAAAATGCTTTAGTTACTTAAATCATTTTCTAGTGAGGTGCAAATATACTGATTTTTAACTGCAAATTTTTCAAAGTAACTCTCAGAAGCAGGAGAGAATAAATTTTATCCCAAAAATTAAAAACGAAATGGTTCAGTTCCCCTTGCACGCCCTAAATGTAACATAAGAGTGCCATATTTTTTAGCTCTTCTTCTGATCATCACTCAGCCTCATCTTGACAATTTATTATGAAAAAATACAATGAAAAAATGTCTTCAAAAAATTTCTCTTGCATCATCATTCTTGTAGAAATACAGTTTACCACCAATTTAAAAAAAAATTATCTTTCATTAAAATAGGACAGGAAACTTGCCATTGATGCCATGAAACCTACGAAAGATTGGGACTGAGTGTTGTAAATTGTTTCTTGATTTCAGTTCTTACGCAGTTAATTTGCATCATTTGTTTTTAGTTGTAATGTTCCATTCAGAGTTTTGTACATTTGTGATTTAGTTTCATTTTCAGGAAAGGAAGAAAATTCTGTGAAGTACTCTAATAATTCGGTGTTGGTTGGAATTTAAATTTGAAAGGTGACTTATTTGGAAAGGGCAAAATATTGAAAACCAAAAACTTCTTTCATGAGACACTTGCGCAGCAGATCAATATAGTGGTCTGCAAAAATTGTGGTTAAAAAACCAGACTCACAGACTTTTGCATTGTACGGTGAATTAAAAACAAAATGGAAAGCATCTATAATACAGCTTACAATTAGATTAAGGGAATAAAGGTACAGCTCATTCAAGAGATAAAGTACATTGAGAAAAGCGTGCTCAAGAAAAAGTCATTCAACAAGTTAAAAAGCCGGTTGATAACATGGAAACAATTTAATAGCATCACATGAGTTAAATCAAGCAAAGGTAGGGATTAATTCTCAAGAAAGTTGACGACAAAGAACAGTCTTGTGAGGTCACGCAAGAGTTTCCAAAAAAGAGGTACTTGATTTAGTTAGAGGGTATTCAAGTATTCAATGCACTTCATCCAGTTGCTTCGTCCACTCTTTGTTTTGTCGCACTCACGAGGAAGGGAACCCCGAACTTCCCCCACAAATAAATAGATAGCATTAAGCAAAAAGGAACCAACTCAATTAACGTGTGTTAAAACCTCGAGTTTAAACCGTGCAACTCCTTCTTTGCTTTTAAAAATACGAAATATATGTACAGTAATAAAATTCATGCAATGATTTTCCTTTAAAATTGACAATTTTTGGGTGGAAAAACAAAATATTTGCTAGTCTCGGCATTTGCTTATATAAAGATAAGAATGTACGATTTTTACAACACTATAATATCGCTGATTCCATTCTGCTAAATGCAGTTCAAATTGTATAATGCTGCATGACGCTCTGAAATTTCATTGAAATGTGACCAAAAAATTCTTCGCTATGGAAAGAAAGAAAGAGGAAAATAAAAAAAACTTTCATGATTTTCGCATTTAAACCAAAAACTTTAAAATTCGATTCTACTAGTTAAAATTACATCGTTTTTTTCCAGTTAGTTTTGGTTCATTCCATTCTGTAGGTTTCATTTGAATTACATCCCCTAAAAACCGCACTAGTTTTTAGAATATAATTAAAGAATACAAGGCTTTTCCAATCGATACACAAATTTAACTCTCTCCAACCCCATGAGTGCAAACAAGATCTTTCAGCCTTTCCTCACAACTCTCAAATACACCAGCTTTCAGGCTCTCAGGTTTGGTGATAAGGGGTTGTCTTGCGCCGTTGACATTATGTTAGAAAAAAAGAAAGGATCAACGTCTTTTGTAAGTGAGAAGACATTGGCAAAAGAAAAAAAATTAAAAACACTACATAAATTGATACAACTTTTATTGCAAAATTAAAACAATCACCAAATATATGTACAACAGAGACTAATAAATTAGGTGCTGTTATTGCTTACAGTAATATCTACTGGATTAGAATAGATTTGCAAACTGACCTACACTAAAAATTCTTCAAACAGTCACAGAAGATAAGAATCGTTGCAAAATTTTCCTGTCATTTCATAAAAAACTAGGAAGTACCTACACTAATACCCTTAAACTTAAGATTAATTAACTGTCCCTTATTTCTCTCTATGAAATATGAATATGTCACTTGTAAAATCTAAAAAATCCCAGTTATTTTTATAGTTGATATGAAAGGACAAAGAAACTCTTGGAGATGATGGAAATTTTACTTTCCATTTCCTTGAAAATTAAAACGAAGAATGAATAGCCAAAGAAATTAAGATATTTTTTCTTAAAGTGCCTTCGAGTATTAGTATCCATCAAACACCTTTGAGCCATGACAAAAGGTGAACAAAGGTATAACTCCACTCATCCCAGTTTTATAATTACCTAAACTATCCTAGACTAAGCTTGAAAAATCTACACTTTCGTGATTAAAATTTATTTTGGTATGATTCAAAAATTACTTCTTCAAACCGACTCCTCTTAGAAGACGTGAGGACAGAGAGAATGGTATGGCTAGAGGCCTGATTGGTAAGTGTTGTGTGACTGCTTGTCCTACACCCGAGCGAATTTCGCTCAAACCGATGCCACTGCGAAGATGAGCGCGCAAGCAGGGCGGAATAAAGGTCGGCTCCAATCGGCGTTTTACAGCGACTTGAAATTCGGACAGTAACATGTAATAAGCTGCGGGTGTCGTTGAGAGCTCCCATAACATATGTGCAAGGTTAGGACGCCTTTCCTGGCACACACAACATTGATCATGCTACTTCAAAAGTACACAGAGATACATTCCAGAAAAATAACATGCACACTCATCTTCTTTTAAGAGTTGAACTCGTTTTGCTCTAATCTAACAATGAGTCTAAAAGAGAATGTGTCTCCATGTGATGCAAAAAGACGTACGTTATTAATATCATTGCAAAAAATATATTGAGTACTCTGTGCTTGCAACTTGTTTTCACCGCAGCATCATGTCTACTGTCTTTTAAGATTCCTCATTTTTGCTTACTTTTTTAAATGAAAATCTATGCTAAAACTATTGAACTAATTACTTTTATCAAGCTGGTTCTCAAGTACTTTTCTTGATAGAGGGGCCAATCAATTCCTATTACGTCATAAAGGACGTGGTGTGATTCAAGATTTTGATGCAAAAATTTATGAGGAATTCAGAAAGAAAAAGGGACAAAAGCACATATTTTCAGAGCTCAAAGTTTTCGAGATTTTTCAGAAGTCATTTAATACTTTCAACACATTTAATACGCCCAAAAAGACATTCAAAAGCTCTTGCATTGGGATGAATTATGTCCTTTTTTGGTTTCTAATACTCGTCCAAAAAATTGGTGTTGGTGCTTAATAGATTATCAAAACTTTCCGATTTTCTGAACTAGCCTGGCCCCAATTAGTTTGGATAGTTGGGAGTTTATCGTAATTTGACAATCTTGAGGAACACATACATTGGGTTAAAACTATAAAATGTGTTTCCTCAAAACTATTACTTCTTGAATTGGAAACTCAAACACAAAACAAGAAAATTTGGTTGGAAATATTTTGGTATTTTTGGCGTAAAATTTTTTGTAAAACTCAATTTTAAATTTCCTGTCATTAAAGACTGTTATTCCATGGGTAGTCACAGTTACGTCAAATAGGTGAACCACTTATTGAGCTCACTTCCTGACAAAAAAAGTCCGTTGTCACAAATCTTACTATATGCACATGAAAGGCAATGTACAAAAGATGCAATTTAATACAGCGATAGAATATCTAGTGGGAAGATCCTTGATACACAAGTGCAGAAAGCTACAGGAGAATAAGTGAGTAATATAGAATAGGTAAGCCAAGATTTCAAAACTACAGTGCACTTTTTAGTAGGTAGCTCATAAAAAAAGGGGGTAAACCATACAAAAAACTGTCATAAGTAAACGACTTACTTGAATTTTTAAGAAGGCATCTTGTTTTTCATCAAGTAACAGTGAATCGGCGATGCTTTCATCATCATCTTCAGCCGTCAGCCGGAATTTATTGTCTGTATTCTGCAAGCACAACTGGCACAACTTTCCTTGCCTTGAAAATGAGAGAGAGAGGAGGATTACTATCATACGAAAATGAAAGATGGAGGAAAATACAACTGAAAGTAAGGGAATATACTGCGAAGCTAACCTTCAGGAACCTTTGAATCTTTAAAAATTGAACATCATCGAGCAAAAGGCATCTATTCAGAGCCAATTTTTAAAAATTGTAAACATACCTATACTTGAGATAGCAGTAATTGGCAATACCCTTTTTGGACAAAGGGTTGGTGATTTCGCCAGTGTGCGTATAAATTCAGTCTCAAACTCAGCAAAATTGATGAAATCACCAACATTCTGTCTAAACAAAAAGTCGAACACCCCAACCTGTTCTACAAAAACCCTTTTTGTTTCGAACACTCATTGCAGACCGAACCGTTCTGTTTAAAAAAGACAAATTCACATGATGCAGTTTCAGGATTAAAGTCTACAAATTATAATGTATTGCTCTGTTTCAGGATAAAAGATGGTATGTTTGCCATTATAAAGTAAATACAGTGTGAAAGAAAGAGCCTGATTCTCACATTAGAGGCAAAAAAGCTACCTCTAGTAAATCGCCTCTTAAATGGAAATGATGTTTTGTGGAACAATAGCTTCATACAACTAATCAGTACCCAGGCCTCAGGATTCCACTTGAAAGGTTCTAAGAGGAGAAGTTCTGAGCATATCATTATGCTAAACTTCATCTGCATTTAAAATTCAAGTATTAATAGTATTTTCCTGAGAATAATCAGATTTGCAGGATATATATTCTCATACCTAAAGCATATATTCTCCTTTTTAGGTGATTGATGAGGACATAAGAACAGCAAATAAGAACTCAACTGTTTGAACGAGGGTATCGATCAATGAAATTACTTTAGCTGAACTGAAAGTACAGTACTTTCCACGTTGTGTGTGGGTACTTCGACTTTGAAAGATGATATACATACACTTCCTGGAGATCCATTTTCCTTTCTTTCTTTTTTAATCTCAAAATAAAACTTAAAAACCACCCTAGATTGAAAAGATCTTGATTAATACAGAAATAAAATACTTGGATTCGCTTTAACTACATTAGAGGACCTTGTTATTACTTCTGGTCTCTCTTCAGCTAAATGTTGCAGAGTGGATTAGAATTCATTTGGTAACTTCAAAAACCCATGAAAATTGACCCAATTATCATCCTTGAGAACAAACTAACTGGACTGGGGCCTGGTTTTCCAAAGTTGCTCACTTCATTACACCCTTAATCACTTGGGCAAAATGAAAGAAAAAGTATATGGCTGCAAGCAGAAAGAAGCTGCAGCAGCCAAATAAAAATAAAAAAAAAAAAATTAAAAAAAAATGAAATTGAATTACCTAATTTGTTCCAAGGTTGAGACTTCTTCTTGAAGACGCCTAATGTACTCGTCTCTCTGCAGAAGTTTGTTGGAATCTTCATTTAATGCTTCGTTTTCCTGGAAAAATTTATGACTGAATGAGTAAAGTTAAGGTGTAAAACATATGAATCCTGTTATTTGCTGAATGAATGACTCGTTTTCAAAGGATAGTTCAACATACATTGATTTATAAGAGCAGAATGATGTCCAAAACGGTGATCTGTTAAAAATTTAATGTCTTTAGTACGTTATGTTCCTTAAAAAGTAAACCTGAGCACTTTTTATGTTGACAACCATTTGTGAAGCTTTGACTGTAATTTTATCATAGACTCATTTCATGTTAACATTTCTTCAACCTTGTTAAATTTTGGTTCTTAAAAAGAGATGAGCGTTTTAGAAGAAGAAAAAATTGGTATTATTACCTCGAGAAGACAGCTGATTTTTTGTTGAAGCTCAACAATTTTCCGTTCACATTTTGCGTTCTTCGTTTTCAGCATCTGATTATCCTTCAATAAGTCATTGAGTTCTTCGCTGGTCGCATCGATGGGAGGTAATTCTGTCTCAATTGGGCTGCAAGCAGACAGTCTCTTGGATTTGATTTTCTCTCTTTCAACTTCGACAGTTATTTCATCTAACGCTCGTTGCAGCTCTTCGCATCTTAATTCCAGAGCTTCAATATTTGCAAGTAAACTGGAAAATGAAAAAAAAATCAATTACGCATTCATAAAATGGGATCTCCGTTTTTTCAATACGACAGACTCATTTTGAAATTTGAGCCTGACAACGAAGAAGCAGAAAAACATAGCTCACGCCTCCAGTGAATAATGGTGGTGGGAAATATTCTTGTGAAGAGAGAGGAATTCAATGTTTAAAAATTTTACGTTGGCTTTAAGGAATCAAAAGAAACTGCTACTTCAAAGCTAAAAGATTGAGCAAAATTTTTTGAGCAAAATTTATCCTAAAATAAAATTCATTCGCAACAACTTTAACTACTTAATTTTTTCAAGAATGTCGCGTATAAAATGTCGTTTATAAAATAGATATCATTAATAATCTGATTTTATTGTATCTACCCCCTTGTAATTTACCCAAAGACAGGTCTACACCCTTCTACAAAAATCACGTGACGCTTAGTTCAATCCTCCATCAAAATTAGTGTTTTGTGATTAATTTTGGCTTAAAAAGCGCCGCCTCTCGTTGATTTCTCATCTCTGACCTTTGGATACGTATTTTGGGAGGGGCCCTTGACTGTTTCAAACCCCAAAGGCTTCAACTTTTGAATTTTTAGAGATAGGAATTGATGATGCAGGAACAAAATGAATCAATGGATCACTAAATCATCAAAGCATTTTAACTTGCAGATATGTTACCTAAGGCAAATGACGCGTGGAGTACGATGAGCACATTAAAAACGCAAAAAAATAACTCAGAAACTGAGAAGTGCGCAGTTCAAAAATCGCAACTTTTCCGCAAATGTAAAATGCCTCGGTTTCGCCGCGTCGAATAATGCTATCCGGCACCAATCAGAAGCGATCACAGGCTTCTACGACTTCCGTCGGATGTCTTTCTACTTCTCGCATCATGGCCGGATTTACCTGCTTGCCGCCCAAGGGCCGCCTGTATTTTGCCGCCCCCTTCTCATTCGTTTTGGAGCATCAATAAAAACCATCAAGTGAACGTGCCGGAGGGGGAGGGGTGCATAAGACGCGTTTACCTACTCGGGTTGGATATATTTTTTGCGAAAGCCCTGTCAACGCTACTAGCCAAATTTCACGGAACTTTGCCCGAAAGTTAAGTTCCGTAAACATATCTCTGGGTAGACACGGTCCTCCATTCATAAGAAATGAACCAAAAAATTGAAAGAGCAAACATAAATGTGGCTTAATAGTTTTAACGCCCGCCGCTGCGCCGCGCGTCGCGCCGGACTGATCCCACTGTGTTTGGCGCAATGCTTGAAGTATTCACGCAGTCTTGTAGGCGCTACGCGTTTCACGCCAACCGCTCCTGACCTGACCGCACTGTGTTTGACGCAATGGGTAAAGTATTCATGCAATCTCGTAGGCGCTAATATGTGTTACATGTCGACCGCCGCGCCGTGCCGAGGGCTTGTCCTTTTCATCTCAAGTCCTCGTCATCATTCCTCTCTGCGCTGAGCTCCAGGCCAAATTGCGTGTTTATAGTTCCTCTCTTAACTCAACTAATTAACGACGCTGTCTCTTTTATCACCGAAAAACGATAAAATTAGAAATTACGATACTTTCAGGAAAGAGCGATTTTGTCCCCTTTTCTCATTGATAATTTTTTTTTTTGGAATTCGATTTTTTTATACCTACATTAAAACAAATTGCAAAATTTGCCGCCTTCTAAATTTGCCGCCATGGGCCGCGGCCCATGTGGCCACCCCCTTCATCCGGCCCTGTCTCGCATATGTATGAAAACAAGAAGAAAATTGAAACTATATCTTCAGAATCAAAGAATCAAATTTTACTCATATTAGGTATCTGTGGTAAACAAGCAACAACTCCACATTGAAATACGTTTTATTTCAATAAACGCTGATGGAAAATGAGAGGAGATAGCAGAGAGCAGATAGCGATTTCACTGCTGTGGTACATCACTTCAATCATTTTCCCGTCATTTTGGCGCGTTTGAAATTCCTTCGAGTCTGGACTTTTTAAAAGTGGGTTTATCCGGGATTTCGGCTCCAAAAATACGCAATAAATCACCGCGTAATCTACTCACCTAGTGCTTTCAGAATATTAAATAAAAAACACAAGGTTTAGTGACTCATTTGAACAGATTGAGTTTGCCTTTCAGAATACATGATGATTTCATGTAAGAATGGTTTAGAATTCTGCCGTGCTAAGGAAAAACGCCGTATGAGCCTTCAGGCGTTGCCAAATTTCCTCTGGCAAATCACTAATTTACAGGAAATTTTTTGAATATTTTTCTGCCAATTTCTCAGATAATTTTGTTTGTAATTTGATTTAAAGTGTCTGAAAATTTCAAAGAAAAATATTCATGATTTTCCTAAAAAATAGACATTTTATCGAAAGAAATTTGGCAGCTCTCGAATGTTCGTACGGCGTTTTTCCTTAGACCGGCAGAATTGTGGTTTAGGATATGCAAGATATTTCAATCCTGCCATACTAAGGAGGAACACCGTAAGAACATTCAGACGTTGCCACATTCCCGTTAATAAAATATTAATTTTCAGGTAAATCTGAGAAAATTTTTCTTCGAACTTTTCATAGAATTTTACTCGCGATCAGATACAAATTATTTGAACCTTTCAAGATTCATAATTCTCCTCATAGAGTAACTATTTATCAAAGGAAATTTGGCAACTCCCGAATGTTCCTGCAGCGTTTTTCCATAGCACGGCAGAAATAAAGTGAGATAAGTATAAAATAAATAACAAACCTTTTGATTTGTTTCTTGTCACTGGCACTGTCGATTACAAGTCTATGATTGGTTCTTTCCAAGTCTTGGATACTAATTTCTAGCTGCTCATAAATTCGTAGTCTTGATTCATTTACTTCACGTAACGCTGCTGTCTGCTTGGTCAAATACTGCAACAAAGACAGAGAATAGCTTTAATTAGATCAAGGGATGTGTAAAAAAATATTCAATGAATCAAGTTATCAAAGCGTTACTAACCATTTCATTGCAACCATTAAAGATATTTCCCGAGATGACCCATGATTTTTCCGAACGGAAGGTGTTTTTTTTTTTTTTTTTTTTTTTTTTTTTTTTTTTTTTTTTTTTTTTTTTTTTTTTTTTTTTTTTTTTGGACGAGATTAGAGCAAGAATCTACCACGTTTACAATTTTCGAAATAGCAAACTGGGGATCATTTATTTAAAAGCGCTAGGAAAAACCCCGCTTGCGTCGTCTTCAATGCATGGCGACGCGCGCCGTGCTGAAAATCTGGATGCAACTATTCGTGTTCGACGTCTGTGCATGTTGCATATGTAAATAAATGAGGGGGCGCTGCTTTGGCTTAACATACCGTATTGAGCTGATCCAATATGCATCGGGTGCGAACGTACATTAAAAAAGTAAAAATAGAAGACTGGGTTTGTTCCTTGTTTTTCGTTTCTTTTTTTTTCAAGTAAACTTCATGAGCATCGGTGTACTTAGATTTGGACCCCATTTTGCAATAAGGATCCACTATTTCTGGCTCATTTTAGGAACAACATACATATGCGACATTAGTCTCCGTATGCAGAAAGGTGCTTTTTACAGAGGGGCCAGAGATAGTGGTTCCTTATTGCAAAATTTAATCCATTTAGTAGCAGGGTGTCTAATAAAACAGGTTGGTCAAAAATTAGTGCGTTTACAATACTTTTTTAGAAAAATTTCAAAAATTTGACTTTCTCGGTCAAATAGCGACCAAAATGAGTAAAATTCCGGGCCTTTTTGCGGAATTTCCGCACTATTTCAGTACTTTCGGACCGCCCTTGAAAAATCAGTACTATTTCCGGACTTGTGGGCACCCTGGTAATCCATTTAGTAGTCTCTATATCAAATAAGAAGGTACACGATTTTGAAAACACAGCAATCGAGTTCGTTCCGTTTTGTCGAATGCAGTTCATTTGTCAAGCGATGTCAGGACACACGATCAGTCGTCAAACTAATCGCATCCTATTAATAACCGTAGCTTCCGGAACGCAAATAATTAGCGACACTAATGCGTCGCGCCGAACGGGCCGTGTTTACCCGCGACCGCTTTTCGGGTCAAACTTTAAGATTACGTACACGCACCGTCGCCTATCACGTCGACTTTCCCATCAGTCGACGTTAAACCTACGTCGATTTTTCCATTGAGCCCTAGACCCCGTAAGAATACCTGTATTCCACGGCTCATCAGATACCACGTACTTGGTTCTGAAGTCCGATTCGTTTATCACGACCCGTGTCTCGGCACGTGCACGGTCTCGTCGCCGATCTGTCCCTTCGGTGACAAAAAGACGTAACTGTATTTCCAGACAGGCCCTGTGGTCCACGCAGGAGTGGGGGGGAGTTACGTGGTTTTGGACGTTTGGCGGGGGGCGGTGACAAGGGTCGTAAATTTTCTGCACGTCGTCATTACGCCGTTGAAGTGCACGGAATTGCGGCCCTGATTGCTGCGGCCCTAGCGAAAAACCCCGTAAGATCGACGTTACGTTGCCGGATTTCTTGCGAAAAAAGTGGATTTTTCGGAGTATCTGTGAATGAGGGCAATATATTTTGGCGACCCCTCACTAATAATCTGGGCAATTTTATTGGGTGAAGCAACAGTTAAATTCGGACGTCAACGCTCCTTTCTAATGTCAAATGATGGTTGCTGAGCAACTTGTAGAGCAACTGACAGAGAGCAAGTAGACAGTGTTTACTAGACATCCTGTCTGACGTCCACGCGTGTTCAGGGTGTCAACTAAAACGAGCTGCCCAAAAATCAGTACTTTTACGGTACTTTTTCAGTGCATTCCCGAGAAATGCAGTACCTCCTCAGCGGAAAAATTCAGTACTTTTTTAGTACCTCCATTTACGACGAAATTCAAAAAATTGAATTTCTCTCTTAAAAAGCGACAGAAATGAAGAATTCCGGACCTTTTAACGGAATTTCCGCACATTTTCCAAATGTCCGGACCGCGCTTTCAAAATCAGTGCTATTTCCGGACTTTCCTGAAATGAAGATGTTGCATGTGTGAGGAATTTGCGATTTGACTGTTGATTCCTATGTAAAAGTTTGCGAGAAACACGATGGTGCCACTGGTTTTCTCTGAAATCAACTCCCAAGCTCAAAAAAAGCTCTCAAGTTGAGGCCAAAATGGAGGGGATATCCCACGCTACCCTGAAAGTTCACCTCTATTGATGAGGCTCACTCTCTCTTGATTGACAGTTTTAGAGTCCCCAAATGAAGTGGCAATGTATTCGCTCCCTATCTTTGCATGTAGTTTGTTTTGATGTAGAGGTGGACTTTCAGGATAGGGTGGGATATCCCCTCCATTTTGGCCTCAACTTGAGAGCTTTTTTTGAGCTTGGGACTTGATTTCAGAGAAAACCAGTGGCACCATCGTGTTTCTCGCGAACTTTTACGTAAGAATCAATAGTCAAATCGCGAATTCCTCACATATGCAACACCTCCATTTTGATGAAAAGTAAATACACTATTGGGGAGTTCGGCAACGTTTGGGCAGACATACGACGTTCCTGTTCAGCGCGATATATTAGTCCCGGGCTCGTGGTTCCCTCTCCCGAAGACGATAAACCGGTGGACATTATAAAGCGGTGAGCTAATCGAGCGTTACCGGAATTAGTATCGCTTCCCGTCGAAAGTATTTAGTTTCGAAAAGTCGGAATTTCGTAAAGTCGAGGGCCATCAAGACCCGACAACGCCCCCGCCCCCACTCCCCATCCGCCTACCCGTCGAGCTAATAACTTTCTTTGCGGCTTCGGTCGTTTCCGGGCACGATGGGAGGGAACAGGGTACGGTACCCCGGATTTTCCCTGCGATTCCCTCTCACTTTCAGCGGAATGGTAGACGATTTGCCGAGGAAATTCGCTCGGGCAACTCTACGCGGGAAAGAGTAGAGTCCCTTAATACTGAGAGTCAAGACAACACCCCTCATGGAGTCACAAACGGGAATAAAGAGTACAAAAATTGAACGTTTTTCGTAATCTTTGATCATTCTTTGATCGGCTCATTCTTAAATTCCTTTCTCCGTTCCTTCTCTCATTCCGTTTGTTCCTTGTCGAACCCTAAATTCCTAGGTCCATTCCAGATTATAATCTTTGCAATTGGTGAAAATGTAATCTTTATTCCCGTTCGTGACACTGTGAAGGCCTAAACTCCGGTTAACTAATCAGAAATGGATTCGCATTGTCTTGACTCTCAGTATAAAGGGACTCTAGGAAAGAGGGTGTCAGTGGGTACTGGCCAATGCTGCCGTGCTAAGGAAACACGCCGTATGAACCTTCAGGCGTTGCCAAATTTCCTTTGATAAAACACGAATTTCCTGGTGAACTTGTGAATATTTTTCTTCCAATTTTTCAGGGAATGTTTTTGGTATTTCGATCTGAAGTTCCTGAAAATTACAGGGAAAAATATTCATTATTTTCCTTAAAAATACAAATTTCATCGGAGGAAATTTGGCAACTCTCGAATGTTCATACGGCGTTCTTCCTTAGCACGGCAATATTCCACATGGCCGACGCCAACCCGCCAAAAGACACGTGACGAGACGGGATTTTATCAACCGGCGCGATTATGCAGAGACAAGAGACCCTCCACTGGCCTCTTAGCGACAGGTGGAAGCTTTTACTTTCGGGGTTTCAACAATTCCTTATGGACAATTATTAGGGAGCAACAGTCATCACCCTAGTTTCGGCTGTTGACTTACCTACATGGTCGATGATGAGCTTCGGATGACGTCATGAGCCAAACAACTTTCCCAAACGTCGGCCATTTTCGGCTTGTTTGCAAAACGAAACTGCCAACACGTTGTTGAACATCAACCATGCAGGTAAGTCAACAGTAGAATGCTGAAGTCCCGAAAGTAAAAGCTTCCACCATGGCCAAGATACTAGTGGAGGGTCTCTTGTCTCTGCGATTATGTTTACATTTTCCTTGCAGTGATAAAGACCACGGTATTTCCTCACGATTTGCGCGTGGAAGCGTCAGCAATGTTGACTATTGTGTAGCGTTCTAGTGCACAAGGGCTGGGTGGAAAGACTCTTCTAACGAAATATTCACTTGCACTGAAAAAAAGAAAGAATCTTAAATTTGCCGCCAAGAAGTATTTTTTCTTAAATCAAGAATTTTTCTGCTTAATATAAACTACTTTTTTGCTTAAACCAAGCCTTATTTTCCTTGCATCAAGAAAAATTCAGCTTACATCAAGATGAAAACAATTCTTGGCGGCAAACTCAAGAATCTTCAGGCTTGAGCCGAGTACCTTTTTTTTTCAGTGTGTGCCGCGGTATCGTTTTCGAAGCGGGAAGCTTAAAAACGCATATATTTTACGCAGATTGTGAAGATAGGAGCACTGAAAAAAAGTTAGGGCTATATATAGACATACCGTCCGTTCCGGGCTCAGAGGCCGAAAGCTCCGGGTGCTACGGAACGTTCGGCCTCTGGGCCCGGAACGCAGACAGTATGTCTATATAGCCCGTAAGAAGGTGAAGAAATGGTGCTGGGTCAACAAAATTTCGCGGGGAAAACGAAACTGAGAAGTTCCAAAATTTATAATTAGAGTCAAAAATAAACTTTAACTCTAATGAGTACCAGTACAAAACTGAGGGGGGAGAATGTTCCGCTCACGCAATTTGTATTGGAATATATAGCCCGTGAGTACAGGGCCGGATTAAGGGGGTGGCCACATGGGCCGCGGCCTATGGCGGCAAAATGTAGGGGGCGGCGAATTTTGTAATCCTTTTTAATGTAGCTATCAAAAAAAAGAAGGAAAAATCGGATCCAGAAAATAAATTACAAACGAGAAAAGGCGATAAAATCTCTCATTTTCTGAGAGTATAAGTATAGTAATTTCTAATGTTGTCGTCTTTCGGTGATACAAGAGACAACACGTT